GCGATACTTGTTTGTTTGTTGAAACACATAACTGGGATTGTTCAATCACCGATTGGCATCACTTTCTGATGTCTGAAGGATTCGGAGTGAGGTATCTTTTGGCAAGTTGATGAGAAGCTGGTAGAGAATAGAAAACGAGTCATTCATCTTCACCTGATGGTTGATTTCAACCAAGTGTGCTTAATATACAGTTGGTAATAGTCTTTACCTCACCTTTACTTAACCACCACTCTGGGAGGTGTTGGCGAGTACAAGAGATTCCTAGAGAAATTCCTAGAGCCAGTGGCTGACACATAGCTGACTCCATATGATGATGATAAGCACTACAGAAGTAGCTAGTTTAGGCAATTCATCTTTCAGTCTCACTGTCACCATTGAGCATGTGATAGAAGAGAATTTTAATTTACCAGGTTGAAAAGTTCTCTGAATTGATCTGTATAGCTTGTGAATTAATATCTCACTGAGTACATCATCTCTAAATTTCAATTGTGAATGTATAGGAGTTTTCTGTTAGTTCTTGGAATATCCAATGTTACCATTTATGTAGTCATATGTTTCTTTATGAGGTTATCTGGATAGCCATTTCTGATTAGTGGTGTTGGGCAAAGCTGTCAGTTCCTCCTTAGTAGTTATATCTTCCGAGCATATATTGTTTATCCTTCAACTTGCAGTTTTCATCAAATTTCGTTTGTACTGAAAGGGAGAGGGTGAAAAGCTGAGAAAATGTGGCATATTGCCGCGTCCGTGTACTTCTCCTAAGCAAATCCTCTTCATCGACCAATCTATTCTTCTTCGGAGAAAAACATCAAGAAAAGCTATTTTCCATTCTCACTCTTCTTTAAATGTCAACCTCATCTGTTGAAGTACTACTCTGAATCTCTCAGTGAGTATCTTCGACATGTTCATGTTGTTTTAGCACAGGATGAAAGTATCATCTATATAGTAAGAGTAGAATGAAAATTATCCGATAAATCGTTCAATCAAACTGTTTTCTGGTTTCGATAGATAAACGTCTGCTAATGTGGAACCCAGTTGGGAAAGCTTTACGCGACTTCATCCATTTGTCTGTATAGTTCACCGTTTAATTTATCTCCTTTTAATTTCTGAACACATGTCCTCTACACTCATTGGTATCGATGAGCTAACCACTCGTATCACGGGGTTACATGTGAAGCTGAAGAATATTTTTAATAGGAAAGTGAATCTCTTGTGTTCCGCGTAGCTTCTAAGATGGTTGATAAAGCTCCGACTGGTCACCGCGTGCCTTTTTCTACTGCCTTTCCTATCAGGTTAACCTGATGCAGTGGGTCCTTATCTACTCTTTTACAAACTGTCCAACCATTCGAAGGTTCTGTGTGAAACATCTTACTCATATTTGTCTACTGGAAATTCCTTTCAGTTGGACTTCATCTCTTCTTTGCCTTTGCCTCCTCTCCCCACATGACCCCTCTACTTAGTAGTAGAGTTTACTCTTATTGTTAAACCTTTTTATTTTTCACCAAGGTTAGATTAATTTCTCTTCATAGAATAACTGAATGAGCCTTTTATTTCGTTTCAGTTTAAAACACGAGGTATTCCATTTCACCTTTTATTTGAAATCACAGTTCGAAGAATTTTTCTGCCTTTTTCTCATGTCCCATTGCTTGTTCTCAATTGTTTGAAGGTGCGGTGTGTTCTTCACCGGATCTCCTATTGATATTGACCAGGAGTTGTTAACGTTAAGAGTTCAGTTGATAACTGTGTTTCTCATCGTTTTATAAACGCTGTCTAACTCTTATTCTGCTTGCCTTTCGAAATGAATCATCATCATCAATATCAACATAGGACCAGGCATTACTGTGTAACGGTCCGAGTTGCCACATGTCATATCAGTACATCAAGTAAAAGGCAGTGAAGTGGAAGACGGAGATAAGAAAGTTCAGTCAAAAGAAATATAAAGTACGAGAAGAAAAAAAGGAAGGATGAGAAATTGGTGAGATTCGGTATAGCATCGTGAAGATGAGGATAACGTGTGTATACACCTGCGCTACTCACATCCGTTATCAGCCATATCACGTAGAGTCAGTCTTCAACCACTGGTTCTGTTGTCCCGCCAACCCCAACCAGCTAATCTACGTCGCCGCACATGGCTCAAACCAGTAGTCAGAGACTTCATACATTGATGCCATGTTTTATTCTGGCCACCTCAGGCTTTTTTCCAACCTGAACCTACTTCGGCCAACATTGTGTGACGAGGCAATCGGTGACTGGGCATACGTAATACGTGTCCTAACCATCTCAGTCGATGAAGGTTCATAACCTCGTCAACAGATTTACCTCTACTCCCTAAAGCTCTACACCTGACGTCTGCGTTACTCACGTGGTGACACCACGGAATACGGCTTATACTACGAAGGCAAAGGTGGTCAAACACCTGAAATGAATACAATGTCTTCATGAAATCCTTTGCTTTCTTCTAGAATTACAAAGATTTCAGTGTGTAATGTTCTTGGTCTATGGTATATTATCGGACTTCACTGTAACAAATAGAAACCAACATTTTAAGTCGTCAGTCGCTTTGGTAGAAGGTCTGGATTTTAGTTTGTGTTTTTTATGTTACTGTGCGGTGGAGAAAAATCTTATTGGACAATTTTATCTTAGAGTTAGTTGACCAATGGAAATGAAGATTTAAGTTTTGACCTTACAGTTATAGGCTGGTGTTTATCTTCTGATTTTCGCAGCTCAGTAGAGTATCTAGTCTAAGTTTCTCATGGCGTTGTCATCAATATATTCACTCGGTCACTTTACTACAGATGAGTTTTGAGAATATTTCAACATTTAGACGTCTTAAGTTTATCCTATGCAAAATGCTGCAGTTGATATGAAAATGTGTACAGAAAAGAAAAGCTTTTTTCCCAGAGAGAGAACTTTCACAAAAACTCTATTTTGACTAGATGCGATGATGGAGAATCTCTATTACAGGCAGTCAAAATTAACCCTGGTATGAAAGAGACAGACAGATAAATCAACGTAGAAAGTGACATAAGACTACATCGACTCAACTTGTCACACTTTACAACAGCATATAAAGACTGATATTAAGGTTGTTAAAAATTTATGAAACGAAGGTTAGGGAAAATATTTAAAACCTTTAAAGACGTCAGAGAGTGATTATATCATCAATCTGGACTGTTTTCAACCACTTCACCAAAGTTCTCTAATCATTCATTCCTTATCGCACTGAGGGACTCCAAACAGGCTTAGACTAATAGGTAAAAACTTTATAGACTGGCGCTACATTTCAATCTGATCAACTTGAGCTTGCTTACAACACAGTCATAATTCAGTTCACATCGCACATCATTGTGTGTAGTGTATTAATATGCATAACACATGTGTAAGCCACCTCAATTTGTGAAGATTGACGACTTCATAGGTTGACTTCGCTTTCTTGTCTAGTACCCTAGTACAAATGTAGTCGAAGACCTGTGATCTGTTCACATCTAATTTCAACAGCTATGCCCTACATCCGCATAATAGGACAGAGTGAACTGCAAGGCATTTTACTTTTCCTTAGCGAAAATTCTGAGTTGCATCAGAGTTCACACTAAGACATTGCATGTAGGTGACAAACCACCTATATCGAAGCAACAGAAATAAAGGTTGAAATTGAATTTCGTGAAATATATTACTTCCAACTGATCAATCAATGTATTTGGTCTCATCCTACTTCAGGTGAATCCCCGAATAACTCAGCTCACTGATAACGTCACTAACTCTACCACTGGGTAACACTGGTTCCAATCTCATACACGACATCACTTCCTTCCAACCTCCAGATACACCTAGTCGACGGCAGTAAACAAGTACGAAACTGAAATCCACAGACTTTTGACGATAGCCTCCAACAAACTAACACTCATCACAACAACAAAAAAACACCATGTAACACTGTAGTGTAACAAAGTGAAGAGTATCGACTTCAAAAACCCTTGAGTACTTCACTCAGTCTCATCACCCTCTCATCAAAGTAAACCAGTGTACATTCACAGTGAAACTCAATAATCAATCATACACATCTGCATGCATTAACTTAATAATGTGGAGTTGTGTCCCATTGGTCTAGCCTCACTCGATCCTCAATCCATGCTTCATGGGTTAGAACACCGCTCCACTTACCAACATTTCGGCATCCAGGTAGGCAATATCCTTAATCCTCAAGTAATTCCCTGTGGCTCACTGCCTACTGCATGAACGTGCACACAATGTTGCTCAATGTATATACAAAATAGGAGGATAAAGAGACTAAGCTGATGGTGATACAGGCAAACAGAGACAAAACCAACGTAGAACCTACCACCACACAAGTGAGTCGGCTCAAGTTCCCACACTTTACAGAAGTATATAGAGAACAAGTTGATAGAAAATAGACTGATAACATGGTAGGAAAAATTATCTGGAAGAATAAATAATTTGAAGATAAAGGTTGGTGCAAATATTTCAGGAGTGATAACATCTGTGTCATTGTCACCGATTTCCACCTACTTCACCAAGAGTTCTCAACCAGTCATTCCTTTCATCTTGGGGATTCCATGTAGGCAGTCTGCATCTCAAACACGCCTAAGACCAACAATCAGAGACTTCATTGACTGGTGTGATGCACAAACAGAGAAACAAGCTTGTATAAATAACCGATAACATCCCTGGTTCAAATCCTGTGAACGCCGTGAAGATTTTTGTTTAACCTTCAATCGACTTAAGCTCGACATTGGACGTAAGTCGCGCCATATCGTGAACTGACAGAAGTAGGAAATGTGGATCATTGGATTCTGCCGACCTAGTGACTCAATGGTAATGTGCAGCAACTGATACCCCCCCCACACACATACACGCACACACACACAATATATATATATATATATATATATATATATATATATATACCATTAGGAAAAAGCTTGAAGAGGTCAGACAGGAAATCATGAATACAAAATCAGAAAAAAAAACTGTTGACTACTAACCTGATAAGGCAACTGGTATTCATCTGGTCCAAATAGATTATGTACATAACATCGTCTGGTAACCTCCCAAAATACCAGACCTAAACTGTACATATCAGCTTGTTTAAATGCCTCTGGACTTGTCATGCGTATTGTATTGTCTAATACTTCAGGCGCCATATAACGTTTTGTTCCAACACGATCTGAGTGTAAATTTATTTCCAATGCAGTATTCATAGTTGAGTCCAATTTTAGAGCAAAGCCTAAATCTCCAATACAACATTCTCCATCCAGTTTGACTAGTATATTTCTAGACTTTAAATCGCGATGAGCTATAGCAGGTTTACCCTGAAAAAAAGACAATAAATTGAAATTATTACTTTGACTATTTGGGATCATAACTATAGTTTGTCAGATTTATACTGGATGATGATTGAATTCAAAGTTAAATATTCTAGTTAAGTGTATCAATACTATTACCGAAATTTCTCCCCCCCCTTTAGGTATCTTGTTACTGCTGGAAAGTCAATAAGGCAAGAAAGTTACTTAGAGTATTTTGTTAGGAAATATGATTATCTCGCAACATTTTGGTCGAAAAATACAACAGAATTCCACAGTTAGTCATACAAGTCAACATTTTCAATAAGTCAGCTATAAGAACATTTTTTGAAAGTTATTATTATTATTATTAGTCCCTTGGGTTCCTAGTGGAACATAGGGCTTCAGTAGCACGCCTCCAGTGACCTCTGTTCTCTGAGATCTTTTGAACCTGGTCCCACGACATCCCACAAGCTCTCATTTCCTCCTCGCACGACCTCCTCTATGTCACCCTCGGCACCGACGCCCAACTCGTCGCTTCCCATGGGGATTCCACTCGAGGGCCTGACGCGTGATGTCCTCAGTCGGCCTTCTCAGTGCATGGCCAATCCATCTCCACTTCTTCCTGCATATTTGTTGCGTGATAGGTTCTTGGTTGGTTCGTTCCCAGAGCTCCTTGTTGCTTATTCTTTCTGGCAATCCATCTGATCTTCAGTAACGAGCCGGCGTAAGCAGTTGTTGATGAATGTCTGTAGTTTATTGGAAATACCTTTCGTGACGCGCCAAGTCTCTGAACCATACAGAAGCACTGACTTGACGTTGGTGTTGAAAATCCGTATCTTGTTCCGCATGCTGAGTGCAGAAGATCTCCACACTGGTTTCAGGCTAATGAACGCCTGTCTTGCTGCCTTTCCGATTCTGACTTTGACGTCCTGTAGTTGAAACAGTGCTTCCTAGATAAGTGAAGGAGGTTACTTCCTTTAAGTTTCTCCCGTTGACGGTGATTGGAGTTTGTTGTTGTTGTTGTTGATGGTGGTGGTGCGGTATCTTCATCACTTCTGTCTTCTTTTTGAAAGTTAACAAGGAGAAATTCACTTCTCTTCTCTATGCGCTTGTGATAGTTGAGTTAGTTAGTAAACTTAACCTAACTTCTTTTTTCTTTGTTCTCATTTTGTTTGGTATGGCTGATCCTTAAAAAAAAACCAACTTATAATATGTAAAATTTAGTTTCAGGCTCTTTTCGCTTCATGCAATTTTACTTATTTTTTACTGTAGTCTAAGATACGAAACGCTGATTGGTTCTCCTTGATCAAAGCCCTTTAAAAGGTATATAAACGACTGAAGTGTCACCTATAATCGAATCATTCGGTTGAAGTAAATATACTTTCAAACCTATTGTCTTCTTCTTATGGTTTCCGTTACATATCATGTTGGGAAGTCATTGTACTGTCGTTAGTCGTATAGTATCGGACCACTTCATCATTCATATATATTCCGTTGGGTTGGAGAATCAGCAGTACTGATTGGTACTAATTCAGCAAAGCGCTGCTTGTATCATCGAGGCATCCACGCAGGAACCCATATGCCAATAGAAACCGAGCAATTCGGTTTAATCAACGATGGAACGATAAAAACACTTTTTTTAAAAACTATTTCTGTCCCACGGCGAGTAGCTATTGTGACTCAGTGAATTATAAGATAACGGTCTTGACCACCGTTGCCTTCGTAGTATAAGCCGTATTTCGTGGTGTTCCACGTGAGTAATGCAGAAGTCAGAAGTAGATCATAATAATACACAACGTACATATTCGATGGGTTTAGTTGATGAACTTAGAATCCGAATCAACTAAAGTCGTAACAAAGTCAGACAGTTTACGTAACACTTTGAGGTTGAAATTATCTTGTTCAGTCATAAACGCTAATGCAGGAGTGAAGTTGGACAAATGTGATCAAGTATACTGCAAACTCAAAGCTGCCAGGATAAACAAAGTTCTAGTCCAACATGCATGGAACAATCATATACTTGTATTTATAACCAAGCAGAAGCTTACGATTGCTTTACGTCAATGACCCCCTATATGAATGTTTGCCATCATTACCAACATCAACATAGACCAGGTATTACCGTGAGTGCACAATGGTCCAAGTTGCCACATACCCCATATCATCACATCGAGTAACAAGACAATAAAGTGGAAGATGAATCGGTCACAGTTAGTAGAAGTAGAAAGGAAGGCAGTGGCTCCGCATGAGCAACACATGTCTAAGCCATCTCTCACTCCATAAATCAACATACTTCACTATAAACTATCTCTGTTTACAAAGCTGGACAACACACGTTTCGACTACAACCACAACATGAGCGTATGAACAAGCCACACACACTCATTTTATGAATAAATCCAGATGACAATCAAACTTTAGTATACAAACTGCTATTTCCTATCTGTCAATATTCATGTATACACTCCTACATGACAACAGTTTCTTAGTTTACAAAATATGTAAGTATAAAAGGCAAACTTAGAACCTTTGAAAATGCTTAACAACATTATAATAACAATTTATATCTACTTATTCCTCCTCTAACCTTCATAATACTCAGGCATCTATTCGTACTTTAGGCAATCAACAGCTGACACACACGCTTCATACATCATCACCATCAAGATCAACACAAGATCAGGTATTACAGCGTAACAACCCAGGTTGTTACAACTCACATAAGCACATCAAGTAACAAAGTAATAAAATGGGAGATAAACAAGGGGAAAAAAATCCGTAGTAAAACAGAGGAAGAATGAGAAGATGAGATTAAGTATAGCGGTTAAGAGAAGGATAACTTGTGTCTACATTCTACGCCAATGACATCGGTTATCAGCCATACCACCTAGAGTCAGTCCCCAAACACTGGTTCTCTTGTCCTGCAGACCCCAACCACCTAGTCTGCATCGCCACACATGGCTCAAACCGACAATCAAGTGCTTCATGGATTGATGCCACGTTTTAATGTGGCCTTCTCAAGCCTTTTTCCAATTGTAACCTACTTTGGCCAACATTCTGACGAGGCAGAAGATGACTAAACATACGTAACACATGCCCCAGCCACTACTTAACATTGTATTGTAATCATAAAATGTTAGTGTTGAGCAGTATTTAATCTCCATTTCGCACAACAAACTGATTTACCAAAAGAAAAGATATTCCTGTAAGAAATTATGCCTAGGTATACTTTAAACTTACGTATTACAAGATCCACACTAGAAATTGTGAATTCGACTAAACAGTTACACAAAAAGTCAGTTAACGCTTGTTAAACCGCATCACAAAGGAGAAGACTACAACACCACAGATAGATAGATTTTACGGATAATGTCGCACATAGGTGCATCACCTCAACTTGCTAGACTTCACAGTAGTACACCAAGAACAGGTAGGTAGAAAAAGAGTGACATTAAAGAAAACAAATTTATGTGAGAGGATAAACAAGCTGAAGATAAAAGTTAGTACGAATATTCAAGCTTCAGAAGATGTCAAGGAGTGAATATATCTGCGTGATTATCAGCGATTCCCAGGTATATCACCAAGAGTCCCCAAAAAAGCTGGTTCCTTTCGTCTAGGAGATCCAAGCTGCGCAGTCTACATCTCCTCATATGACTCAGACCGACAGTGAGAAACTTTATCGATTAGTGCCACGTCTGGGCCTCACCACTCGGAATCCAATTCAAACCTAATCCAACTTCCCTAGCATGGGACGTCGACGTAGGCGGTGGCTCGGCGTGGGCAGTATATATCCAAGCCATTTCAGTTGATAGAGGTTGATAACTTCATCGGAGCCAACTATCTCATTCGATGGAGGTTCACAACCTTGCCAAGTGATTTACCTCTTCTCTGTAAAACTCCACACCTGACTTCTGCGTTACTTACGTGATGACGCCACGGAATATGGCATATACTACGAAGGCAACGGTGGTCAAACACCTAAAGACTTCTCATGTCTCCCACCTTCAATGGCTATGTTTCACAGCAATACAGTAGAAAAGAGAGGACAGTTGTGCAGGTGCAGTACACGCGACCCATAATATACAATCGGATATCACGGTGGTGCCTTAGGTGGCGATTAGATCGTCTGTGCAATCCGGTGAAGAGGAGACCTCCCTTGATGGACACCACTCGACGAGCATAGCTCCCCGGATATCTTACCATAGGCTGTAACACGCCCACAAGTGTTCGAGTAGAGAGCCTTCAATAAAGTGATGTAATTACGCGGCACGCCTTTCAGTGAGGGACATTGCCATAAGACTTCGCGACCAATGGAGTCGAATCCCACCTTCACGTCGATGAATACAGCTATTGTCGGGCGTCTGTAAGCATGCCTATGTTCCAGGACCTGGCGCAGCGTGAATATTTGGTCGATACACCCGCGGCCGGGTCTAAAGCCTGCTTGATTTTCTCGGGCTTGTTGTTCCCGAGCTCCAGTCAGGCGTCGAAGAATTATAGAACCTAGAATCTTAGACAGTATGTTCGTCAGGCTGATTCCTCTGTAGTTATCACAAGAGGACTTCTCGCCTTTCTTGAAGACTGAAATAATCAGTGATTTAGACCAGTTAGAGGGGATCGTATTTGATTCCCATATACCGGTTAACAATCCGTTAGCCTGACTAAAAGGACCTTACCACCATCCTTGTATACCTCAGGAGTTATTCCATCTGGTCTTGCTCCCCTTCCTTGTTTCAAGTTATCTACAGCTTTCTCGACTTCTGTAAGTGTTGAGGGACCTATCTCGATGTTCCATTCAGGATTCTACTGGATAGCAAGCAACGGAATGGTGGCAGGAGGCCAGTTAAACTGTCCCTTGAAGTGTTCTGCCCATCGTTCCAGTCGCCTCAACAAGATTATCGATATAAGACTAGTGGTTTCGAAACATCACTTTCATACAGTAAAGCTCTTGAATGAGCAATGCAGAAAGCTACGCGTTTTAGATAAGACTTGAAAACCAACTGATGAGTTGAGGATACTGTGCTCAACAACGGTCTGCAACTAAATGTTATTCGTTGGCTTGATCTAGATTAAAGTAGACTGTTCCAAGTCATCAAGATAACAGAAATCGACAGTTTGAGAAGTAAGACAATAAGGTTTCAAAAGTAGTCCAAGTAACAAGGTTCTATATGACTATTACTTTACGATAGGAATCGGAAATCCTCTCCGGATAACATCCCTAGTTGTACAAATATCCTCTCGAAAATTACCTCCACTTGACAAACTGAATGACCTAATTAGCACACACACACACACACATACATACATACATACACACACACGGGTCTTGTGAATAAGTTAAATTACATCATTATGTTTTCCCTTCCCTTCCATTCACTCATAAAAATGTATCTAAGATAGCTATAAATGATGTGAAAAACATAGTATGCCACGTACGCATCATAACGAATTGCAAATAACAAACAACCATTACCTGAGTGCCAGTAATCTCCATGTGTAAATGAGCTAAGCCATTGATGATTGAAGCAACAGCACGTACAAGTGCAGACGGTAGAAGGCAGTGTTGTTGTAGAAATTCATATAATGAACCTAAAGGATGATAGTCTGTTATAAGCCATAACTGAGTAGACAATCCTGTATCTTTATTATCCGCTGCAATGAAACCTAGAATATTTGCATGACGTAACATAACTGTTTGATAAATGTCTGTCTCTCTAAAATAAGAAAACAAGTGAATTATTATCCATTGAAGTATACAAATAATTGAGTTACAATGTATATCCTATAGCTTATGCATTAACACTCCTATGTAATATAATGCTATGCTAAATATAATATAAGAATCCGCTTCAATAGGCTCATAGACGAATATTCTACTTTTCTTATCTAGTACAATTAGAGTGACCCAGTCGTAAATATTTATGGCTAAGACTGTGAATAGCCTAGTAATATAGGTTCCTCCTCTGCTGAAATAACATAACTTGTACGGAGTTTAACTTTAATACATAGAAGTTTACACTATTCACTAAAGCGGAAAGCCTAATACATCAATAGATCATATTCCTCTTGAAAGATGTTAGTTGGTTGGAGGTAGTCAATAGGAAACCATGAACTTGGGTTTACTGTTTGTTGGCAAGTGAACAGAGCCTGTCTGCAACCCTTCTGAGACGTGAACCCACATCACCCAGCGTTCTAGTCAGCGTTAGTCCTGGCTTAGTAGTCACGTTGCAAACTGGTCGACAGAACACGGTCAGTACTCAGGAGTAAACAACATGAGACTGGCTCGTTCTCTAGTCCAGCAACCATGTTTTTGATTGTATAACAGAATTAAACGACATGTATTACGAATATCCACAATACCAAAGTCTAGAATGAGGTAAAAAAAATGGTTTGAAAACACGACAGAGAGACTTGAATCATACGGGGGGTCGACACACACCATGGAAGGCTAATTCTTCTAGAGGCACCTGAAAAAGAAGGGATAGTGGGTGAACACAGAGCCCAAGGGACATCATCTGCTTGAGGTCGGTCACATACGGGCTTTCCATAGAGAAGATAGCATCAGCGTGAGAGACGCCTTACTGCTGCCACACACCCGTCTAATCAGCAGCACAACTTCGACCTCAGACCTCCGTCATACATTATCAATTTAAACTATAATGCTAACTTTTTTTGTCTGCCACTACCCAACGAATCTTTCTGGCATGGTGGGACCTCGAAGAAAGTTACCGATTAGTACAGTAAAAAAAAGTACTGAAATCTACTATCCTTTGGGTCTCCTTTTGTGTGTAACTGAGTCCTAATAGCTTCTTATATCATAACAGCTAAGAATTAAGACCACTGAGGGATTAGATTTGCTGTTTTACTTTGCTAATGACCCAGCTAGTTCTCCGGTAAGTACACAAACACACACACACACATACACTTGATACTTTCATAGAGTTGAGTAACTTAACCTTCAAAACGGATGAAAGTCTTCAAACAAGCTTCTTCAATTCTACAGTACATACTTTTTATTGTTTAGTCAAACACGTTGCTACACTTTCGGGAAGTGATCAAATGCGAGACTCAGTAGTAGTGAATCATGCTATCAGTTCCGTCCACTATTTGATTTCATATTGACAGTTAGCTTAAACCAATTCCTGGACCTCACAGCAAGGTACCTCAGAGAGGAGCATAATTCATAATATTTGCAATCAACACTTGGTCGTAATCCCCTGATGTAGAACATGTGTTGTAAATCGTCAAATGGTGATCAAGTGGCAATAATAAACTTTTTTATGACAGGATTTGTTATACTTTTTGAGGTCTTGAGAAGCGGACAAAAAACCGAATATCACTTATATTAATCATACTCAAAAGAGTTATTCAGTTCTTTTACTTGATAAATTATTCATCCTTGCTTAATGAAAACCTTAAAAAAAACTTCGCTAGGTGATTATGGATAACAGTTACTTACACACAAACCAAGGAACTCCGGCAACGAACCAACTAAGAACTTATCGCTCAACAAATATGCACTGGAAGGAAGTGGAGATGGATTGGGCATACACTGAAAAGGCCGACTGGGAACATCATGCGTCAGGCCCTCGAGTGGAACCCAGATAGGAAGCGATGAGTTGGGCGTCCGAGGGTGACATGGAGATCGTGTGAGGAGGAAATGAGAGCTTATGGGCTGTCGTGGAGCCAGGTTCAAAAGATTTCAGAGAGCAGAGCTCATTGAAGACGTGCTACTGAAGCCCTATATTCCATTAGGAACCCAAGGGATGAATAATAATAATAATAATAATAATAACAATAATAATAATAATAATATATAATACACATAAACCAAAAACGATAAAACTGATTTTGAGGGCACTTTGCTAACAGTAAAAACAACGCCTAAAACCTACAATTTACTAGCTCCATAATCAAATTTAATAAAGGAGAAACATTAAGGTGAGATGCAATGGGTATGCACAGTGTTTTACTCTTAAATCAAACTGATCATCCCACTTACCGGAACCATGAGCGTTCGTCTCGACTAGAAAATATCTTGGCTGCCACTTGATCACCTTGCCAAACACCTCGCCAGACAACACCATATCGACCTTCACCAATACGTTCCTCCAATTGAACTTGTCGAGCAACTGTTCGTTGTACTAGCAAAGGCTTTCCTGAACCTGATCCACTACACGTCTGGTCGAGTAAATCAGCAGGAATAGTACTTGTAGTAGGCATAGCAGAATTTGATCCAGTGCTAGTAATGGCCAAAGCTCCAGTTGGTGAGTTGGAACACGAATTAATATTGCTTAGAGTAGCTCCCAATACACTGCCACCGAAATGACTTAAACTACTAGCACCACGACTACTGATTATGCCGGCAGAAACAGCCGAAGGATCACTAGAGAATACTTTGACAGTCTCGGGATAGCCAGTATTAGCAGTCGGAGCGTCTGGTGTCTGCATAGATCCTTTTAAATAATGATTCTCCATACTATCCGAAGTCCATATATGGTCAGATGTGGTACCATGCTGAGAGGCGATCATACGTTTCTGTCGAGCTATTCAATTCAAGTTAGTTAGGAGAAAAATGTTTTCAGTACGTTTACTTACAATTAAAATTTGTTCAGCATCATAATGTACCTATTTACTAGTCAAAAAATGAAGCAAATATGAATAGTTTGAGTAGTCGTTTACCATCAATAATTGTACAAAGCGGTATGGTTTGTTGGCCTAAGCTCCCAACTCTTAACAAAGTTCCAGAGGGCATTTCTTACATGGATGGTGAAAACATGGAAAAGTTCATTTTGCTGTTTAGAACCGTAAATGAAACTTGACATATTCGAAATAAACAACCACAATACGATGAGACAAAATCAAGTGACCTTCAAAGTTTTTAGGTAAGTTATACCTGCTTACTGTTATCTAAGTCCGAGGATCATTAGTACATAATAAGGAATAAAAGAAAATCGTGCAGTTTAGTGTCTCATCAACTCTGAATGATGATTTTAAACCTTCTGACTTCGCCATCGATACACTTATATGTCACACATCTGTAAGTCTGCAGTCAATGAATAAAATACTCAGTAATCGAACATCACCACTTGAGTTGAGTTTTGGTTCACTGACTTGTGCACTTTTCACCAAATACGGTACAAATTCGAACCTCACTTCGTTTACAAAAGGTTTAACAAGCAAGTACCAAAAGTCCAGATGAAACAGATGTTGGCTGAAGTAGGTGCAGGCTGGAAAAAGTCCCGGTGTCCAGATTAAAACATGGCACCAATGTATGAAGTCTCTAACTGTTGGTTTGAGCCATCTAGGGCGATACAGACTAGGTGGTTGGAGTTGGCGGGACAAGAGGAACCAGTGGTTGGAGACTGACTCTAGGTAATATGGCCCAGAACCGACGTCAGTGGCGCAGATGCATACACATATTATCCTCATCTTAACCGAATCTCACCACTTTCTCATTCTTCGTTTCTCTCTTTCCGTACTTTATATTTCTTTAGACTGCATTCTCTTATCTCCATCTTGCGCCTCACTGCCTTTTTACTGGATGTACTGATATGAGGTGTGGCGACTCGGACCGTTACGCAGTATAATGCCTGGTCCTAGGTTGATCTGGATGGATGAGAACAGATGTGCCTCATAGTGTCCAAATCTGAGTGGTTGCTGAGATGCAAAATATTATGTTATGTTGGAAATAAAAAGAAGCCCTACTTTTACTTTTGAGGTCAGTGAGTAGATTTCCACAATGACAGTAAAAAACTAAACTGAATCCGAGGTAAGCCTAGATTCAAAGCTGTATGAACATGTTGAAAGTATATCCAACTATGATACTTGAGGGATGAGATACACAGCAAACATGCATACTACCTCAGGTTCGTGTACAAAAACCTCACACACGAGTGCATCACTTCAACTTGTCAAACTTCATAGTAGTATCCAAAGAACAGGTGAATAGAATGAATAAGAGATATCAAAGTAAACAAAGTTGTATGAGAATAAGCAATTTATAGATAGCGGTTAGGGCGAATATTGAAGCTTTTGAAGACGTCAAACTGTGAACACATTTGCGTCACTGTGATCGGTTTCCAACCATGTCACCAACAGTCCTCAACCACTGATTCCTATCGTCTCGAGGACCCCAACCAGGCAGTAAACATCTCCCTACATGACTTAGACTAACAGGAGACTTCATCGACTGGTGCTACGTCTTTGTCTGACCACCTTGAACCCTGTTCCAGCCTAATCCAGGCACTGCACATCAAGACGGGTGGCAGATCGACATGTGCAACACATGTCCAAGACACCTCAACCAATGAAGGTTCACAATCTTACCAACTGATTTACGCCCCCTCTCTAAAACCCTAGGCCTAACTTCCACGTTACTTACGTAGTGATACCACAATACACCGTCTATGTTGCGAAAGCAATGATGATTGAAAACCTAAAGCCCACGCATTTACTCTGCCTTTAATGACCATGTTTCAAAACCGCACAACGGAACAGAGTATACTGTGGCGCAGCAGACTCGGTCCTTAATAGTCAATCGGATATTATGGTAGTGTCACAAATGGTGTAACCTGGAGAAAGCCAATCGAGGTTTTTGTATGCATGCGGAGATTTTGTTGGTCACTAACCTAGCATGATTGATCTGACTTCCCAAATAAGTGAAGTGTTCAAAGCGCTTAATCATTTCATTCTCTACTGCTAAACAATGTACCACTGAAGACCAGTTCTGAAGTAACAATTTACATCTGGGTGACGAGAAACGTATCCCAAGCATTCTTAAACTGTCACTCAAGGTGTCCAGAAGACTAAACATTGCCAGGGTCTTCACCTGACATGACGATGTCATCTGAGTATTCTGGATCTGTGAAGAGTTATCCGTTAAGTAACACTTTAATTAACCTGTCCAACAGTCCGCGACCAGTCCCTAAATACCCGTGGTACCAGTCGAGCAGATACTGCTTCCCTTCCTCGTGTCAGGTTACTTACAGCTTTATCGACTTCTGCAAGTGTTGGAGGCCGTCTCAACGTCCAGTTGAGGATCCGACTCGAAACCAGACAATGAGCCACACCTAATGTGTGAGGGCTAATGGCTGCCAAAACCTCGGTAGGTGGAGCGGGACTCGGACCCGTGATTCGACTGGACAATGGGCAATGGAATAGTAGCTGGAAACCAGTCCAACTATTCCTCGGAGTGTCCCGCTTAACTTTCCAGTAGTCTCTCCTGTGAGTGAATCACAGACTTGTTCTCCACCTTATACTCACTAACCACTGAACTTTTCGTCCGTTTCCCTGAAGAGTTTAAATAGCTGTTTACTGCAACTGAACCGCGCTGCCTTTTCTGCCTCTTTCGCCTTCGCTATTCACCACCAGTCGAGGTCATTGAGTATACTTCTTGTCAGCCTAAATTTGAGTTGCTTCCTCTCTTTACCGTACTCGGGGCCTACAAGGATGCGTTCGCGTGCCACCACTAATTCATTAGTCTGAGATCCATTGGCTGTTTCTAACCACTTCTTGAGAGTCAACTACAGTCATCAACGCTGTTTTTAAAACAAGCTGGAGAGGGCGACACGCTCCTTCTGGATGAGCGACTTTGTTCTGTACTAATAACTATCTACCTAGTTCCTTGTTAAAATCAGACTTAGGATTTCCTTCGTTCAGTAGCACCCGCAACGGCTTTGCTGTTAGTTTTTCTGCGTTCATTTAAGTGCAGACATATGAGTGCTTGATTCAGCGTGTGATCCCTGCCTAAACACGTGCTTTATGAGTGGTCATCGTCCACCTACTATCTCCAGAAAGAACTGATAGCAGTATGATATATTTTTGTCCACTACTGAGTTGAGGTCAGTGGATGCCACGTCAAACAATGTCTCTCTTTATGTCTAAGGTTTGTGATGGTCAGAAATAAATGGTTGGTTAAGCACAATGGTTGCAGCCGATAGCTGTTATCTGTTTGCTCGACTGGGATTCCGAAAGTGACACCTAAGTGCCTTTCTGGGTGACTTGGCCTAACATCCTGTGGATTGAAATAGTCTGCTACGACAACCATATCTGAACGTTTGGCTTTCAGCAGGAGGCTAAACAGTTTTCGGTAGAACTCATTCTTTACTCCATCCAAACTGCAGTCAGCGGGTGTGAGCACAGATTGCAAAGAAATAACGACAAGTTTAGCTACGCTTCTAAGTCCTCACTGAACTGGTCAGTCGAAAAGCCTGTACAGGTGAAAATCAACTCCAATCCAGTCAGGCAGTGCACTTTTTGCTTTATGCATATCAAACCTTTACCTTCAAGTCCGCATGAACTAGCCATTAAATCCTTAAAAAGTCGATGAGTGGATTTTACAGTCATCACACTGACCAAGTTGAGTTACGTGGATGATTACACTCAAGTTCTGCATGCGTACCTCACAACCACAGAAGTCATCTATGGCACGCGATTCTACCGTTTTGGATCAAGAAGCCTGTTGGTCACTTTGATAGATGCAGAAACTAAAAGCTCCAATGGGTCGTTTGAAGCACGATTTCACAAGACCAGAGAAGCTGTTTCGTGAGGTCAAATCGTGATCATGTACTACAGAGCTGTGAGAAATTAGAAATGATGTAGGAATGTTGACCGAGAGACATGAAGAAAGATTAGGAGGTAAGAATATGGAAAGTTGATAATAATTTGAGGGAAAGTGAGTCCTGACAGAATTGTGAGGGAGGTTGACACTTCCAGACTGACCATATAGTGGAAGGTTGCATTTTCTTGAGGTACCTGAAAAAGGAAGATTAGTGCGTGACCGAAGAGTCAAATGGACATCAGCTTGAGGCCAGTCACAGACATTTTAAAAGTTTGAGGTTTATAAATATGACTCTACCCAAACTTTTTTGTATAGGTGACTCTGTCTTGTCAAATTTTGTTAAATGTTAACTATATGTTAAGTGTGATGACCGCATGAACCGCAGATTTCGGTTTGCACGTGTACATATGCATATAATTCATATAACATGTGTTGATAATGCCATTTAGTGGGTTAAAATGAGGTCAGGCTGATTTATTCCCTCTTCCCCATTTAGAGAGTTTTGATTTTACTTTGCATAAAGAGATTCTGAGACTTTTCTGATAATTTCTAAAGCTCCTATTTCGTTAAACTACCGACCGATAGTTGGTACCTTGACGTGGTGGTAACATTTGTACATCACAATGACGAAACAAGCTAAGTTAGTGGAACGCTTGTTCCCACGAAGTCTTACCATATCACAAAGGTCACTTGGATAGTCGTGAGACAAAAAGCAGTCACCGCTATAATGTAAATAGCTACACAACGATGGGGGTTCCAAAGAGACCTTACTGGTGATTGTATGGGAGTGTGACAGCAGCAAGGTGTTCCTCTTGGACAACCAGAAGTCCCACACTGATGCTGCCATCCCATCAGGAAGGGGGATTTATAGGTCAGCCCTAAAAATACCACACCCTATGGCATACCAGTGGTTGCAATACGTGTTTATAGTCCTATTTGAGAAAAACAAACTAAAACCTTAAACTTTTAAAAAGGCCTCACGCAAACGTTCGCAAGCAGATGGCTGGAGATTGGAAGGACAAACCATTTAGCGCTAGAGGTTGGAATGTCTTGGCACTTCATTAGACGCTGGATCAAAACTGTTCAAATGATTTACATTTGTATATAAATTGTCATCCCTGAAACAAGTCTCTAAATAATCGAATCATTCCTACGGAAAATGATTCAGGAATAATAACACAAAAAGCTTCTAAACCTACCCTCAATAAAGCTGATTTGCTATGCGATCACAAAAGTGTTCAATACCCCCAGCTACGCATTCTACGACTGGAACTAAGATTCCCTTACAGTCAACAAATGGAAAATGTCACCGTAACTAGTGGTAGAAGTCGTCTTAGTGAACGCTTCCAAAAATAAACAATGTTCGCCAAAATAATTACTTCAAGGATTAACACAGGCCACTTGACCTGCTATCCTTAACATTGAAGACAACTTAGTAAGCACAGAAAATCCTTTAAGATTTGCGTAAAAACAGATGATAGCACAAACTTAGTCATACATCTAACTTCCAATTGATGGTGACCTACCGAGTAAACATTTTAACAACAAAGTAATTATTTTATGTACTACCACCTGGAAATGAAGCTTTTAATTGCGGTATCAGACATGGAAGTAGCTTACTACTTGCGTGGATACGGGATGTCCTAGCACAAACGATGTGCAGGCTGACTGGAACCACAAAACAACCATCACAATGACATTCACAAAGAGCGAATATGGCAAGCATAACCTTACAATAGAAATAGCGGTTTCGTCTAGTGACCATTTACAATAAAGAATACGCGCCTTACAAACAATCCCAAAACTAGCGTCAGGAACAGTTAAGAACCTGAGGTGATACTTATCTAACATGTTCTCAACGGCCAGGAACCAACTAATTAAGTGTTATCCGAACTTTCTGCACACATCAAACAATAGATATGCTGCATGGCCTAGGTTATACAAAGGATAAGAAAGGCCGCATTAGTTCTGATGAGTTAAACATAGAACGACACGACGGAAAGCAATAACCAATCCCTTAAAAGATGGGCTGAACAACTTTCCACCGTATCCAACTATACTTCGCACTAAACATAATAAAAACTATGAATCCTTAAAAACACATGGAATAATTTATTTTACCGTCCTACCCAAGCCATCTAACATCAAGTTTATATCAAACAGCGTTACCTACTTCACAAAATGATGCAAACTCACCCGACTTTTTTCTCAACAGAAAGTAGAACGTTCCGGAAACAATACAAAGGATGATGCACAAGATTGTCAACAGAGATATTGCAACAAGATACAGATCCGAAGGACTATCTCTAACTAGCAACATGAGTTCCTCTGAAGTTGGCACATTGCAATGCTTCTCAGAACAACATCTGATGTCACTGTCTTGCTGACACTTGATAGGGGTGAAGAAATCATCCTTCGCGCATCTGAAGAGTAATCAGAATATAATGAACTCACGTAAGATCGTAAAACTGCCTAGGTTCCTTCCGAGGTTCGTGAATAAGATTTAAACGACACGAGTAACCTGGGCCTGGAGTACAGCAGTATGGACGCGTTTTTAATTCACGGTAATAGGTGGGGAGATGGCGTTTATCTTCCCAATTTGACAACAGTAAGTCGATATATCTATTCCAGTTTTTTTGATGTTCTTCAGAAAGTGGTCCACAAGGTCTACAATCCGATTGGTTTGCTGCAGGACACAGCAAAAGCATGCACTCCATTAAAAAGACATATCAAACATTTCTTGGCGGCATATGGACGTCCTTGAGAAGCTGAAACCTAGATACCTAGTTAAAATATATGCCAATATACAATGCCTCCATCGTGACCTAGTGCATAAGAAATGATATTTCGATGCTGTCTTTTAGATTTCATGAGAATACCCTAGGTCTTTCGGCTTGACGCTTATTTCGAAAGAAGTGGACTGGTTTCACACTCTGAAGAAACTTGCATTTCATCATAAACATCTACCACGGTAGCACGGAAGATGGTAGCTTTGGGACCCCAACTTCTTTTCTATACCCAGTGGTTTCTGCTGAGCTGTTGTCTTTCTGTAGAGAAAGTATACCGTTTTATTTTTCATCCTTGGTTGTGAGGATGTGATCGTTTGCAACAAGACGTACTTCATTTTGTAGGTTGCGCATGTGAAGAAGCTACAGGGCTTTTGTCCTACGCATGTCTGTGTGGGTGCCTGGAGATAAACGGAGTAAATTAACACGAGGAAGAAGTTTATTACTCATGGAGAAAAAGACGAGTTAAGAAGTGTTGATCGCTAATATATACAGGATGAGCAGAGGAAAGTCGTTAGTAGTGCCGCTTGAATGTTGGCGGCAGACCACGCTCATTAAAAATTTTGTCCAGATTTCCCTAGAAAGACTCTACTGGACAGGCCGGTATTATTTCCCATGGTGGGAGAGAATTCTGACACCAAACTAGTGTTAGCTCCCTTATAGGTCATTCTAACAGGATGCCCTCACAGTTGTCGTTACTAGGCAGGGGGTTTCGGCTTATTCGGATGAATATCCGGACGAACTGTCTTATAACCTTTGATTGGGCCACCTCCTTTTCGTAAGTAGTCTGGTGTGAATAGACTGTGGGCTTTTGTAGCCGTTGAAGTAGGTTTTTATTTTTGGTCTAACGGCTGATCTCGTTGTTCCTTTTGTACTTTGGCGAGTGCACCAGAGTCGCGAATGGATTGGAAGGGGTGCTACAGAAAGAGATTCCTCTGCAAATGGCCTAATATGCTTTCTGTAGATAGCGTTGACATGCTCTGAGGTCAAGGTGTCAAGTTTTCCATGTGCGAGACGGGTGATCATATTTGCTTCCGCTGGTAGTCGCTTGAAGTTGACAATGGCATCTAGCTCATCGGAAACGTTGAGTTTCATGGGCCTTCCAGTGGACGCTTCGTCTGGACGTATTCGCCCAGTTTATATTCAACTGTCAAAGCTCCCCAGGTTCTAAGACACATCACCTTTCCCATTCCGTTCTCTAACATCCAGACCTGTAGTCGCAAAGAGTTCTCCTAAAGCGACTGAGAACCTTTTCTGTTTACCAGACCTACAACTTCTATGTCTTTCACAGGCAAGGGCCTGAGTGATGAGACTTCGACAGATGGGTCACTCATGAGGAGTAGGAGTGCTGATTCTAAAATTGTTCCTATGTGCATTCTGGGGGTCAACGGCCACCACATGGAGCTTTTGTTTGCTTCAACGTATAACTATCTGTCAACAAGGCACTTTTGAAGTCAGGAAGACGGGCATTCATCGATGCTGGCAGTCAAAATTTTCTTGTTATGCTATGGAGAGCCGCGACTAACTCAAGGACGACAATGTTAACACTTTCGCCATTCTCTTAGTTTCCAATATGGTTGTAACTTGTGGTTATTACGTCGGTTGCACGAGAGAAGCTACTTCTAAAGCCAAGTTGTGTGGGGTTCGACATGTCTCTTGTCTTAGGAATTCCCAAATATTGCCTTCTACGATACCTTTCAGTGCTTAGGAACCTGGGTTTCTTACCTCGAACATTGTTCAATTTTTAGCCATTGTACATTTTTGAGACGTTTGTATGTATCTGGATTGGCTCAGAAAATAGGAAACGCTTTGTTCAAGCCTTGTACACTTCGCACTTTTTTAGTTTTCGGTTTGCTGGCAAAGTACACCTGAAATACATTGTTTAAAAACATTCCTGTTTTGGACTTTCCAGTTTTTAACAGGGTTACTACCAACGGGTATCGGACGTGTCTTATACACCACTGGAAGGAGTTCTGTCACATCATGGATCTATTGAAACCAATAATTGCACTGACGGGCTAAAGGTATCTTTAATTGTGAGCATGTTACTGATACCTTATGAATAAAATTTTTATTCTCATGATAGTAATTAACATGAGACACCAGTTTACAGACATCACCACATTGATTTATGTTGGAAAATGTACAAGAACAAACGGGACCCGACTGGTATAGAAGAGTGGTCAGTAAATTCGATTAAAAACATCATAAGATTCCACAAGTTATGAAATGAACAAGAAAATACCGATTTTAAGCATATGCAGAGTGGTAAAGTTAAGATCGTTTTCACTCACACTTTCTTTTTTCACCAGTGATCGCACCAAGGTAGCGTATAATTCCAAGTTTCCGTTACAAGCAGTCAACATGTTTGATTCGTCTTCGCAATGCCTCGTTACACTAGATAAACGTCTATTTTACCACAAATTCTTATGCCAATAGCTTCCGAGACCAAAAGAACCCACACAGAGGATGCTGAGAATCTGAAAGTCTCCATATACCTTATGTCAGCTACCACAGAATTATTTGTCTTCACCCCAGAAACTTGCTGATCAGATGACGTTGTTTTATTTACTGAGGAACAGGGTTCTTTCTAATCAGTGCTTTAATGGCTGTTAAAGCGGTATCGCAGTGTCTTTGAAAACTCCTCTCCGCAAATGATCATGACAAGTTGGAGCCTTGATGCGCTTCGACTGGTATGCTTCGCACCTATTGACATCGTCTAGCGGTGAAACAAACATCATTGAAATAAACACCAAATAGGAAGCTTAGTGGCTCATTGCTTTCCAGACTGTCCATGAATTTCCCATGAGGAGCTCTCATGGGAAAATGTCCTGATCGGTTTGTATTCTTCAAGAAATAAAGTGGTGCTTATTTTCGGAGTTTTTCTTTGCGCGTTTAGACAGAGGTAACGCGTATATGAGCTCACCGTCATGATCACCAGTCTTGCTTCCGTCACACCTTGGTCCGCAGGTTAAGAAGCTCAACTTCATTCGTACGGAACGCCTCATAAGACAGGTCCTATCCTCGGTACTGGTCTTTTCGTCGAGCCTCTCATCAGCTGTGCCCTCAACGCTGCCCACTAAGTCATATGAGAAGTGTTTCGGAGACATTTCCAGATAAGGTCTCACACTTTACACCAATGCAATTTCATGATAACAGGAACTGACATGCAGTTTCATGTTCCTTCGTTTACCAACCGTCCAACAAAAAGATAACAAAAAACGATCCATGAATTTATGAGTGCCGAAACAAAAAATCATTTGAAAGTCCCTTCTGATCGCCCCATTTGACACTGCTGGCATTTATTTGGATATTTTTACCCTCTTTATGGATACTCTGCCTTTGACCCTAGCCAATGTAGTGTTACCTGACTGTTTCGCTATCTTCCTTGACTCTAAACTCAGCATTCGCCCTTGCAGGATTGAGACTTACCAGGAATCTTTCACTTTCCTGTTATATGGCGCTGGACTGTTGACAACCTGACGTTGTTTTACTGTGCCCGACATTTTGTTTTGGTTCAACCTGCGGTCGTGCTGCGATTTGCCTGTTTATCTTTTAACTGGCTACTGGAAACGTTTATTTATCGATTTGATTCTGGTAGACAGATTTTTTCATCCCTTTTGTCCGGAAAATTCTTGTTGACTCTCAGGTACTTAACAGTAGTATTTGTTAAACCGGTCTTTACCGTATAGTACGTATTTGTGCCCGAGAACATTTGGACTGTATAGTTACCCGATGGCACAGTTGAGGTGTTTTTGTGATTTTGGTATAACTTGTCGTTTCTTTGATAGTACCACGGATTTTGTTACGAATCGACCACTGATTTACTACAAGTTGTGTTTTGATATTTTGATCCAGCCGTTGTATGTCATTCGTGGAAGTTCGGAAGCTATACAGTAGAACGCAGAAACTTGTCGGATTCGCTTTAGTTGGCACCATCTTGTTATTTCCCGTGTTCAGGTCAGTGTTATTGGAGTTTGACTGTTACAGCAGGTATTATTTCCACTAAGTAGATATGTTCACGTTGAAATTCAGCATTAAATGTCCTCATCGAGCTGTTGCTGAAAATAACAGAAAGAAAGAAGGAGCACTGGTAGATACGGAGAGAGGAATTACTACACAGTCCAGCTGGAGAAGAGAGAAGTTCCTATACTTTGGACTTGCCCGAACTTTGTGCACACCTTCATGTATACATGTATGATTAACTACATATTTTTCCCATCATAAAGTTCCTAAAAATTTTCACTATCTGCGGTATATCGTAGTAGTTAACAGGGGAAACCAGTGTACATAAAGTTCATTATAGTGACAAAAGGAACTGGTACTCACACCCTTATAAGCAGTTGTAAACCCATCGGTGTAAAATGAACTTCAGGGCTACAATAACTCTGTTTGATACTTTTTGGGGTCCAAGTACGCCCTCATTAGTACGGGATGCATAGATGGTGGCTAACTGAACGATGGACTCATCGTTTATTAGTAGCTTAATAAGTGAAGGGCGGACTATACATTTAATAGTGGGCATGGCAACATGTACAGGTTAAAAGTTACACATAAGAAATAAATGATGACAAATGTCTTTATCCTCGAGTTACGAAGTTATCGTGAGAGAAGCCAGTTTACAGGCCTCATCAAATTGATAATTGCAGAGAAACTTTAAAGTTTTTAGCAGTTTTGAACGGTACAAAGGGAGGATATTAAACTCTATCATGATACGAAGTGTCTAAATGTTATGAAAATAGCAGGAAAATATCACTTTACAGTACATACACATCGTTCTGAGTTTAAGGCATTCCTGCTCACAATTCTTTCTTCACATCAAATGGTGCAATATTTGGTGTTTGCGTTGTGAGTAGTCGACATCATTGACTCATCTACAAGACTCGGTGTTTCGTCAGATAAACGTCAGTTTTAACAGTAATTCTTGTGTTCGTAGATTTACTGACCGATAGTAACTTACTTCAATGATTTCAGGAATAAGTAAGTATCCATACAATCATTTAATCCAGGTGAATGTCTAAGTCCAGGCGTTTCTCACTCTCCAAGTGTTATCTCTTCCAGCAATTCACATTGGTAGTGCCGAAAACATTTGTTGTGGTGCAAGTAATTAAAGAATGGAAGAATCGTCGTTCAACGGTGGTGAATATTACACACGTGTAAAACTTCATAGACTTCACATTAAAGTATGCAACATTGTCAAGGAGATATATTGGCTGTTAACTGACTTCTGTCAAATGGATTGATACAAGGCAAAGTACCCGAAAAATCTATTGCATAGCATTATTATGGATGTGTTGCTGTTAGGTAAAGTGATCTGTCGAGTTTGATTGTCTATCCAGATTTATGCTGCATTTGTGACGGACCAGAAATCGGAGACCAATTATTGTGCTTGAGGTTTCGCATGTGGTATTAATTAGAATACTGGTAAGGAGGTGATTTGGTTGTGAAGCTGTTCAAGAAACAGGAAATTGAGGGTGAACCAGATGAATACTTTTAACATCAGTTTTCAGTATCACTTACGAAGTAGGATTTTCAGTAAGTTGATACTTTTTGATCAAACTAATGCTTAGGACTTTCTCGTCAGGCTGATACTGGAAAGAGAAGAGAGAAGAAGGAGAAACTGGACAATGGAATACCACGTAAAACTGACATCCTTGTGCCTTCGTACCCCCGCCCTCTGTTTTCTCTACTCCTATTGTTAATAGAATCTCAGAAACCAGCAATTAGTTTGGAATTACAATATTTCATCAGTGCTTTTCTTAAGTAACGCTTCATCCTTCTTCAAGCAACCACCCCGCAATCGCGCAACCTGCGATGAACATCATTATGGCACCACATGAAGATAATTCCTCAAAGGATCTTGACATTTATTTATCCAGTGTTTCGTTGGCTGGCGCCATTTTGTCTGCTGCAGCTGTAAACAGTATACAAAAATGCAGGGAAATACCTGCAACTTTATCCACAGAAGCGGATCATTTGATTCAACTTCGAAGTTCAAAGTAATTCGACCATTATTCACCGAGCCATTAAGCGCGACGTGGAGGATCATGGCGACCACGGCGGACATATGTCCAGTTTGGTGTGAACAAACAAAAATAGATCGTCTCATCATTGAGGTGATATACTGTCGTCAATATTGTTTTTTATTGTCTATACAATATATCTTGACCTTCCAACGAACCTGGAGATGCACATCCTTTGGTTTGCCCATTGGCTCTGCTGTAGCACTTCCCCCAATATACATGACCTTTCAAACTAAAGCACTTGAGTAACTTAGCCAGTATTACTTTTTTTCGAGAAAAAACTTACTGAGTTAACCCCTCTTCTTTTTGAGTGATGCTTTTAGGCGTTTGTAAAACGTGACTTTCATTTCTACCAGATAACCTAAAAGAGTAACAAAATTTCAGTGGTTAACTTAGAGTGCACTAATTGTACGTGATGTAAAGTCTTTCTTTCAGACCGTAGATTTCTACTACCTGGAGTGAAAAAAGATGGTAAAAAACATTACAGACTACTTTTCACCACTAAATGCTTAAACCCTATCTGTAAAAACGATATGCACCTGTAGATTCAGTAATAAATTACTGTTACTACTATTATTGCCATCGTCACGCTTTGTGTCGCATTTTCGGAGTTTGGTGATCCAACAACAAGTATATGAATACGTTTTTCCACCAACTTTGCATAGTTTCATAATGTATGCTATCTATAATTCACAGGCACCAGTAAGTTACTTAGAGAAAACAGCTCCAAGTCTACTGCTCTCGTTCATGAATGAGTGAGGAAGATGCAGCTAACAACAGATTACGCAGCAGATAACCGCAGCAAGATATTAATGTATAGTGACCATGAATAAAGCATGAGATGAGATCTTTTGTCTCAATTCATCACCTGAAGACCTATTCGCAGTTAAATTTTATATTCAACTCCTGACACCAAAGAGGTGGTGCAGGTGCTTAGAGAAAAGGTAGGATATCTCGGATTCGTTGCACTTGCCAGGTAGGGCTGGATGGTGAGAATTTTCATGGAGATTTGGCGAATAGGCAGTAGCAGAACGATAGGGGTTCTTGCAGTTACACGGCAGAGATAGGTTTACAGAGGTCTCACAGAAATCAGACTTTTAAGAACTTGGTTTTAGATATTACTGGAGCACAAGTACCGTCAAAATGTGGAGATGTCATGTCTTTCCTATATCCACTAATTCTTTCCAAAAAGGAAGAGCTGTTGAGTATAAGAGGGTCACTTTCACTTCGATGTCTGCAGAGGGTTATGAACTAGTCGTCTCAAACTACAGACCTGTTAACTTACCTTAATCTGCTGCTAATATCAAGGAGAGGTAAATAACCACTCCTCAACTATCTGCTGCAGGACTAAATGTTGTCGGATTCAAAATATAATTTTAAACCTAACTAGTCATGAAGCGTTAACTTGCTGCCAGTACAGAAGCCTGGAGCGATTCGGTGCACAAAAGTATTCTGAGCACAAAATTTCTTGATTTTTCAGGGCGCTTGGCACAACAGACCATAACCAGCTGCGTCAGAAGCGATAAGGCAAGGTATAACAGGGCTTTCATCAGAGTGGTTAGAAAGTTGTTACTAAGGCTACAAACAGCTATGTTTCAGTCCTACTTGTTCCCCTAAATTAAAATCATCAGTCAGGTTCCCCAGCGTTCCGTAATCGGCTTGCCGTTGCTTGTAATCTTTCTTTGATTTTCTAGGCTTCCTCATATCAAACTGAATGCCCTACTCTAACTACCAGTTACCATATCTTCATATCACACTAAGGGTATTGACCTTCTGGAATAAGTTCAAGGGAGTACAGTCAGTACGGTGGTACGGTTAAAATGCAGGTCGTATGAAGCTCTCCTCAACATATGACAGCTAAACCTTGTGCAGGACAGACTAGGAGGTATGATTATCATATATCATGCCCCCAATAATCCCATATTTCCCGACATATCCCCCTAACTTTTATCTCGGTAACCGCTCCATGACTGGATGTCATCGAACAGACATAAGTCTTCCATAAGGAAGTAGGTGAAGATGATGTAAAATGTTCTTGGTGCATGCTTTCCTGGCTCAGTCAACAGGTGTGGACCCGTTTTATTGACCATTTTTTCATCTAGATAATCGGATTACCACTAGGAAAATAACGCTTATCTTTGAATACCGCAGGCAGATAACTCATAAAACCTTCAGTTCACCATTAGAGTAGCAAGAACATCTGATATTATTCAGCAAATGGCATTGGACATTGAGATGTAGATGACTAATTGAGGGCTGCCGGGTGCTTTAAATCTTAAGGATTGTTTCCGAAGCAGCGTGTTTTGCGATATATCACGTGGATATTTACCTTATAATTCACATTCTAAATGACACTATACAGTGTAATCTTTCTATGACCAATTATTCCCCACACAACTTCTTAAATGGAGACCGACGACACTGTTGAACAGTCTCCTCCCTGTAAGAAAGCGTGTACAGATGAAAATCTGCCCGATTTTTTCTTGTTGGAGGAATTGTCGAATGTCTTAGGGGTTTGTCCATACAGGCAGGAACTTGGAGTTGTGAATCAAGAGCTGGATTTGCTGGATGACATTCATGTGAGTTGTGTTGCAGACCTCACTCTTAATGACATCGGACAAGTTAATAAATCGGAGTTCGCTCCCTGTAATTTTGTGCTCCCTGTTGACCAAATGTGTAACAACCACTATTCTGTATATATCCCCCACGGGAGGAGGAACATATTCTACAACCCACACTAACTCCCGAGGACCTAGAATTACCACCCAAGGAGGAGGCTGTGTCAACCTGCCCGGCAATTGCAATAGATGCCAAGCAGGAGGCTTCCGTCTTGCAGCAAGTGTCGTTTCTTCACAAGAAAGGCTTGTGGTCTCCTGACCGTCTACCGAAAGTCATGGAGCCAAGGTGTGGGAAGTTGCATCATGTTCATCTTCTTAATGAAGCACTCTGGTTATCGACAGATTTCAGTGAAGAAAGAAAGTGGAAGAAGGAAATTGCTAGCAAGGTAAGCCATAAAAATAAAACTTCTGGTCTTACTTGTCAGTCAGTCCAGATTTTATATGTATTGCATACTACCATTTCGGAACGTTTTATGCTAGGTTTGTGTTTTCCCATGTTAGCTGTCATGGTATTACTGAAGGATGTATCCCCCAAAATTCCTCATAGATACTTTAGGATGAGGTTAGTTAGTACGTTTGCAGAAACCCCCTACAAGTTTTTAGGTTGGTATCATCTTACTAATCCAGTTGTTTATCCACTTGCAGGTTTATTTGTTAAACTGTAAACATATGGTTTTACTTTATGTCCAGATCAAGATAGTTGACATTCTAACTCCAGAATTACTAGGTGAAAATTGAGTGCCAGAATAGTATCCCTCAGATTCATAGTTCCTAAAACTTACAGATGTTATCTGGTGAAATTAAGTTTCGTATTTTTCTTGGGCGGCAATTACTTAAAGTAACCTGCTGAGTACTTTCGGGTCACTTCTTGCATATAAGGAGTGACGTCCGAATTCACTGTGCTAAACTGGTGGTTTACAGCTCGTATTGTAACTCATCGTGGCATATTCATGTATTTGTCACAGCAGAGTAGTTTGAATTATAGCCTTAAGTATTAGTTCCATTCATTCCTAGTTTCAATGTATTCATATTTCACTGTCGATCTTTTTGAACATAAAATTTGGCTAGATAGACGTTACCCTGATTTGGTTGTTAAATATGGTCATCACTATCACTAAATAAGTCCTGATAAAAATAGCGAACACATCAACAACCATGAATTCTTGTTCCGATGCCACTCATATTCTCGGTCATTTCAACCTCTTTTTGAATTCAATTTTATTACTTTACTGTTCTGAAGTAAAGCACTTAGACCAACCTACTTTTGTCCGAAGTTCTACGTTATTTATTTAGCAGGGTTCCCACCAGTTCAATTACATTGAGGTATGGTCTAGCTAAAATCTGAACAGACTGACTTTAACTTCTGAGTATTGTAGAATTTTATTTCATTCATCCAGGCAACCGAATTGGCAAATAAGTCACTTCATCTACCAGTGTGGGCGATTAGGTAGTATTCTAAGCCCTTAAAATAGGTATCAGACGCAAATAGAATCAAGACATCTGCTCGTGTTGCCACACTTCCCATTAGTAAACAAAAGCAAGTGAAGCGGGCTGATAAAGGAGTAGACAAACGTATTTAGGGAAAGATGAGATTTAGAATTGAAGGCTAGTCGAAACATTCAAGCCTGAGGAAACGTCGAGCAGTGAACATATCTGCGTCATTGTGACCGATTCTCAGCCATGTCACAAACAGTCCCCAACCACTCATTCCTATCATCTCAGGGACCCCAACCAAGCAGGGTGAACCTCACAAGACTCAGACCAGCAGTCAGAGACTTGATGGACTGGTACCACGTCTTGAAATGGCCGCCCTAAACCAACCTAGTCTAATTTCCCTCAACATTTCACATCAAGGTAGGTGATGACTCGGCATGCGCAGCACATCCAAGCCACCTCAGTCAGTGAGGGTTCATAGGCTCGCTGACTGACTTCCCTGTATTGTCTAGTACCCTTTGCCTAACGACGATATTGCTCACACAAGGATTCTACCAAGCGTGAGCAATGCTACCAAGACACCTGTGATCGAAAACGTGTAGGCCCTTCATGTCTTCTATCTTTATCAGTCATGTTTCACAACCGTGTAGCGGGACAGAGCAGACTGCAACACAGTACATCCGTCCTTTAATAAATAGTTGGGTATCTCACCACTCGACGTCACGGATAACGCAAGTTGGCAAATGCCAAACAAGCCTTCCGCATCGGAGCTGAGATTTCGTCAGTAGCCCCCCGTTAGAGCCGATGCAACTGCTCTTGTCAGTGAAGTGATTGATGTGTCCCACCACTTCACTGCACATCCTTAAACTGACTAGGAGTAGTTGTAAACCAGTCGTGGTGTTTCATTTTACATCCGACTTGTGTGACGTGCACGTCAAACATAGAGAGACTCCTGTTTAGGTCATTGAGAAGATCCTACATTTTGTCAGCGTCTTGACATAGCAGGCCAATATCGTCTGCATACTCCACAACAGCGTACAAAGACGAATCGAATGACGAGAATGATAGTGTAATTAAGTGTATGTTAGGGAAAACACCGTGTTAATGCTAATTCACCTCGTGATCATATGTAGCTGGTTCGCACCACTAGAGTGTGCAAATGCCATTTTGACTGTTTAAATTCGGCAATAGTGAATAGATAGTTCGTACATTTGCAAACAATATTTGATCATTATGCATAAGCATCTCGAATTATCATCTAGATATCTTACACCAGTTGCGTAGAGAAGATTTGAGGTGGCCTGGATGTGCTGCGCATGCCGAGTCATCACCTACCTTGATGTGAAATGTTGAGGGAAATTAGACTAGGTTGGTTTAGGGCGGCCATTTCAAGACGTGGTACCAGTCCATCAAGTCTCTGACTGCTGGTCTGAGTCTTGTGAGGTTCACCCTGCTTGGTTGGGGTCCCTGAGATGATAGGAATGAGTGGTTGGGGACTGTTTGTGACATGGCTGAGAATCGGTCACAATGACGCTTGACGTCTTCTCAGGCTTGAATATTTTCGGTAACCTTATATTTCAAATTGTTTATTTTTTGCGCACCATTGTCTACTTTTTTTTATCGCTTTTTCTACCCACTTTGGATTTGTGTTGTACTGTTAAGTGTCGCAGCTTGTGGTAGAGAACTTGTGTGCCGGGCTCTACTTTGATCCTGTCTATCTATCTGTCTGACTGTTGTAAATCTCGATAATTTGAAGCGATGCATTATTTCCGTTCGTTAATGTGCATTAATGTATCTGTCTGAGTGACTCTGCGTTTTTGGCTTCTGATTTTTCTATTTCAGCTTTTGCGTAGTAAAAATGTTAACCTCAGAATAACGGTAAACGTATTTGTAATCATATTGTCACGAATAATTTCACCTAGTTTATACGTGATTTACTCTACTACTTATCAGACCCCAGTTTTCATTTGGAAGCTTTTCTAGCATTATGATGTGACTCTACTCAAGAAGGAATTTGAGTTAAAATTATTGCCCGGCTCTTTTCTTGGCTTAACCAATCAGTAGGTCATATATCCAAACCCCCTTACACACGAAGATTCGGTTAACCAGGTAGTATTCTAATCTCATACAACATATGTGTCTCATTATCTAATACACAGATAACTCTAGATAGTTATCAAAAAATAGAGTCAAAATTGAAACCCACTCAGCAACTTTAAGCACATCCGTGGAGTAGGCAATTAGCCACACCTATCATGTGAAGGCTAATAGTACCACTACCTGGCTTCTCAAACCTCGGTAGGTGGAGCGGGGTTTGAACTCGTGATTCACCTCAGAATTACTTGCATGTTTTCATCAGATGCAAGCACTCCTACGAGACAGGTGATTGAAGACGTAGTCATTGAGCGTCTTGAGCACAGAGAGACTAGGTTTCACAAGTGTGGAGCAGAAATTCTCGTACCGATGTTATTGTATACCCAACCTTTTAGAGCAAGGTTAGCATCACGATTGCGCTGGAGGTGACCCAGATTGGAATATACCACTCTGGCTTTCGATATACGTTTGGAAAAGTCATCAGTCATATCTCCACAGCCATCTGGGTACATAGACTTTTCGAAAACTTCCCATGTTTCATCATCAAAAGTGAATGCAGACGCAAGTTCCCACTGATCTCATAAAAGCATTTTGCACTTCAGTAGTGCAAAGCATATACCATACTTACAGAAGCTGACTAAGTGCGATTTGAGTATCCCGTATTTCGTCGCACAGTAAAACGGTGTCATTTTCATGCTTAGGGTTGAAAAGTCCTTCCCTGGTAACAGATCCACATTGCTACTAAGCACTTCCCTCAGAACTGTCTTTAAAATGTCACCGATGGCAGAGTTAGGAAGGAATAGTAAAATTGGGCAACCTTGCCCGACTCCACTTCTGGTTTAGAACAATGGAGATATCTTCATCAAATTAAGAAGAACAAGGTTTGCAAAAGAAATATGGCAATAAGTGGCTGTAATTTTCCCTTCTACTTGAAGGTTTAGAAGTATCGAGCTTTCATGATGCTAAAACACTACTCTATTGCGCCCCTGTCTAATACATAATCCAGCGGTACAACCCTGTCGAATGAATGGTAGGCAACTTTAATATGGAGGAAGAAAACGATCCTTAACGTGCAATACTTGTAACAGTGTTCAAGCATCTAACGGAAAGTGAACACGTGATCAACACGTCAACGACCTAAAGGAATCCCAACCTACTCCTTGTGGGTCATGCGTTTTTTGCATAGCTTGCGAATCATGATAAAAGCCATCACTCTAGACGGTACTAGTGACCAGTATTATGCTTCTTTGACTTTCTGTGGTGTTGGGAAGAATAGAAATCTAAAATGCTACACATTTTTGTGTTTCTACGGTGTTTTATCTTTTTCTTTGACATTTCTTTTGTTCTTCTTAAATGCCTTGTTATACATGAATCGCATATGCAATCGTTGTATCACTCTTGATCTGACTGCTTAATATGTTTCAGGAGTGTAAATGATCTAGGAAACAGTTGCGCTTATCTATAACAATAAATTGATATGTCCTTTTGAAGGGCTTTATCATCATGCTGCTCTACGTTGATTTTTTTAACATTGTTATCTAATATTCCTATCTGTATCTTATGATTTGAAACTAACCGCTGGCTGTGTTGAAATGTAAACTTAGATAACTGTTATTTGCTGTTGATCACTTGTAAACTTAGCTTGCTCGTGCTGCACAAGTTTATCTCATTACACGCCATGAATGGAATCAACAGTTTCAGCATTTTGAAGAACAGCTAAGGATGCGAAACGCGGCTCGTGTGGCAAAAATAGTTAAAGATTGGTGGAATGGTGTACACCAGGTAAGTTTAATTTCTTAATTTATGTTTGTCGGTATGAATAGAAAAGTGTTTACCCCTTTACATACTTTTATGCAGTTGGTATTTCTTTCACTAGTTGTTTGTTACTTGCAATTTCCCGTTGCTATGGTTGGTCAAATTGCTCGATCTCTGTTGGCAGATGGGCCTATATGTGGAGACCCCAATAATGCCCGGTTACTCTTTATGTTGTAACTTGCTTGGTGGTGGCTAGCAGTGGAATCTTGGATGTGCGTTTTATCCTATTTGGCGGTCGTCAGCTGGATATACCTGGGTCGAGCAGTATAGCAATCGGAGATTGCAGGTATCGAAAAACAATAAATGATATCCATTACACAAGAGGTGACTCTCGTGCTCCAGTAGCCTAGTGGATAACGCTCCGGCGTTTGAAGGGATCGGTGCTGGGTTCAAGTCACAGTGAGAACAACATCACTCGTTGGGGTGCGGGTACATCCAGCTGACAAGTCCCAAAGAGGACGAAACGTGCGTCATGAATTCCAATGATATCCACCAAGCCGATTCCTTTCATCATTTTGTCTGGTTGACTGACTTAGTCACTATACTGGCCCTGAACACAAACAGGCTATATGTAGCCGAATCTGATCAAAAAGTAGTGACCACTATTGGTTTCTTTATCATATTTCTCAGTATCTCAGGATATCACAGAAATCGTCAGAAATAGATGCTTAAAACCATGAAGACGTTGTTAGAATCATAAAGACGTCACCTTTCGTGTTATTAGAATAGGCAGTGGTACTCTTACATTTTGTCTATTTCTGTCAGTGATACCTAACAAAATTCAAATTATACACAGTCGTCATGTCTCACTTGAAATTTTGTAGTTCCATTCTTTCTCTTCTTTGTTTTTCATTCCTGCAGTGTTAAAGTGTGTAACACGAGCCAATGTGCTTTTTAGATTCTATGTCCTTTCAGTCAATCATTTTTTAAAAATCGAACTCATTCTCATTTAAACCAATTTAATGACAAATGTGTTTTTAATTTCAGAACTTAAATGTCTTACGTATGAAACTGTACCATAAACGGTGGGAACATGCTTGCAAAGAGAATCAAGGTTCCGTTGCCCATTTTTCTGATATGGGTCCAAGCTGGTTGGGAGCTATAAATTATGACTTGGAAGATGATGGTTTCCACGAGTCTGATATACCACAGAGTCTGCATGATGAAAGAATCTTGTCACATGTTGATGGTGATGCAGATGTTGACGATAAAGATTGGAAGCCAGATGTGGAATACGATGGGACTATAAAATTGGATAGTTCTAGCAGATCAACAAGCAGTAGTCTAGCAGCCAGTTTTATGGATGATAGTGATACGAGTGGTTTAGGAGTTGCTGTTTACTCCTCACCTGATCATTTATCTCCAGAATATCATTCTCCTGAGATCTCTTCTACTTGCTTAACTGCTTGTTACCAAGAGAAAAAACAATCTGGATCGAAAAAAAAACGAAAGACTCAAGAGGAACAGTCACATGCTTCCGATTATGAACCTCAGGATGATGTTTCCGAAGAGTCGCGTAACACTGCACCTACAGAAACGCGTTTGACTTCCCTTTCACCAAATTCTTGTGATTGCAGCATCGAGAGTGCTGAAGTAAAAGGTTTGATGTCCGATATGAAAGTGCCTTTAGGTCGTTTTCTTGAACCATACTTTCAGCAAGGATGGTATATCAAAGACAAAGTTACCTCTATGTCTGAATTTTGTTCTTCAGATTCAGATATTGCCAACCTTGAAGATGACTGTCATATGAACAATAAACTTTCAAAGGTGAGTTGAATTTAATTTGCTGTCCACTTGTTTTAACGAGTAACCGTAAAAAAAGTATATGACCAACAAGAGTTATGAACAGTTGAGTATGAAATTATCCTGTATTTTTCAGCTTATACCTCACTACTCACGATATCACTGGGAATTTAAATCAGAGTGTAGTTCTCGCCTAAGCAATTAAACTTTCAGAAGTCAATGAGCGAATACATCGGCGCCCCTTTGACTGACTTCCAGGCACTTCACCAGGAGTTTGCAGTTGTTAATTCCTATCGTCTCGGGGACCCTAACCAAGCAGGGTGAACCTCACAAGACTCGGACCAGCAGTCAGAGACTTTATGGACTGGCATCAAGTCTTGATCTGGTCACCCTGAACTTTAAACCAACATAATCCATCTTGTGCTAGCATAGTACATCAAGATAGGCTTTGGCATGACATACGCTAAACATGTCCATGTCATTCAAGTCTATGAAGGTTCACAACCTCATCCACGAAAATGCCTTCGTTTCTTGGTTTCCTTCATTCAATCTCGACATTGCTCAGACCATTATTTGACCATACGCTAATATTGCTACAAAGACACATTTGCTCAAAAACTCGTAGTCTCTTCACATCTACTTTCAATAGTCATGTCTTGCAGCCGCAAAACATGACAGGATGAACTTTGGCACAGTACGCTCGTCTTTCGATGGATAATCGGATATATTGCTAATCGACGCCACAGATTACGCAAGTTGGCAAATGCCAAACTAGCCTTCTGCATCGGAGCCGAGATTTCGTCAGCAACCCACCCGTCGGAGCCGATGCAACTGCTCTTGTCAGTGAAGTGATTGATGTGTCCCACCACTTCACTGCACATCCTTAAACTGACTAGGAGTAGTTGTAAACCAGTCGTGGTGTTTCATTTTACATCCGACTTGTGTGACGTGCACGTCAAACATAGAGAGACTCCTGTTTAGGTCATTGAGAAGATCCTACATTTTGTCAGCGTCTTGACATAGCAGGCCAATATCGTCTGCATACTCCAAGTGAAGCAGATGATCTCCAGGGAGTGAACAATCCCATTGAAGTTGAAAGCACCTCAGGTGTTGTTGACTAACACATCTATAACGGATTTAAGCAGGAAGGATGATGGGTGTCTCATTCTTGTTGGAGACTAGTATATGTCGTGAATTGAGGCGACAACTTTGCACGGACTGTTATGCGGCTACGTGAGTTTGAGTGGAGAGTTTTGATTCATTCGCGTGATGTACTTGGTTAGTAATTTTTTCATAGTCAGACAGACAGCAACTCACCGTCGACAGAGTCGAATGCCTCCTTCGGGTCAACGAATATGGCAGGTGCGAATCGTTGACCTATAAGTATACCTGTGTTCCAGGACCTGCCGAATGCTCGAGATCTGATTGATGCAGACTCTTCCTAGTTTGAAAGCTGCTCAGTTTTCTTGAGCTTCAGCTTAGTACCGAATAACTATGGGCTGAAGTATCTTGAATACGACTTTTGTTCAACTGATACCCTTGTGGTCGCCACTGAACGCCTTGTCCGCTTTCTTGTATAATAGAACAGTCAGTGAAGTAAACTGGAATGCCTCTAATCCCCATGCGCTACTTAGAATCTCCGTTTCTGTACTCATTAATTTCCAGCCTTTATCCTTAAAGACTTCCGTTTGCAAACCGTCGGGTCCTACTGCCTCGCACTGTATCAGGTTCGAAACAGCTTTCTGAACTTTGAGGAGAATTCGAAAACTGATGTCTACATGCCATTCAGGTTTGGGGTGGGTGTTGAGCAACGTGGGCGTTTCTGTAAGCCAGTTGAACGGTGTTTTTTTAACTGATCGACCCAATGTACTAGCCGTCTATCTTTGGGGATTATCATAGTCCCGTTTTTTTTCTGTGATGGTCTCAGTCACCATTGCTTTCTTGCCAGTATCCTAAATAAGTGTAAATAATTTCTGGTAGTACTTAATGCTGATGTTTTCTCCATCTGTATCGCTTTCACTACCGCAGATTCGAAAACTAATTACGTATCTAATGGGCTGCAGTGTAGGATTTAATGTAAATTGGGCCAGTTAGATGGTTTACTTATGCATTGTTGACTCAGCGATAGGCTCAATTTTAAGTACAAACATTTTCATGGGGGAGTTTCCAGACAGACAACTTGGAACATGTTTATTGGCACTAAGTTACATTATTTAGGCCTGTAGTGCACACTCACCATTGCAGATCTATATATTATTGGTGCGCAAAGGTAAACAAGACCATATTCGACTGGAAATGACAAAGTCACTTACTAGTACTTGGTAAGCATAGAGTGTGAGTATTTGATACTGTGGACGTTTTAAATTCATGTTATAATTCGTCAACAATTACTTACCTTCCTCAACTGTAGAACACACGTGCATGGTTGGTGTCCTTGCAGCATTGCTCTAAAACCTACTTGTGTCTCCTACCAGTACATCATTTTCTCTTGAGTTTTTGGCTGTCAGTTGTTCAGAAAAACTCAGTGATTCTCACTGTCACCAGTCCTGTTTAACTTCATTATAGACATACTAATAAACCTGTGACTTCATGGAGACTGATATAATCCCTAGAGGGCATCCGGTTGGCTTGAGGTATGCAGACGATATTGTTCTGATAGGTCAAGACATTAACAAAACACAGGATCTGGACGCGTTGAGCAGAAATCTATGTATGTTTGCCATGCGTTTCGCTAGCATCTGTTAAATGTAGGATGATGCTCCAGAACTAGTGTCTACACTTATTTCTAGTTTAATAAAAAGAAGTGAATCGGTTGAGTGAGTTGATCACTTCACTTAATTGGAGAGTTGCATCAACTCTATCGAGCACCTTGCTGAGGCACTCTTAGCTCAGATACAAAACACCCGTTCGGCATTTACCAGTTTGTGTCATCACTAACACTGACTGACAAGATATCCAATTATCTATCAAAGAAAGTGTTTACTGCGTTGCAGTTCGTTCTGTTCGGTTATACGGCTATGAGACATGCCTGTTAAAAGTAGAAGACATGAAGCGACTACAGGGTTTTGATTATAGATGTTTTCGCAGCACTGCTTGCGTTCAGTGGAATCACTGTGTGAACAGTTTTAAGGTCAGGCGAAAGAAATTCGACAAGATAGGCAAGTCGATTGATGAGGTTGTGAACCTCCATCGGCTAAGCTGATTTAGACATGTACTGCACATATCGAGCCACCCTTTTCCTCAGTATGCCATGCTAGGAGAAGCTGGGTTAGGTTGGGAGAAGGCCCAGGGTTGTCAGATCAAGACGTGGACACCAGTCGATGAAGTCCCTTCCTGTTGGTTTGGGCAGTGTATGCAGGTGTAAACTACCTAAAATCTGTGTATTTGTACTAACCTTTTTCTTCAAATTGTTTATTGCTTCCATGAACTTTGTTGACTTTGGTATGACTGTTATTCTATCCACCTGTTCCGTTCGTGCTATTGTAGAGTGTGGCAACTTTGATTTGTTTACTTTAATTTTGTCTATCTATCTATCTATCTTTTTCAATTTACATATCGTTTACTGTTTTGTGTATCTCTCTAAATTTCATTTCGATTCATCAGATATACAAGTGATAGGTGTTGTCTGGATTCTAAATCATAAGAACCGTTGGTTGACGCGTTAAAATATTTGAATATTCCTATTGTGGGGATCTACATATGAACTGAATTTAGACACTTGCATGAACCAATCAATAATCTGTTCATGTATGCTTTCTAGTCGCAATAAGGATCACTAGTAACCCATATGACTTGGATATAACCTTTTCTTATCATGACACTGGATAGCAGATTCAAGTCTTTACAAGAGCATAGTGTTTTCTTCACTTGTTTAGATACATCTTTTTGACGGGGTATCAATACACATAAGACGTTTATATATGGTTCCTTGTAGGCTTACATACATTTTCTGCAAAGGAGGAGTCATAATTCTGTCCTAAGAAGACAATTATTATTTAGTGCAGTCTTTATTGTATGAGGTAGGAAGTGTGTATAAGAAATCCATGACACAAAGAACACTACTGCATTGCATATATCAATTCAACTAAATTTTTATGATCATAGTATGTGTTACGCATATTCTGATAATTCATAAGCTCACGCCTTTTTTTTTTTACTTTGATCATCCAGTTATATTATTTTGCCTTTTTGATAGCGTATTCAAAAGGAACTTTCAATTCTTCAGAGTGAAGCAGATGCACCTTTACTTGAAGTGCTTCCTAATGGTTATATCGATTTTTTAGCTAGCATTGAAACAGAGAAATGCTGTACTGAGCAAACAGTTCAATCACCTTTACAAAAAAGTCCTTGTGATTTCAGTCAATTATCAGAAGCTGATAGCAAAATAGACAATGGGGACGTCTCCTCTTCTCTTGAAGGCAATACTGCAAACCTGGATACTGGTGATATAGGTATTGTACAAGCTGATACAGTAAGCTCTAGCTCTGAAGAATCTTCATTGATGCACATTGACAGCAATGAGTGTGACCAATTATCAGAAGATGAATTTATTACAAATTCTCGTATGGTTCGTGCACCTTGGTGCTCTACTGAACCTCTTTCTGAATCTAGTCAATTAATAGATCTACACACAGCTGCTGTTGAATTAATTCCATTAAAATTGACATCTATAGCAAGTACTAATCCAACTCAATCTGTCTCTGAAGCATATGCATTGGCCTATGGTCCAACTCTTCGAATTCGTTCCCTACCAACTCCTAACCTTGGTGAGTATAATATTTTATTATCATTACTCTTGTTATATAACTCAGCCCGGTACAGATTTGTATACTAGGCTATAAATCATGCTTTTCACCTGAGGACTTGTGATACTGTTCCGTTATTCAAGCCAAAGCAGCTGAAACTGGATTTGAAACCCGAGATCCATTGCTGAAAAGTTGAATGCTTAAGCCTATGAACAAGGTCATAGTTAATACACAAAAGTATTCTAAGGAAACTGTTATTGGTATGTACCAACAAAGTTCATTTCACATTTAAAGGTGAACGGTTTTGACAAGTTGACGATATAGCTATGAGTAGTCCCTTAGGACCACTACTAGCCGATATTTATACGTCATATACGGAAAATCTGGTTGGCGATCTCATCGCTAAAGTTTCTTTTTACAAGAGATATGTCGATGACGTCATAGTGGTTAGTGAGAGGCAAGAGGATAAGGTTTATCTACGAAATAGACAACACCGTACAAACTCATATTAGCCTGACTTACAAGGTAGAGAATGATAATCATCTGCCCTCTTAGACGTTCTCCTAAGTCGACGAGATGTTTCAATATGGCAGTCGGTCCACAGGAAGCCTAAATAGATGGGACAATTTCTGTCCAATCCAATACAAGGGAGATCTAGTAAAATGCTTGTTCAATAGGATATATTGTATGTATACATCAGATACGATGAATTAAGATTACAGATTACTGACCAAAACAATTATAGAAAACAGATATCTGTTGAAGTTTGTAAATGGTTGTCGAAGTCAGGTAGCACCAAAGCCAACTCTATACAGTTTCTTAAGATAAGTGTCCACATTACCATAAAGAGGGGGAGTTGAACAGTATAATAACAGTATAATAACATCAGACATTATTATTATTCGTCCCTTGGGTTCCTAGTGGAACATACGGCTTCAGTAGGACGTCTCTATTCCACTCTGTTCTCTGCAGTCTTTTGAACCTGGCTCTACAACTGCCCAGCTCTCATTTCTTCCTCACATGATCTCCTCCATGTCACTCCGCCTCGGACGCCCAACTTGTCGTTTCCCATTTGGGTTCCACTCGAGTGCCTGGCCTGTCGCGTGATGTCCCCTAATGGTCTTCTCAGTGTATGCTCAATCCATCTCCATTTCCTTCTGCATATTTGTTGAGCGATATGTTGTTGGTTGGTTCGTCGCTAGCCAGCCAGACAGAGTTCGCTGTTGCTTGTTCCCATTATTCTGGCCATCTGATCTTCAGTGTACTGAGCGTAGGCAGTTGTTGATTGTCTATAGTTTGTTGGAAATGCCTTTCGTAATGCGCCATGAAAATCAGGCATTAGAAAAGTATATTACACGGCTAATCTTATCATTATGGAGAAAACAAAACACATGCTTCACCACAAAGCTAAACACTGCATCAATGATCAATAGTTTACATATGTGTGCGATACACATAGGGAGGAGTAATGGAGCCATGCGGTTAAAAATGGGAGAACATGTACCTAAATGGCTTCAAAAACATATGGAGTGTGAAACCTTCGATAAGAGCAGGTGGGAGACGACGACCCTCTTTCTCTAAAACTAAACATTATAGAAATGGATCACAAGCTTAACATTCTAGTCCTTTCAGTTGTTGCGTAAGTATATACTCATTTATGCAATTGATCATAGGCTACACTGTTATACAATTTTTTCATAGTTTTTGCGTTGATTGGTTGTATTGTCAGAAAAGATGATACATTTTTACTTGGATAATGTAATTAGAAGACGTAGATTATCTGAAAACTGTGGTGATGTATTAGCGCCATACATTTTGAACAATCTGATCCCCCCCACACATTTACTTGTTAAGGCAGTATTATATATGAAAACTGGAAGTGGGGGAAGGACAAATATGTATGATATGAAGAAATTCGATAATAAGGAAGATAATGAAAGGAGAAAAAAAGATAAGACTTGAAGACAATCTTGGTAATACAATAAAATAAACATTATCAAGGTAGGCTTAATATAAGGACAAACTGTTTTTGCACACACAATGGGATTATTTACGGCTAGCACCTCAACAAACTTGAGTATACACCCCTGACAGCTTCTATACAAAATTGTAAAGGCGGTTTTAATGTCAATCCTGTGACTCTTATCAATGATGTGTATGCGGATGATGGTTGTCTGCCATCTGCGCTTATCAATGTTTGTGAATGCAGCTACTTTTGTAGCCATTTTGAAACATGTTCCCCTACTGTCAAGTGCACATCATGATTAGTCCTCCCTATGTATGTTTGTCCACACACACCATGTAAACTTATAAACGCAGTGGGATGTGATGCAATCGTTTATACAGTGTTGAGGTCTATGTTACGGTAGGTGTTTGGTCTTCTCAACTACGATAAGCTTAGCTGCATAGTATGTTTTGTTAACAGCAGACCTTAACCTTCGTTTTAATATTATGCTGTTAGATTCTCCTCTGTATGGTAACGCGATGTAAACCAATTTCCAGTTTTCATATATAATACTGCCTTAACAAGTAAATGTGTGTGTGTGTGTGGGGGGGGATCAGATTGTTTAAAATGTATAGCGCTAATACATCACCATATTTTTCAGATTATCTACGTCTTCTAATTACATTATCCAAATTCATAAAAGGGACTAATTGTTTCACATTTTTATCTGCTTTTATTATCTATTAGTGTCATATGCTATGAACGTTTTTTATTGACTATGTACAGTTCATTTACTTACTGTCTGTTTGTAGATTCTTAAGTCCAGAGCTAAAATGTATGCGATGATAACCCTTAAATCACCATGAAATAAAATCCACTTAACTCTTATTTAGCTGACATCTTCTGTTTACTTGAGCACTGAACTTTCGAGTGTTACCTCTTAAGTTCGAATCTCTCTCCATCTACTTCTCCCAATATATTAAGAGATTACCCATTAAGTTTTAGTTGTACAGTACATAGAATTGTATTACATTACAGAGAGTTGGATAACCATTTACCATACTTATGTACTCATTATATATCCGATGACTTATGAATTTATGTACATGTATTGTGTTAAATTTTTTTCAAAAAATCGCTTAGTTCATTCCTAATTTCTTTTCAAGCTGCAAATTATTCCAAGCTTCTATCAAATATATGTAATGTTTCACAGTAGTTTTCGTTGTAGATTAACATCATTTGGACGAATATTGATGACCTTAGAGCTGTTTCCTTACACGTTAAGACTACTTGTAACCTCGTAAAAGAGGTCGAGCCTCGGGACAGATAGGTCTCATGGTTGAAAATGCTATCATTCAACCATTGGGTTAATATCCAGTAGTTAATGTTTTTTCTACTTCTTTAATTTTGCTATGTGTAATTCGACCCTTATCTAATGCTATTGGCGAGTATTTCTTCTCATCCCCCTATTAGATTGACCCCACAGATCACGGCTTCACGTTATAACTTCGGGAAGTCTGTCTAGATGCAAATCATTAATGAGCACTAAACAACAATTCACTTAGTTGTTTTGTAAGGATTAATTCATCCCAAATTAGTTTTCACCTTAGATTGATGGAATTAGTAAGTGTTAGAATGTTTGGAGATACCTAGAAAAATCACCTTCACCTTCAATAATAATTCTTTAGTATGTTATTTGGTTGGAAGCAATCGGCGGAATATATTGGGTTTATGCTTCGTGCTTGTTAGCACTTACCAGCAAGGTGTATTTACAGCCTTGAAAGAACTGATAGCCTCTCTGAGATTCTAACCGGTGTCGCCTAGTGTTTCAGTCACTGAAATTATCACTGAGCTATTTATGTTGCGGTTGACCTCCCGTAAGGCTAGACTAGATTCGTTGTTTGGTCACTGCATCTAATCCAGCATATCTAATTGTTCATTATAACTGAAAACAAACAACAGACAGAATGTTCAAATCATCATTTTAAGAACAACGGTGTAAAACAGAGTTAGGTAGGTATCTCATGATTATGGCACCTATCGTTTCTGATCGCATTGCAGTATACTATAGATTTAATGGGTTTTGCGGTTGTAACCTTTACGCACTTATAAAGATGAACGAAAATCTCAGGAATCAGGTACAAGCCCTCTTGTTGAGGTTATACCAAATATTAGGCAGCTACACAAATTTCAACATGTTAGATTCCATTCGAACCACTGACACACATACATACACACACTAGAACAGAATGAAGGCTGTGAATTCAATCCTTAATAGTGTCATCATTATTTCATGATTTTGGTTTTTAGACAGTGTTGCTTCGTGTTAATCATTGGACTTTTGGTTTTGTCATTGTTAATATTTGTCCCTTGGGTTCCTAGTGGAATATACGGCTTCAGTTGCACGTCTCCATTTCACTCTCTTCTCTGCAGTCTTTTGAACCTGGTCCCACCACTCCCCACAACCTTTCATTTCTTCTTTACACCATCTCCTCCATGTCACCCTCATCGTTTTCCATCTGGGTTCCACTCGAGTCCCTGGCCTGTCGCGTGATGTCCCCTAATGGTGTTCTCGGTGTATGCCCAATCCATCTCCACTTCCTCCCAGTGCATATTTGTTGGGCGATAGGTTATTGGTTTGTTCGTTGCCCGGCCAGAGTTTCTTGTCGCTTATTCTTTCTGGCCATCTGATCACTACTGAGCATAGGCAGCTGTTGATGTGATGCATGTCTGCAGTTTGTTGGAAACGCTTTTCGTAGCGCTCCAAGTTTCTGAACCACATAGCAGCACTGACTTGACTGAATTGGTGTTGGAAATCCGGATGTTGTTCACGCTTTATGTTGAGTGCAGTAGATCTCCACACTGATTTCAGATTGATGAAGGCTTGTCTTGCTGTCTTTTCAATCCTGGTTTTGACGTCCTCATCTGTGCTTGTGCTGCCTGTAGTTGAAACGATGCTGCCCTGCCTAGGTAGGTGAAAGAGACCACTTCCTTTAGATTTTTCCTGTTCATGGTGAACGGTACTTGTTGTTATTGGTGGTTGGGTATCTTCATCACCTCTGTCATCTCTACGTCCACCTGAAGAAAGTCCCGTTTTCCCTGCCTTGCCTCTTCATTCAACTTATTAGTTTTCGCCTGTAGATGTTCGAGTTTGTGCGATATTCGATACAAATCATGATTGACGAAGTGCAAATCTTCTAGAGCCTTTTCATCGGTCAAACAGCGTGTGCCCATCTTTTCTCCCCTCACAGTTGTCTGTTACATGATTCAGTTGAGTCGAGTCTAGTGGAGTCGACCACAGTTAGTAAGATGATCGGTGATAGTAGGTGACAAACATGTCTTACTTCTGTTACCTGTCTTCACTTCAAAGGCATTACTGAACATCTTTTCACTGTGAATTACTTGGTATGTAGCATCGTCATACAGCATATAGCTGCTTTTGAATGAGTTTGATGAGGGTTTGTGGCACTAAAACTGTAGTGTTGAAGTGGCAGCTGCCAAATTACCTCTCAGTCTATGCTATCGAATGTCTTTTCAAAATCGATGAAGTTGAGGTAGAGAGTTGACTACCATTGATTTATTTGCAGACAGTCCACACTGAACATCCATGATTTAGTGTAAAATTAATACCATCTTACTTATTGTTAATATAAAATTGGGTTGAATAACTTGTGAATATGTACTTCATGTTTTGCGTTCCATTGGTTTGAAAAGTTCATAGGTGCACGCTGCTGAGGAGTCCCATACTTGGACGAAACAGCTATCCAGTGCTCCCAGGTTTCCAATATCTCTCCAACTAATGTCAGTCCATGATGAATCCCAAAATGAAATCAATAAATAAATCCCCATAGACCTCCAAACTGAATTAATCTACTGCTCATTGGTGACTTGTTTAGAACTAGGATCCCCGAAGTTCTAATGGGAAGTCGTGACCAGTAGGGTCTAGCAAGTTGAACATGGGGATATTTACTAAACGGCGGCATTGGATGAAGGTCACGGTCTATTGTGAGCTGACTGGTTTTCAACCCAGTGGGTCAATAGTAACGTGTTGGCTGTAGAACCTGAGGGTGGTGAACTGGATCCCTGGTGTGCTTGGCGGAGTTATGAGTGCGCACTTCTAAGGATGAAATAGCTATCCAATACTCCCATGGTGCAGTTGATATCACTTCATGATGAATACCAACCTGAAATCAATAAACAAATCCCCACAAATCTCCAAATTGGAGTTCATATTTGCCAGAAATATTATAGACACTTGTACACTAATGATGGGCAGTGGAATCCAGGATGCGCGTTTCATCCTATTTGGGACTCCGTCAGCTGGATGTGCCTGCCTCCCAGTGAGTGATGTTGTTATTGCTTGTATTACACCGTCGTTGATTGGACCGAGACTGATCAATTCGGTCCAATCAACGACGGTGTAATACAAGCAGCAACGCTAAAACGATACCCATCTCACAATAAGTGGCTATTGTGGTTCGGTGGTGTAGTGAATAACGCCCTCGCGTTTGAAGCGAACGCTCCCGAGTCCTGGTGGAAACAACATCACTCAGTGGAAGGCAGGTATATCCAGTTGACGAGTCCCGAATAGGACGAAATGCGCACTCTGGATTCCACTGCTCATCATTACTATACATGATTAAAACACAGGTAATATCGAGGCATCCGCACAGGAGCCCATATGCCAACAGAGACTGATGAATTCGGTCCAGTCAACGACGGTGTAATACAAGCAGTTACACTATTATAGACACTGTTCTCTGACGCTTATATAACAGTAGTATTCATCATTCCAAAATCATCCCTTCATTCGTATCTACAATCCATTCTTAATATGAATAAACTTCATATTCTCATTTCTAGTTACTGCCTAGTTAACATTGAAAGAACGTTGTTGAATTGGTTTTCATGCTAATTGTTATTCAGCATCAAAACTTTTGTACTATCAAGTCATATATATATATATATATATATATATATATATATATATATATATATATACACTAGTTTTAAGTTACTGTTTATTGAATTTAGTAAAATCTTACATAAAACATTGAATGCTAGGTAGTTGCTAGGAGTGGGAATTCAGGATGCGCACTTCGTCCTATTTTGGACTCGTCAGTGGATGTACCAGGACCCCAGTGAGTGATGTTCCCACGAAGACTCGAATCAACTTGAAAGTCCGTTTCTGTTTCTGGGCATCGTTGAACTATTTTACTTTTGAGCATTACTTAACCATTCTTACTTATCATAGTCCTGATCACTTACTATTCACTTCTTCAATTTATCGTGTTACGCGAAATACTTCATCACTTTTTCCTATCACTTCAGTTAAGTTCAGTTGTTCTTTATTGTTTCAGGTGCAGCTGTAACATGGATTCGACATGCATTTGCTCGATCCATTCCAGTACTTTTACTAACAAACAATCATTTATCAGGTGATGCTGAATTAGCTGTTGCTGCACATCTTGGACTACTTGCAGTAGCTGATCCTCGGTATTATATTCCACCAGAACATTTGTCCAATGAGTTGGGAAATAATTCAATCACAGGGGAATGGGGTCCACATTTGATTGTCACTCCACGTTTATGCCTTCCTGCTTGGCAGAGGCGTTTACAAATGTGGTGTCCTGGTCTTCGAGTAATATGCCTAGGTCTTGCTCGTAAAATTGAACGGTCTGGGACTGGACATCGCCTTCGTGACAGTGTAGCTCGAGGCGCTGTAAATATCTGTTTAACTAGTTATTCCGCTCTACGTTCACGACCTAGTCGTTTTTCAAGAATTCAATGGAGCTCAGTTATTTTTGACCAGGTAAGATCATGTCATTTTATGCATTTACAAGTTTTTTAAGACATTTTGATGCTATATATATATATATATATATATATATATATATATATATATATATATATATATATATATATATATATACTGTAAGTTAAATCTCTTCATCACTCATGAAAATATTTCGGGAGACCAATTTTCACTCGACTGGTTTTGGAAATAGATAGCGAAATATGTTTGACATCTATATATAGGGTAATACATTCTATTTGTCAACCACAATGGTCACCTTTTGAATTGAAGAGCATAACATGTTGCATCAATTGTGTAAATTGGGAACAAAGACAAAAATTTGGTTGTTTTCAACTCAGACAAACGAACGTAAAGAAGGTGAATCACCGAAAAAAAACATTTTTACGATTCATTACCAGCTGCTTGTAGCAAAATGCAACTATGAAACTATTTTCCTAAAAATCAGCCACATTAAATTTGGTATCCATGGCGTTTCATATTCCTGACCACTTATAACTATTTTGATATAGTGATCCGACTTGCACATCATAATGACCCAACGAGTTACTCTGGTGGAACGTTCGATCCGTGAACGTCCCGCCACATCAGAGAAGTCACTTCGATGATGGTGAGACAAGAAGGAGTTACCGCTGTAGTGTAAATAACTACATTATAATTGGGGGTCTGAGGATAAAGTCATATTACTTATTGGGTGGGGATGTGTGTGACAACAATAAGGTGTTTTCCTTGGATGACTAAAAGTGCCAGTTTTGATGCTGCCTCCCCTGCGAGAGTCGACGGGTGGTTAGGAAAGGTCGACCGCAAAATACCACACCCTCTCAACCTACAGCATCGCGTTACTGGGTTCGTAGTTGAACTCGAAACAAACAAATTAACATCTCATGCTTTCAAAACGGCAGTTACACATCAACCATTCTTTTTCAGGTATCATAAGGAAAAATAACCGTCCACGATGTGAGCGGTCGGGTAATGTCAACCATCCTCATGACTCTGTCAGGCTTCGAGTTCCCTGAAATCAATGTCCACCCTCCACATTTTTACCTTCTAATCTTTCTTCACGTCTCTCGGTCAAATTTCCTACATCATCTTTGGTTTCCAGCCATTCTCGAACTCCTATCATACTGTATTTACTTACACTACAGCGGTAACTGCTTTTTGTCCCACTACTATCCAAGTGACTTTTCTGATCTGGTAGAACCTTCAAAGAACAAGCATTCAGCTAGCCTAGCCCGTTGGGTCATTGCTATATGGAAGTCCGGTCTCCACATTAAGTTGAGGGCCGCCAGTACATTGTTAAGTTAGTTTTCATTGGCTGTTGCTACTATGTTCTGAATTGTTGTTGCATTGTCTGCTATCTTGATAACTGAGGGAACTTATATACTTATATACTATTCCTTCACTTTTTCGTCTGGCGTTATTTGCCGAATGATGGTCAAGAGCGGTATCTAAGAGTTGCGTTTTATCGTATTTGCGTCATCAGGCGGGCGTAGTACCTACCTTCAAGTGAGTGATGTTATTCCTGTGGAGATTCGAAGCAGCACTTATAACTTCGAACGCCAAAGTATTACCTATTATGTTCGTATGTTGCAAGAGTCACATCTTATGCACCGTGTATGATTTTTTTTAATTAATGCTAATGAAATGGAATAGTTTATTTTGTGTGTATATTAGGATTTCTGATACTATACTATGCATCATGTGAAGGGACGTCTCCGAGTTGCGTTTACAAGAACTACTGAAAACCAAAAAGGAGTAGGTATTTGAAGCTCTTTTATTTATGCCTACAGAAGGTTGAAGATGGAGGTTGTTGATTAGGACTTAATAAGTATTCACTAGTTTTGTTACCAGGGTTTCCAGCCATGCAAACAACTTTCAAATCAGGGGATCCTGTGAAACCAAAACTTTAGACAGAACCTTCAGTTTTGTATTATGGTTTACGACTGAACATAACGAGAAAGTTTCTTCGATAAATATGAGTGTTGTATGCTTCGAAAAGGCACATAAGTGATGGTTAGATGGTGTTCAGGATACTTATAACTATGTATGCGTATTACTACTTACTTATGCGTTCATTAACCTGAAACCAGTGTGGAGATCTTCTGCACTCAGCATGAAGCGTCAACAACATCCGAATCTTCAACACCGATGTGAAGTCAGTGCTTCTATATGGCTCAGAGACTTGGCGGGTTACGAAAGGCATTTCCAAAAAACTACAGACATGCATCAGATCAACAGCTGCCTATGCTTGATACTGAAGATCAGATGGCTAGAAAGAATGAGAATAAACAACAAGGGACTCACTCTGGGAATGAACCAATCAAGAACCTTTTACTCAGCAAATATGCACTGGGAGGAAGTGGAGATGGATTGGGCATGCACTGAGAAGACCATTAGGGGACATGACGCGACAGACCAGAATGGGAAGCGATGAGTTGGGCGTCCCAACTGAGGATGATATGGAAGAGATAGTGTGAGGAAGAAATGTCATGGTGTCATGGAACTAGGTTCAAAAATTTTCAGAGAGGAGAGTTGAGATGTGCTACTGAAGCGGTATGTTCCATTAGGAACTCAAGGGACAAATAAATAAATAAATAAATTACTACTTACAGACTTAAATAGTAGCATATTATATTTTGCCAATAAAACTGGTCTGATTTACCGAATATCACTGATATCATTTGCATTCGTGAATAATTGAATCGCTTGGTGTTTTCAAGATATCTGAGCTTTGTAAACTTTTCAAATTATGCTGTATAGGATTAATACGCATAGATCTTTGTGTTATCTCCTTGATTTTCTAATTATCGATGCTTTTCTACCTATATTCTCCTATTGTTTGTCTTTTTTTCTTTCTTATTAACAAAAGATGCAACATATTATCCTGAAATCTTTCAAGAACACTGGTTTATTCTATACAGATTCACCTATTCGTCAACAAACTGTCCGAAGATCAGATTCACGGAGATTTCCTACTCAAAATACAACAACCAATGATGATACTAACATTCATTTGGATAATATAACAATGAATATAACTCCTAAACAGCATAGTCGTTGGTCACTTCCTAAAACATCTGCTTCAGCAATACGTCGAAAATTGGAATGGTTTGATTAATATTGAATAAATTAGGTCGAATTGGTCATCGTTTATTTATTAGCTCATCAGCTGATATTATTTATCATAAACATAGTCCATATTTATTAGATCTTAGTAAATTACTTCTTATGAAAGATTTACCAGATGAAGAGAATTATAGATCTTGGTTGAATGATTTTTTCCAAGCTGTCTGCCTTCCATCATCACGTCATCGTTTCCCACTTAGCTCTTGCTTGTTAACGAAACCGTCAAAGAAACAACTATTTAAGGTAAATAATTTATGCTATATATTGGATTATGTAATGTTGTAATTGAAAGGATTATTGATTTTTAGTAGATGGAATACTAGGCTACGGTGTACAAGTCGACTGTTCCACTTATATTTAATTCCTATTTGATTCATTGTATTCAATGGTTGGTTATCCCTAGTCGAATGAATACCAAGAAAAACTCACTGTCCAGACTTATTGAGTGCATGTGTCACCCTATAGATAAATAAACAAACTTACTATAGAATCTGGTACATAAGTACATCAATTCAAGCTGTCACACTTCACAATAGTACACAAAAAAGAAGTGGATAGAAAACGAGTGTTATCAAAGTAGAGAATAAACAATTTGAAGAGTTAGGTTAATGTAAATATTGAATCTTTAAAAGACGTTAAGGAGTGAATATATCTATGCCACTGTAACGTTACTCATAGTTGTCATATCATCACGGAGACTCCATCCAGGCAGGCTACATCTCTGTACACTACTCAGTCCAATAGTCAAGGACTTGTGGGGACGCCTTAGTTTGGGCACCCTCAACCCTCTTCCAACCGAACAAAGCTTTTTCTAACATTGCATGTTGAGGTAACCGGGGAATCAGCATGTGTGGTCATATGTTCATAGAAGAAAACCCCACATGTAGAAGCAATGTGATCTGGATAATATGACTATCAGCTGTAGTCAAACAGGAATTTCGATAGCGTAATTAGAAAACGAAGTTTATCTGAACAATGTATATGTTGTATTTGCGCAATACACATTTTGAACAATCTGATTACACACACATACTTGTCAACTCAATTTATGTTAAACAAAAGAGTAGCAGAACTAATACATCAATTAACACAATAGAGGATTAAAATTAAGAAAGATGAGAACAAACAGGATGAGTGGTGGTATGGTTGATCCTAATCTTTTGGTAAGAAAATAAAGTTTACCAAGGGGGTGGGGTAGGTGTAGTGTAAGAACAAATTGTTCTTTTGTATACATAAAGGTGATTTAAATTTGTGTATGGCTATGGCTTCCCCAGATCTTAGAATACGTCCCTCACTCTTTCTATATACAACTTTAAAAGCTGTTTGAACATTAACTTTGTCACCTGTTTCTATGATATATTTAGTTATAAATGAAGAGGGTCATCTCCCACCAGCCTTTATCACTGTTTCACTCTCCATTTGTTTTTGAAGCTATTTAGGTACATGCTCTCCTACCATCAACTGCATGACTCGATTACTCCTCCCTATGTACCTGTAACCACACACTCATGTAAATTAGTAAACACAATGGGATGTGACGTAATACAGTGTTTTGATGAAGCATGTTTTTCGTTTTTCCATAATGATAAGATTCTGTGTTTTCTTAATCGCTAATGTCAGCCTACGCCACGAAATTATACCATTCAACTCTTCTCTGTATGGTAGAGTGATATGGACGCTTTCCTTAGAAACCGTGTATAGAGTTGACTTCGGTGCCAACTGACCTCTACAACAGTTTATAAACTTCACCGGATATCCACTTACAATAAGTGCTTTGGTCAGTAATTTGATATCTTCATCCATCGTATCTGGTGTACTGATACCATAGATCCTATTAAACAGGCATTTTATTAGACCTCACTTACATTAGATTGGACAAAACTGTGAAAATTCAGGTATTGTCCTATCCATGTAGACTATCTGTAAACTGACCGTCTTACTGAACCATCTCGTCGACTCACGAGTATGTTTAAGAATGGCAGATAATGATTGTTATTCTCTTTCTCAAAAGTCAAGGTGATGTGATTTTGTACGGTGTTAAGTGTATTTAGTAGACAATCCATATCCCCATGCCTTTCACAAATCGCTCTGATGTCATCAACATATCACTTGTGAAGACGCACTTTCGTGTGTGTGTGTGTGTGTGTGTGTGTGTGGTGTGTGTGTGGTGTGTGTGTGTGTAATTGTTGTATTTGTCCTCCTACTCCTCGGTTTAATAGAAATTGACTTGACAAGTACATGTGTGTGTGGTTAGATTCTTCAAAATGTGTATTACGCAAATACAACACACATTGTTCAGATAAACTTCGTCTTGTTGTTAGTGTGATGGGGAGAATTCTTTGCGTAATCTTTAAATGGAGCAAACTAACTTTTGATATTCATGTTTTTTGGTTTGATAGGATGTTTTTGCTGATTATATATATATATATATATATATATATATATATATATATATATATATATGCTTTTCCTCCTTAAAAACCATAAGGAACAACTGTTAGCTAGTTAGTGAGGTGTATTGTTTGTTTAGAGTGGAATCATCATGTGAACAGTGTTGAGGTTAGTCGAAGGATGCTAGGTAACGAAGGTAAGTTAGTCGCTGATTTGTGAACTTTGACTGAGTTGACTTTGACATGTCCTGTACATGATGAGCCATTGCATACCTTGGTATGAAATGCTAAAGGAAGTTGAATTAGGTTGGAAGAGAATTTAGGATGACTTGACTAAGACGTAGCATCACTCCATCACTGTTAGTCTGGGTCGTGTATGGAGGTGTATGTGTAGAGATTACCTGGCTAGGGTCTCCGAGATGATAGAAGTCAATGATTGGAAACTCTTGGTGAAATGGTTGGTGGTCGGTCAAAATGGCGCAGACGTATCCACTCTTTGACATCTTTTAAAAGATTGACTGCCTTGAATTACGCTGGCTGGACGGATGAAAAGAGCCTGGAGGATTTGGATTTCGCCGATGATGACTTATGTCTAATGTCGCACAAACTCGAAGATCTGCGGGCGAAAACTAACTAGTTGACGGAAGAGACGAGGCAGCGAAAACGGAACTTAAAGTGAATATAGAGAAGAGGAAGGTGATGAAGATACCCAACAAACAACAGCATGAACAACAAGCACGAATCACCATTAAGGGGAGAAACCGAAAGAAAGTAGTCTCTTTCACCTGCCGACAAAGGTAGGCATCGTTTCAACTACAGGTGGCGGCACAGACGAGGATATCAAAACCAGGATCTGAAAAGCAAGACAAGCTTTCATTAGTTTGAAGTCACTATGGAGATCTACTGCAGTCAGCACAAAGAACAAAATCCGAATTTTCAAAACCAGTGTTGAGTCAGTGCAGCTAATATGGTTCAGAAACTTGGCGCGTCACGAAAAGCGTTTCCAATAAACTACAGAGATGCGTCAGATCAACAGCCGCCTATGCTCAGTACTGAAGATCAGATGGCCAGAATAGTAAGGATAAGCAACAAGGAACTCTGGCAACGAACCAGGCAGGCGTAACCAAACTTTCAAGTCGAATCCAAAGAGGGAAATGATGATTTGGGCGTTCGAGGATGACATGGAGGAGCTCATATGAGGAAGGAATGAAAGGTTATGGGCACTTGTGGCACCAGGTTGAAAAGACTTCAGGGAAGAGAGTGAAGTGGAGACGTGCAACTGAAGCCGTATGTCTCACTAGGAACCTAAGGAAAAAAATAATTATCATACAAAAACTGATAGTCATTTAACTTAAAGTTTACCTATTTAACAAACTAGATTCATCGATCCGCATTGGTTTTAGGCAAACAAAAAGTGACCGTGATCAGTTAGAATGAAGATAAAATTTCATCCATGGGGGGAGGGGGAAGGGAGGTAATACTAAATTTATTTAATTTACATTTCATCCTGTACATCACTTGAATTATCCTAATATCCATTCCTTTTTTATTATGTAATTAGTTCTTAGATCCATTCATTATGCGATTTGATGATGATGAAGATTGGGATTCATTTGTTAACGAAGAGGTTATTGAATGTCGTATGTCAACTGTGCAACAAAAACTTCATGATGCTGCATTAAGTACAAAAGCGTAAGTTGGTATTCATGTTCATCCAACTGAAATTTTCCATTATTACATATCCTTACACGTAATTCCTTTGCTTGAATAATGAATAAGTCATTATGATAACATGTAGCATTTCGAATTTTATCAGTTATTTTAAAAAATATGTACTAGTTCCATAGCTGTAAGATATGACCATTGAATACAGATTTTTTGACTCCAAGTATCGTTGCTATATTGCTCACTTACAAAAGAGTCGAGGTTAGGCGAAAGTTACTCGGCAAGGAATGGTTGTGAACTTTTCATCAACTGACGTGACTTGAACATGTGCTGCACATGCGGAGTCATCACCACCTAACTGAACATGGAATGTTAACTGAAGTTGGATTGGGTTGGAAAGAAGACTGAGGGTGACTAGACCAAGATGTAACATCACAGTCCATGAGGTCTCTGACTGTCAGTTTGGTAAGTGTAGGCAGCTGTAGACTGCCTGATCAACCTCATGAATCAGTACTTGGAGATCCCTAGGGAAGTGACTGAAAAGTGGTTACAGTGGCGCAAGTTTATTCACTATCTGACATCTTCGAAAGCTTGAAAATTTCAATAAACTTTATTTTTAAAATCCCCTTTCATCCCATACCAGTCTTTTTCTGCTCACTCTACTCGTTTTTCCTTTTTGGGACCCGTCAACTGGATGTACCCGTACCCTAGTGATTGATGTTGTCCCCACTGAGATTCGAACCCAGTACCCAGAGCGTTATCCATTAGGCCACTGGGACATGCGGGCCACCTCTTGTACAAAGGGTATCAGTTATTATTATTTCTTTGTTATTCTGGATGGAGTTGACTGACCTTGGTATATATGGGTTCGTATGTGAAAGCCTCGATATTGGCTGATTATTCATTCTGTGATGACGAGTCCCAAATAAGACGAAATATGGATCCTGGATTCTGCTGCTAGTCACCATCAGGCAGATTACAACATAGTCAATAATTTTGCAATCTCTATACATCTGCATTGGAGCCCGTATGCCAAAGACACGCCTCCATTAATCGGAAACCAATCAGTGTGGAGATCTACTGCACTCAACATAAAGCGTGAACAGCATACGGATTTTCAACACCAATCTCAGTCAAGTCAGTCAGGGCTTCTATGTGATGCCTCAGAGACTTGGCGCTTTACGAAAAGCATTTCCAACAAACTGCAGACATGCATCACATCAAGACCTACCGCCCACGCTCACTCGATACTGAATTTGGAGATCAAATGGCCAGAATAGTAAGAATAAGTAACAAGGAACTCTGACCTAGCAAGGAATCAACCGAGGACCCGTCATTCAAAATATATTCAGTAGGAAGTGGAGATGAATTGAGCTTACATTGAGAAGACTGTTTGGTTACATCACACGTCAGGCGAGGCGGTGGAGTGGAAGCCAAATGGGAAACGAAGAGTTGGGCGTCCGAGAGTGACATGTAGGAGATGATGTGGAGAAGAAATAAAAGCTTCTGGGCAGTTGTGAAGCCAGGTTAAGGAGGCTGCAGAAAAGAGAGTGAAGTGGTGACATGATACTGCAGCCCTATGTTCCACTAGGAACCTAAACGATAAATAATAAAATAAATCATTGGTGAACTATGCATACCAGTATATACAGTTATGTAATCAAGGGTTTTCGAAAGAAGAGACTGTTTGTCGTTCATTGGAATGGATTCCTTTTTAAGCATTTTATTTATAAGACATAGGCAAGAACACTATTCAGAAAATTGGTAACTGGTTGACAGAAGATGAATTTACAACTTGACAAAAGTTGAGAAAACATGATGTGTATGCTAATTGTGTCGTTAGTGTGGATACTTTTCCGTGAGGCTTCCGTAATTTGTCGAGTTTTAACGATAATAATAATAATAATAATAATAATAATAATAATAATAATAATAATAATAATAATAATAATAATAATAATAATCGCTTTGTTCCAAACAACATATATAATGCAGCATAGAATATTTCAACAAATTCGTTTTGCGAACAATATTTTTATAAGAAATAATTATTCCGTCTGTATCATGTTAATAATAACACAGTATTATAGGGATAAGAGTGAAATGGGTAGCTAGTGTTACATTAGTATATCTGTTCTCGATTTAGAAATGAAAACAGAATCCAGTGTAATTTCTATAGTGACAATTCAATCAGTTAGCACAGAAACTCATAATCCTATACAGATAGATATCCTAGAAATACTAAGATGAAACAGCTGTCCAGTGCTCCCAGGTTTCCTTTGTTCCCCCAACTGATGTCAGTCTTCGATGAATAACAACTTGAAATCCTAGAAATAGTAATACAATGTCTTTTTGACCACCTACAAATCTATTTTAACCGTTGGAATGTTTTTCCTTTTATATTGTTCTTAGTTTGACTAATGAAAGTTTGAAAACATTTTAAACACGTGTAAGAGTATATGATGCATTCAGAAGACATTTAAATGATTAAAACAAAGTGAAAAACAAGAATTCAATGAAACATATATTCGATGGTATCCCAAGATTTAAGGAGGTCGCCTTGATGAGTTTCTGCATATAGCCAGAGTTCTTCAAGACTCATATCACTTGATATGTTCTTGATTTCAATTTATGTCTGGATTTTAGTGCACTCCATTTTTCCTATCGACTGAATGACGATGTGTAGTCGTAATTATTATTATTATTTACCCTTTGGGTTCCTAGTGAAACGTTGGGCTTCAGTAGGACGTCTCCATCCCACTCTCTTCTCTGAAATCTTTTGAACCTGGCTTCACGACTGCCCACAAGCCTTCCATTTCTTCATCACACCATCTCCTCCATGTCACCCTCAGTTGGGATGCCCAACTTGCCGTTTCTCATCTGGGTCCCACTCGAGTGCGTGGCCTGTCGCGTGATGTGCCTGAATGGTGTTCTCAGTGTATGCCCAATGCATCTCCATTTGCTTCTGCATATTTGTTGAATGATATGTTGGTTGGTTGGTTGGTTGCCAGCCAGCCAGCCAGCCAGCCAGCCAGGCAGGTAGGCAGAGTTGGTTGTTGCTTATTCCCATTATTCTGGCCATCTTATCTTCAGTGTGTTGAGCGTAGGCAGTTGTTGATGTGATGCATGTCTGTAGTTTGTTGGAATTCCGTTTCGTAAGGCGCCAAGTTTCTGAGCCATATAGAATTGGTGTTGAGAATCCGGATGTTGTTGACACTTTATGCTGAGTACGGAAGATCTCCACACTGATTTCAAATTAATGAACGTCTGTCTTGTTGTGTTTCCGATTGTGGTTGGCTTTGACGTCCTCATCTGTGTTGGCTGTAGTTGAAACGATGCCTGCCTTTGTGGGTAGGTGAAGGAGTCTACTTCCTTTAGGTTTCTCCGATTGATTGCGATTCGAGCTTGTTGTTGTTGGTTGGGTAGGCTTAATGTTTTTGTTTTGAAATTCAGGTTTCATTTCGAAAAAAGAAGTAGAATTTTACAGAATGGTTATAGGGATACACTCACCTTGTATAACGACATGAAACCTAATACAAGTGACAATATAGAAAAAGCAATATTCGTCTCACAGAAGATGGTTATATTGACTCTGTAGTCTAATGGATAATGCTTTTATATTTGTAAGTTATCGATTTTATGGATTGAAAAAATATCGCCTACTGGGAGAAGGGAAGTATCTTTGACTGATGAGTTTCAACTGGGACGAAACACACATGCTGAATTCCACTGCTAGCCATTATCCATCATTAAAACATGAAACCTGGTTAATTCGGCTTCTGTTTGGCAAGTATTTAGTCTAAATCACATTCAAAGTATCTAGTAAGTTTGAAGATTTCAACGTTCTCGTCAAAATGTACAATTTCTATCAATATTTTCCTTAGATTTATCTCCCTATAATATAAGTTCTTTATAATAATTATAATAATAATCAATCTATGTTGTATGTTTTGTTGTTTCCAGTGCTGAGAATGCAATGAAAACAGGGAATTTATTAGATCTTTTACAAACTGTTTCTGTTGCTGCTCGAGCTTGTAGTCATCCAGCTTTAACAGGAACTCAACCAAAAAGTTCAAGAGTATTTCAGCATACTATAGATAATATACAAACTAGAAATGGTGCTATACATGGATCATTCATATTTAAATCACTTCAACGTGTATATGATTCAAATAGAAATTGTTATTCAAATTATGGTCTTATCTTTAATACTCCTGAATCTGTACTATTAGGTGTTAAATTATTTCGACAGAATAATTTATCCTATACATCATGTCAATACTTTAATTTATTTGAAGCACTTCAGTCATCTAAATATACTCGTGATCGAATCGCTATTCTTGTACCACAACACAATCAGTTAATATCACCTCAAAATAATAATAATAATAATAAAATAATAATATAATAATAATAATAATAATAATATGAATAGTAATCTATCAAACATTATACCATCTTCTATGGATACATTACCTCCTTCTACATCAACTATTCCAAATGGTAATAATGATAATGATCATTTTAAATCTGAAAATCATATAACCAATGGTTTACCACAATGTCAACAGTTGAATTATGATAATTCTATTGATCAAGAAATTGAATTCATAAGTATACCACAGAGACAAAAACGTCAAAGAGTTGATAGTATTAATAATAATAATAATAATGATAATGAGAATATTATTAACGAAAAACGACGTCGTATTGAAGATAATAATGATATTCAACGACCATTTCTTGATTATACTGATATTAGATCATCTAGTCAATGGCAAATAAATTCAAATTGGATATCGCATCATTTATCATGTGTTAACACTGATCCTTATATGGCACATTCTGATCAATATAGAAGTACAAATGGTATGTTATCCTTTTTTCCCTTACACTTATCTTTCATATTCTTATTTCTGTTAATAGTCAAAACATAGTCAAGCTATCAACCATTGGGTGATGAGTTTGAACTCCACTCCACCTTTCTAGGTTTGGGCGGTAATCAGATAGTTGTATCACTAGCCCTTACATAATAGATGGAGTTCATCGCCTACTTCAGGGACGTGTACATAGTTTGTCGTTTTTAGGCATTCAGCATTTTATTTTACCTTTTTAAACATCTACTACCATTCATCATCATTAATGTCAACATAGGACCAGGCATTACTGCGTAACGATCCGAGTTGCCACAGTTCAGTACAGTACATCAAGTAGAAAGGTAGTAAGGTGAAAGATGAAGATAAGAGAATACAGTCTAAGGAAATATAAAGTACGAAAAGGCAGAAAGAAGGGATGACAAAATGGTGAGATTCGGTATGTGTATACGTCTGTGCCACTGACATCGATTCTGAGCCATATCCCCTAGAGTCTCCAGCCACTGGTTCCTCTTGTCACGGAGACCCCAACCACCTAGTCTGCATCTGCCCACATGGCTCAAACCAAATCTACTACCACTGAAGTAGAGTTGTTTTATTTTATGCAGGATTAATCTGACTACCTTCTAGACGTTCATACATTTTAACCTATATCTGGTATATAATTCGTCATACTTAGACCATATTTTTGGACTGGGCTTTGTGAAATAAGCAGAAGCGTGAAGTATATTACATTTCATTCTTCTATGTACAAGTGTATAGTTCTGACACTGAGTATACCCTTTGTGTTCCGTTCCACAGGGCATGAAACCAGTGATGACTACATTTAGATGTTGTCAAATGGTAACTGCCCTTTCACTAGTAGTCGGTTATATTTTGAGGCTATTTTTGTTATTAACTTGAGTAATAAGTTATGGAAATCAATTTTCGATGTGTGTTAGGCTGAGAAAAATTATAAAGTTACAATAGAATCAACTCTTTGACCGCATACTTCCTGGATAAATCAACGTAGAACCTCATACACAAGTGGCTCAAATTGCCACACTTCACAGAAGTACATAAAGAACTGGTGGATAGAAAAAGACTGATATCAAAGTCGACAATGTTGTGTGAGAGAATAAACAATTAAAATAAAGGTTAACGCAAATATTCAAGCTTTAGAAGATATCAAGGAGTGAATACATTTGTACCGTTGTGACCGATTTTCAGCCATCTCACCAAGTGTCCTCAACCACTGATTCCTTTCATTTCAGGGACCCCAACCAGACAGTCTACATCTCCCCGCATCACTCAAACCAACAGTAAGAGACTGTATACTGGTGCCAAGTCGTAGTCTGGCCACCTTCAGCCCTCTTCCAACCTAATCCAACCTTCCTTATCATGGCACGTCAAGGTAGGCGGTGGTCGCCTATTCTTGTTGTATATCAACTAAAAATTCTAACGGACTACTCAAACCTTATTAAGTAGAGTCAGTATCAAGACGAGAATTCATATTGTGATACCCGCAGAGGAATCAGCCTGATGAACATAGAATCTAAATATTCTAGGCATTTGTAATCGTTAGATGCTTGAGTAGAGGTCGGGAACAGAAAGCCCTAGAAAAGCAGACAGGCTTCAGACCTGGAAATATGTGTATCAACTAAATATTTACATTCTGACAGGTTCTGGAACACAAGCACGCTTACCTACGCCCGACAACAGCTGTATTTCTCGATGTGAAGGCGGCATTCGACTCCGTTGATCGAGACGTCCTATGACAGTGTTTCATTGAAAGGGGTACCGAAGACGTACATCACCCTATTGAAGGCTCTTCACTTGCGCATCTGTAGGCCTGTTAGAACCTATGGTGACATCGGATGAGTTGTCCGTCAACGATACACACTCCATTCTTATTCAATTTTATCATAGATACTTATGAATGCCTCCCTCTCACATCGTCTGACCACACTGGGATTGACCTGATTACAGGAGAAATTTCGGTAGACCCAGAATACGCAGATGACGTACTGCTGTTAGATGAAGACGCTGACAAAATATAGAGTCTTCTGCACGCCTTGAATGGCAATTTGAGAATGTTTGTGATGCGTTTCTCATCACACAAATGCAAATTATTGTTCCACGACTGGTGTTCAACAGTATCCCGACTAACGATAGAGTGTGAAGTGGTTGAACACTTCATTTACCTGGGAAGTCCGATCATTCCTTGTGCGTTAGTCGGTGACCGACTAAATCTCTGCATGAATGTATAGGGCTTGGTTGGCTTTTGCCAACTTACACCATCTGTGGTCTGCCATGATATCTGACTGTTTATTAAAGGTTGAGTGAACTGTGCTGCAGTCTGCTGTGTTCTACTGTATGGCTGTGAAACGTGGGGATTATAGGTAAGAGACATGAGAAGGCTTCAGGTGTTTGATCACCGTTGCCTTTGTAACATAGGTTGTATTCCGTGGTGTCACCATGTGAGTAACATAGAAGTCAGGTGTAGAGTTTTAGGGAGAAGAGGTGAGTCAGTTGAAGAGATCGTAAACCTTCATGAAATGAGGTAGTTAAGAAATGTGTTACGTATGTTTAGTCATCTGCCTCGTCAGAATGTTGGCCAAAGTAGGTTACAACTGGAAAAAGAAGGCCACATTAAAACGTGGCATCAATCCATGAAGCATTTGACTGTCGGTTTGAGCCATGTGTGGCGATGCAGACTAGATGGTTGGGGTCTGCAGGACAAGAGAACCAGTGGTTGGAGACTGACTCTAGGTGGTATGGCTGATAACCGATGTCCTTGGCGTAGAATGTAGACACAAGTTATCCTTCTCTTAACCGCTATACTTAATCTCATCTTCTCATTCTTCCTCTGTTTTACTACGGATTTTTCCCCTTGTTTATCTCTCATTTTATTACTTTGTTACTTGATGTGCTTATGTGAGTTGTGACAACCTGGGTTGTTACGCTGTAATACCTGATCTTGTGTTGATCTTGATGGTGATGATGTATGAAGTGTGTGTGTCAGCTGTTGATTGCCTAAAGTACGAATAGATGCCTGAGTATTATGAAGGTTAGAGGAGGAATAAGTAGATATAAATTGTTATTATAATGTTGTTAAGCGTTTTCAAAGGTTCTAAGTTTGCCTTTTATACTTACATATTTTGTAAACTAAGAAACTGTTGTCATGTAGGAGTGTATACATGAATATTGACAGGTAAGAAATAGCAGTTTGTATATTAAAGTTTGATTGTCATCTGGATTTATTCATAAAATGAGTGTGTGTAGCTTGTTCATACGTTCATGTTGTGGTTGTAGTTGAAACGTGTGTTGTCCAGCTTTGTAAACAGAGATAGTTTATAGTGAAGTATGTTGATTTGTGGAGTGAGAGATGGCTTAGACATGTGTTGCTCATGCGGAGCCACTGTTTACCTCTACGCGCTATACAAGGAGAAGTTTGGTTACATTGGAAGACGGTTCAGTGTGGTCAGACCAGTAAGTGACACCAGTCCATTAAGTTTCTCGCTGTTGATCTGAGTGATGTGGGAAGATGTAGACTATCTGGTTGTGGTCTCCGAGACGAAGAAAGTCAGCGGTTGAGGGCTCTTGTTTAATAGGTGCAAGTGTATTGAATGTTGGCACTAACCTTTATCTTCAAATTGTTTATTGTCTCACACAACTTTATCTACCATATTGATTGTTACTGTCTCATTTAAACTAGTATATGAATCAGTCAACAGATAATCCTAATAATTGCCTTCCTGTTTAGTATTTATATGCGATGAAAGTCTTTCATTTAAGGAATTTCAATGGACTTCTAGTTTAATTGACTGTCGGATATGTGTATGAGTTCTTGAAACAAAAAAATTATGCATATCAAGCCCAGCTACTTAACTGATTGAGTTGTAAAACTTAGCTGGTTGATTCATCAAGCCTCAAGTTTACTTCACTATATAAGTTTTTTTGTCCATAATTGTCGTATGAATAAATGAATTATTTAGTGATTTATGTTGTTTGAAAAAAAACTATTTTGTCCTAGACTTATTGTATTATTATTATTATTATTTATCCCTTGGGTTCCTAATGGAACATACGGCTTCAGTAGCACGTCTCCATTCCACTCTCTTCTCTGCAATCTTTCGAACCTGTCGCTACGACTGCCCACAAGCTCTCATTTCTTCATCACACCATCTCCTCCATGTCACCCTCAGTTGGGATGCCTAACTTGCCGTTTCTCATCTGGGTTCCACTCGAGTGCGTGGCCTGTCGCGTGATGTGCCTGAATGGTGTTCTCAGTGTATGCCCAATGCATCTCCATTTGCTTCTGCATATTTGTTGAGTGATATTGTTGGTTGGTTGGTTGGTTGGTTGCCAGCCAGCCAGCCAGCCAGCCAGCCAGCCAGCCAGCCAGCCAGCCAGCCAGCCAGCCAGCCAGCCAGCCAGCCAGCCAGCCAGCCAGCCAGCCAGCCAGCCAGCCAGCCAGCCAGCCAGCCAGCCAGACAGCCAGGCAGAGACAGAGTTGGTTGTTGCTTATTCCCATTATTCTGGCCATCTTATCTTCAGTGTGTTGAGCGTAGGCAGTTATTGATGTGATGCATGTCTGTAATTTGTTGGGAATTCTTTTTGTAATCCTCCAAGTTTGTAAATCATATAGAAGCACTGACTTGACTGAATTGGTGTTGAAAATCCGGATGTCATTGTTTATTCTGAGTGCAGAAGATCTCCACATGGGTTTCAGATAAATGAACGCCTGTCTTGCTGTGTTTCCGATTGTGGCTGGCTTTGACGTCCTCGTGTGTGCCTGTGCTGCCTGTAGTTGGAACGATGGTACCCAGTCGGGTAGGTGAAAAAGTCTAGTTCCTTTAGGTTTCTCCCGTTGATGGTGATTGGAGCTTGTTGTTGTTGTTGTTGGTGGTGGTGGTGGTGTTGGTTGGGTATGATCATCATCTCTGTCTTCTGTAGGTTCACTTGAAGTCCCGTCGTTGCTGCCACTTCTGACAATTTGTTAGTTTTCGCCTGTAGATGTTCGAGTTTGTGTGACATTAGACACAAGTCATCGGCGAAATCTAAATCTTCTAGGATCTTTTAATCGCTCCAGCCAGCGTATGCCCCTCTTCTCAGTCGTCACGGTTTGTTGCATGATCCAGTCCACTACAATGAGGAAGATCACGGGTGATAGTAGGTGGCAGCTTTGTTTCACTCCTCTCTTCACTTCAAAGGCATCACTGAGCTTGCCATTGTGAATTACTTGGCAAATGGAGTCTTCATATAATTGTTGAATGAGATTGATAAAGGTTTGTGGTACTCCGTAGTGTTGAAGCAGCGACTGCCAAATTACTTCTCGGTCGAGGCTGTCGAAGGTCTCTTCAAAGTCGATGATGTTGAGGTAGAGAGTTAACTGACGTTCTGTGGTCTGTTCTCTGATGATGTGTAGCGTAGCGTTGCAGTTTTATCACACATGATTGCAGCCTTTTCCGGTCGTAGTTTTGCATCCAACGCATTCTGTAGTATCTGCAGGATGATGCGGTTTAATATTGTGCTTAGGTTGGACAGGAGCATGATTCCTCACCAGTTCTTGCAAAGACTTAGGTCCCCCTTCTTCGGGAGTTTAACAAGGTAGCCCTTCTTCCAATCAGTTGGCAGGTACTTTTCCTTCCTTCCAGACATGCAATAATGCTATGAGCATGTATTTAACATATATATCAACTCGTAATTTTATTGTGTTGTTAATATTTCAGTATTTTCTGTATTGTTTAGATGTTTCAAATCAATCAAATCACCTTGTACATTCATCAACTCACAACAGCTTTACTAGTTCAAATGAATATTCAGATGATACCATTTCAAATGTAGGTTCATGTTTTTAATATGTAAAATATGTATGGATACACAGTATCTGTGTATACTTTTACCTTTGCATATATTCTATTCTGTAAGTTAATATTATTTGATTAAAAAAAAGAATCTTTTTGACTATCTGAGATAGCGGCCGTGGTTTAGTAGACTTGTATTTATACTAGATAATAAATGAAAAATTTGAACTGCGACCGGATTCGAACCAGCGACGAATATGATTCTTTCCCTCTCATTCTAATTCGTTTAGATTAGGATTGGGATGAGAAGTCATGACTAAGTAAGCGGTAGCCAGTGTGAATATGATTAAGTGGTAGTAACGCTTCAGGAATTCACATAGATTGAAGTGAAATCAAAGTCTGGTCAACAGTCGGACCTCGTAGCACTATCCCCGGTGATCGCTGGTTCGAATCCGGCCGCGATCCAAATTTCTATTTCACCTTCAATCATCACCCTTAATCAGTGACAGTACTAGTCTGCCAAACTACGACTATCTTAGGTAGTCATAATGATAGTCAATATGATGCTTCCTCGCTGTACTTCAGATTTAAATTTGGATGATTTTTCTCCTTATTATTATAATTATTGCCACAGGGCGAAGAGCTAGTTTTACGATATAATGTATTGTTCATTGCTGGACATAAAGTTTCACGCTGATCGATTATTTCTTCATTTCTTCCAGCTTTCTTTTATGATAATGTTTCCTTTTTACAATTGGAAAAGCCGTTTGAGTCAACAAAGAATATTCTCTTCCATAACTTCTTCTTCTTCTTCTTCAGGTTATACAGTTTTATAGGCACATTCTGAGGAATTATGCGTCAACATTATAGAGATTCCGTTTATCAGTTTGTTAATAATAGATTTATTATACAATTGAGGAAGTCAATTCAGAAAAGTCTTGTATGAAGATTGCAGATAGAATCACTTGTGAATAGGATTCAATCGAAAATAACGACTGACTATCTGAACGGTGTAGGTAATAGTTTAGTAAAACAATAGAAAAGTGTTTTTATGGGAACTGGATGAAGGATACTTTGAAGAATGTTACTGATGTTAGGGGGATAAAATAGGTTAGAAGTATTCGAGGGATGAAGGGATATCTACTCTATGGAATTAGAAAATTAGATTACCTAGGGATTAGGATGTTAAGGAATTTATACATTGCGAATCAGGTCAGAGTAATTGTAATGGCGATACTTGTTTGTTTGTTGAAACACATAACTGGGATTGTTCAATCACCGATTGGCATCACTTTCTGATGTCTGAAGGATTCGGAGTGAGGTATCTTTTGGCAAGTTGATGAGAAGCCGGGTAGAGAATAGAAAACGAGTCATTCATCTTCACCTGATGGCTGATTTCAACCAAGTGTGCTTAATATACAGTTGGTAATAGTCTTTACCTCACCTTTACTTAACCACCACTCTGGGAGGTGTTGGCGAGTACAAGAGATTCCTAGAGAAATTCCTAGAGCCAGTGGCTGACACATAGCTGACTCCATATGATGATGATAAGCACTATAGAAGTAGCTAGTTTAGGCAATTCATCTTTCAGTCTCACTGTCACCATTGAGCATGTGATAGAAGAGAATTTTAATTTACCAGGTTGAAAAGTTCTCTGAATTGATCTGTATAGCTTGTGAATTAATATCTCACTGAGTACATCATTCTAAATTTCAATTGTGAATGTATAGGAGTTTTCTGTTAGTTCTTGGAATATCCAATGTTACCATTTATGTAGTCATATGTTTCTTTATGAGGTTGTCTACATTAGTCACTTCTGATTAGTGATGTTGGGCAAAGCTGTCAGTTCCTCCTTAGTAGTTGTATCTTCAGAGCATATATTGTTTATCCTTCAACTTACAGTTTTCATCAAATTTCGTTTGTACTGAAAGGGAGAGGGTGAAAAGCTGAGAAAATGTGGCATATTGTCGCGTCCATGTACTTATCGTAAACAAATTCCTCCTTGTCGACCCATCTTTTCGTCTTGAAAGACCTTACATTTATTCAAGCATTGTTGAACCACACTTATTTGTCATCGTTCATTTTCCAGCCTCATGTAGTTTTTCTTTCCTTTCTTATATTCGTAGTTTAACTTACATCACCAATATTTTATGTGAAGGGGGATGTAGTTCAGCCTTGTTTATGAGGAAGTTTCTTTTCAGTTCACAGCAAATCTATATGTGTATGCATTCACATTGATGGACATGTATCTATTACGTGTAACTGGAACAGTTTTTCTTTTCATTTGTCGATATATTGTTTTCTTTGTTCTTCAGTATATGCTGTTTATCTACGTTGTCCAAGTGAGTCATATTGAATGGAATCGATATGTACTCAGCAACCTTGTACATATTCGTGTAGTAGGCAATGAGCTAAGCTTGTTGTGTGAGGACTAGTAATACTACTACCTGGCTACTGCCTAAACCTCCAGAGGGGAAGTGGAGCTCAAACCCGTGACCCAAGGGTTGGTAGTCATCTCCATAGACCAATGAACCACAGCTTCATGGTCAGTCACTCAGTAAGTGCGACTTTTAAAACATTCATCCCGTGTGTGAAGCTTGGCATAAAGACTAATATTATCAATGGGAGGCTGAAGAAAAATCTCAAGAGGAAGTTGATCTACGGTGTTATACTTTATTAACCTATTGACAAATTCAGTTATGAATAACGGTATCATTTAAATACAACTACTATGAACGCTATCCGAGTTCACTAAGTGAAAACACTTAGTATTCTAGTTAGACGTAGTCACTGGTCCCCCTACTCTATTGGCTGTTTGTCGTGTCCTCAGGAAGCTATACACTTCTGTTGTGTACAAGTTAAAGTTGACAGGATGCTTATATGCCTCAAGTTCATAGTTGATGTGAAAAAGCTTTACAGTATCTTAGAAACTAGGTAACTATGATTACTCAACAACAAAGGTGTCATATGTAGTCTTACTATCATTGCTCGCTTTCGGTAGAATCATCGTGTAAGCAATGTTAAGGTCAGGCGAAGGGTATTAGGTAAGACAGACAAGTCGGCCAGTGACGTGGTCGACCTTTATCAACTGAAATGGCGTGGATATGTGTTACATATGCCTATCCACCTCCTATCTTGACGTGCTATGCTAGAGGAAGCTGGAAGAAGGGGACGTCAAGATGGCTAGACGAAGACCTATCACCAGTCCATAAAATCTTTAACTACTGGTGTGAGCCATGTAGGAAGGCATAGACTACCTGGTTGAGGTCCTAGAGACGGTAGGAATCAATGCTTGCGGACACTTGGTAATATGGCTAAAAATCGGTGACAATGCAACAGATATACTCACTTCTTGACATCTAAATCTTGGATATTTACACTAACCGTTATTTTCGAATTGTTTATCCTCTCACACAACTTTATCTTCTCTGCGATAACTCTTTGTCTATCCACTTGTTCTTTGCATGCTACTGTGAAGTGTATCAACTTGTTATGATGTACTTGTATGCGAAGTTCTATGTTGATCTTGTCTGTCTTAGTAGTGTACTATCATGAAGTAAAATATTCCATCCAGCTTAATGTTTTTGTTTTGTGAGTTGATACTTTCTTAGACAACCCTTTTATTTTGTCTACTTTCAATTATTCATAAAATACCATTCCTTAAAGATTACATTATTAAGCTTCTCATTACCCTCCGTAAAATGACGTTCCTTATGTTTTTGTACAGTTTATGCTCATCACTATAGCGTCATAGCTTAATGAATCGTATAATATTCCTGTTTTAATCTGACTTCACGCATTTATGGTAGCTGATGACTGGGAATAAATAGCCACTTACAATCATTTCACTTTTTTTTGCCATCCCTAACTATATAACACTAGCAATCCTCATAGTTAACCATATTCTTGTCTTGTAAACTTTGTAGGAGAATGCATATCCTTGGCTTAAAGATAATCAGCGTAAATGTACTCAGTTAACTGGTTTCGCTGATTGGTGTTCTTTGGACACGTGTAATATTCTGCGTTTAGATTTACATTGTCATCCCATGACGACGACGACGACAACAACAACTACCACAGCTTCTTCGAGAAATTCATTTGAATCATATCATGTGCTTGTATATGAAAAAGAATCTGATATATGGAATATTGCCAAGAATCATTTCTCCCGTTCATCGACTTATTCAAGGTGAATTTCTAATTATTCTTAAAAAAATTATTATTATTATTTATTTTTCTTAGGAAAAAACAACAATCTGAATAAAGAATATTCTTTTTCAGGTTCTACAATTATAAAATCCAGTTGTACAGCGTAAAATCGAGCCATGTTAGTCAATATTAGGATGATACATATTTACAGAAGAATATATGATGGTGATGAACAAAAAGATAACGAATAAGATGGTGGGAGTGACCTTTAGTTAACTGAAGGGTCAAGTGAGAAGTAACACTTGGACATGTTCTTTCTGGATGCAGAGTTCAGACTTGATCAATCTTGTTGTGATAGCCTTCGCTATGTTGATCAGGCGTTGCGACCTACACTTGATGTCGTTTTCGAAACACGATTAATGACATTGAAAGCATTATTAGCATCTATCTGATGCCCTGTGTCAACTAGATGTGCTAGGACTGAACTTTTCACCAATTTCACTGCACCCTTTCTGAAACAAGCTGGTAAATACTCTCGTATCGGGGGACCACCTGCCCAATCATACGCTCTGTGTAACAGTTAAATTGATATATGCAAGATAAAGAACTCGGATTAGGTAGGCTATCCTTTGGTTTCGGATTGAACATTGGCTGTCTACCGAATGATATGCAAAGCCGATCTGCATAAAACGTCTTATTGACTGGTCTAGCTAAGCGTTGTGATAGAATGTAACTGTAACATCTTCTTTGAATTGTAAGTGAAGAAACAAAGGCTTCTTCTCCACTGTCATCAGTTCTTGTTTAGGACCAATGTAGTTGATGTTAATTTTGATGAACTTATCCGGACATCAGTTTCCACTTGGAATATCCCACATACACAATAGTTCCCTAAAAGCCAAGCACCTGATTATACTATGTTTGTACTTCATCGGTAGGAAGGTGAGAAGGTGTGTATAATGGTGTTGGTTTTCTATATATATACACTTCTCAGTATAGAGGCATCTTTGGATATCCATAAAATGTATTGAATTGTTGATTTCATTTTCGTCTGTAAAATGAATTGATGGATGAGCAGCACTGTTGAAATGATTCACAATGGAATTGATACATATCCACCTATCACACAATGTTGGCCGAAGTAGGTCCAGGCTAGAAAAAGGCCTGAGGTGGCCAGACTAAAACATGGCATCAATGTATGAAGTCTCTGACTGTTGTTTTAAGCCATGTGAGACGATGCAGACTAGGTGGTTGGGGTTGGTGGGACAAGAGGAACCAGTGGTTGGAGACTGACTCTAGGTGATATGGCTCAGAGTTGATGTCAGTGGCGCAGATGTATCCCGACACACATTATCGTCATCCTAACGACGCTATACCGAATCTCACCATTTTATCATTCTTCCTTTCTCTGTTTTAGTACTTTATGTTTCATTCGACTGGATTTTCTTATCTTTCTTTCACCTCACTGCCTTTTTACTTGATGTAGTGATATGAGGTGTGTGGCAAGTGGGACCGTTACGCAGTAATGCCTGGTCCTATGTTGATATTGATGATGGTGAGATGGATATCATGAAGTTCTAATGAGAAGCCGTGGCCTATGGGATCAACCAGTCTGAAGGGAAGCGGACACTAACTGAAGACCTTTGGTGATAGTCGTGCTATATCGTGAATTGATAGAAGTTGAAAACTGTAAACCACTGAAAACCGACCCGGTGACTGAATGGTTAACGCGTTTGCCGTGAAACCCGAAGGTTCTGAATTCTCTTCGTAACCGGGTCATGGGTACGTACTGCCACGGCGTCTCATACTAGGATGAAGCAGCTATCCAGTGTTTCCAGATTTTCAATGATTCCCGAACTGATGTCAGTCCGGGATGACTACTACTTCTAAATTAAAAATCCCCATTCATCTCAAAAATACATTACGATATATATGGATTATGGATACACAAGAAGTATTCACTACTTTGCATCATAGAAGACAGAATTTGGCTGCAGTAAAATTGTATGCGGTCTCGATCCTGAGCCATCCGCGTCATTGTCCGTAACCGCTTAGTTGCATAGTCTTTTTGACCCCATCCAGGGAGTTTTGAGGCACCAAAAAAAAACTAGTCCAAGGCAATTATATTTCATCTCCAAACACCTAACATATTGATCACTTCTTCGCTTTTACCGACCATTTCCAGTCCAACCGAACAGAGTGGTACGACAGCTGGACAGATTGACATTAACATCACATATCCAAGTCGGCGAAACTACATTTTCAAGATGAATTTACTCATTGAATGACGGTTTTCATCACGCCTAAACACACGCTGTTTCACTTCAGAATCACTTACATGTTTCCTTTGAATGTTAGCATTTTGACATTTTACTATGATGATTGAACCTTCCGAGTCATCGTGCATCCTATGTTTAGACTAGCGAAGAGCAGAATTACCTGAAGTGTCGTATAGTTGGCCTTTTACTGGAAGACCAATGTTACGATGGTACCATAGGTGACTCGACTTGAAGAGTATACGGTTGGAAATCTCATCATTCACCTCCACAGACTTTTCGACAACTTTCAACGGTTAACTGCTAAGGGGAAGTGCAGATACAGGCTCCTACATGTGTAGAGTGCTTCCGCACTGTATAGCATATACTATTCTTGCAGTTGAATGAACAGTAAATGTGTTTTAATTGTGTGTGATTGAGATTCTCACAACTTAATTTACTAAAATCTAGTTAGTATTTTTTCAAAGTGGACCTTTTTCGGTAGTAGCTGGAAAAAAGAGCAGTAATTTAGTTGAAGGTATCGTAGAGTGTCATACTGTATATTCTATTGTCTTTGTTAAATGATGGTATTGAATGAATATGTAGATATGTTTAGAGGTTGGTGAAAACAGTATGAAACGATTCAACTCACTTGCATATGGTGTAACTATTGTATTGTTAGTAATTTGATAACTCACTTTAAATCGATACACTTTTAATTTTGTTTTGTTTTCTTCTCTTTACCTCAGTATTTTATGTACACGATCTCGTGTGATTGCAGCACCTGCACGACTGATTTCACGTATTGGACCTGTTGATCTTGAACTACTTAACAAGAAAGAATCAATGTCATTGTTATCTGATATATATTGTCCCCATTTCTCTTGGCCTCTACATATATATTATCCGCAAGTTGTGAACCTTACTCGACTTTTCTATCCTTTCTCAGAGCAGTCACGTTTTCTGTCGTCATCAACTACTTCAAATGTTGGATTTCGGTTTTCTTCAGGTTATTTTACAAACCAGATTGGTGGTGGTAGTCATCTCTCATCACTTAGTCAGTTATTCCTAGAATCTGGTAAGTTATTGAACCCTTAGTATATAATAGTATTTATTGTTCACTTAGGAATAATCAATTCAATATGTTATATTCCCCAATTATCATATTATTATTTGTCCCTTGGGTTCCTAATGGAACATACGGCTTCAGTAGCACGTCTCCATTCCAATCTCTTCTCTGCAATCTTTTGAACCTGGCTCCACGACTGCCCACAAGCCTTCCATTTCTTCCTCACACCATCTCCTCCATGTCACCCTCAGTTGGGATGCCCAACTTGCCGTTTGTCATCTGGGTTCCACTCGAGTGCGTGGCCTGTCGCGTGATGTGCCTGAATGGTGTTCTCAGTGTATGCCCAATCCATCTCCATTTGCTTCTGCATATTTGTTGAGTGATATGTTGGTTAGTTGGTTGGTTGGTTGGTTGCCAGCCAGGCAGCCAGCCAGCCAGCCAGCCAGCCAGCCAGCCAGCCAGCCAGCCAGCCAGCCAGCCAGCCAGCAGCCAGCCAGCAGCCAGCCAGGCAGGTAGGCAGAGTTGGTTGTTGCTTATTCCCATTATTCTGGCCATCTTATCTTCAGTGTATTGAGCGTAAGCAGTTGTTGATGTGATGCAGATCTGTAATTTGTTGGGAATTCTTTTTGTAACACTCCAAGTTTGTAAATCATATAGTAGCACTGACTTGACTTAATTGATGTTGAAAATCCGAATGTCATTCTTTGTGCTGAGTATAGAAGATCTCCACATGGGTTTCAGATTAATGAACGCCTATCTTACTGTCATTCCGATTGTGGCTGGCTTTGACGCCCTCATCTGTGCCTGTGCTGCCTGTAGTTGGAATGATGCTACCCAGTCGGGTAGGTGAAAGAGTAGTTCCTTTAGGTTTCTCCCGTTGATTGTGATTGGAGCTTATTGTTGTTGTTGTTGTTGGTGGTGGTGGTGTTGGTTGGGTATGATCATCACCTCTGTCTTCTGTAGGTTCACTTGAAGTCCCGTCTTCACTGCTACTTCTGACAACTTGTTAGTCTTCGCCTGTAGATGTTCGAGTTTGTATGACATTAGACATATTCTCCAGTGATACATGTTATATGCTTTCTGAAAGTTTATAGTGTCCAATCTCATTCTTCTAGCTATGTAGATTAAACTATTGCACTTAAAGTTATTACTCATAGATTTAGGAAGTTGATTTTCAACCAAGTGAGTCATGAGTTGGAACATCATACCATGTGTCGAGGTTTGAGTGGTAGCCAGGTAATACCATTAACCCTCACACAATAGATATGTCTCATTGTCTACTGCACCAATGTGTACAAGGTTGCTAAGTGGACTTTGAGACTGTTGCAAAAAACTATAGGATAACTGCTTTTTTTCTACCTAGATTTTATGGAAGTAACAAATATTACATTGGATAAGTGTTCATGAGCGTATCAACCAAGATATTCACTCTCCACCAGGTTCTGGAACACCGGCAAACTTACTGACTCTCGACACTAGATGAATTTTTTTGCTCTGAAGGTGGCATTCAACTCCTTCGACGGAGAGGTCTTATGACAGTGTCTCTCACTAAAAGCGGTGGCTAGTGAATACATCACTCTTTTGAAAACTTAGTACCCGAACCCCCATGTCTATGATGCATTGTGTTCGTCGAGAAGTGTCAATCAAGGATATCCACTTTCTCCGTTTTTATTCAACTTTATCGTGTACATACTTTTCTGGGCGTACTTTTCGTTATCTAACTTTACAGGGATTGATTTTATCATAGAAGAATCCTTCGTAGGTCTTCAGTCGGCAGATGACATTGGCCTGTTACGTGAAGTTAGAGTCTTTTAGGTATATTGAATGACAACTTGATAAGGTTTGGAATAATTTTCTCACCACCCAAATTGAAATTGTTGTTCCAGGACTGGTGTTTGCTGGTGAACACACTGACTATTTCACTTACTTGGTAATTCAGACCAACCCTGATAGCTCATTGACCGACAAAATCTGTGCAGGAGTACAAAATACTTGATTCACTACATCAAACATACAGTATCTATGGCGCCGCTGTGATATCTGACTGCTTTTTAAGGGCAGAGTGTAATACAATGCAATTTGCTACATTCCTGTGATATTGATGTGAAATATGATTATTAAAGGTAGAAGACATCAGATAGCTTCAAGTATTCAGCCACCATAGCCTTCGTAACATAGGGCGAGAAAACGTGAAAGTTAGGTATCGAATTTTAGGGAGTAGGGGAAAGTCAGTTGATTCGCCTGTGAACATTCACCGACTGTGGTGACTGGGAAATATGTTACGCATGCCTTATCACCGTCTGCCTCGTCACCCAATGTTCACTGAGTTAAGTTTAAGCTGGAAAAAGACTTGGGATGGCTAGACTAAAGCATGGTACCATTGCACTTGTGCAGGGTAATGTAGATTAACCGGATATGGACCTATAGACAACAGAAATCAGTGACTGGAGACTCTAGGTTACGTGGCTCAGAATAGGATGTCTGTGGTGCAGATGTATCTACACATTATCTTCATGTTAATCATCATACTGAAGTTTTTGACTGATTGACTGAAAAATGACAACGCATAACTCCGCACTCAGATGCATCGACTCCCGGTTGTCACACTCCACAGTAGGACACTAAGAACAGGTCGATATCAAAGTAGAAAAAGTTGTGTAAGAGAATAAACAACCTGAAGATTAAGGTTAGTGCCAGCATTCAAGCTTTAGAGATGTCAAGGAGTGAATACATCTGCGTTGCTGTCACCAATTTTCAATGATATCACTAAGAATTCTCAACCACTCTCTCCTATTGTAGTCTACACATACACCTTGCTACACGCCCTGGACTGATGTACCATGTCTTAGTCTTGACACCTTGAACCCTCTTCAAATCTAATCCAATTTTCATAAGGATGGCATATGGAAGTAAGCGATGGTTCAGCATGTATAGTACATGTATAAGCCATCTCAGTTGACTAAAATTCAATCAACTCTCTATCTCACCTCAACATTGATCATATGGTGATTTCACTGAACATGAACAACGCTATCAAGATATCTATGATCAAAGCTATGTCTCATAGCCGTATAACAACACAGAATGAACTACAGTGCAGTATACTCGTTCTTTGATAGATAACCGGGATATGTTACCGACGCTATAGGTGACATACAAAATACTATATAAAAAGGTTAATAGTCTGGAAAGATTACTTTTAAGTTTATATTATCTTAATATATTTCTATTTTTGTTTATTTTTTATATTATCTTATCTTATCTTTAAGGTAAATTTTATCATCTAAATCAAAAATTATCAGATTTATTAGGTGTAAAATTAGATCATGAAAAACGTCCACGTTGTATATATATTATTGCACATCAAATAGCATTTCTTGATTTATTGGATGCATATTTATCAATATCATCATGGCGATTATTTCATCGTATACGTATTCCATCAAATTATAAATCATTTAGTGTAAATACATTTTTATTAATTGATCGTATTAATAATTGGCCATCTAGTACAATGGGTCCATTATTAGTATTAATACATGCACGTAGTCCAACTACATCATTGATAAGTTTACAAGCTGATCCAAGTGTACATATTATTATATGTGATGTTGATTGGCGAACAGAAGTGATGGATAATTTGAAAGCTATGTAAGTTCAGATATATTATTGTTTGTCTTTTATTTGACAATATTCTTACCAGTGCCCTTCGAGTAGTTACCCCCCCCCTGCCCCCCCTCCTCCTCCCAATTCGATGCTCTTGTTTCTATATAAAACTTTGATGAAGTATATCATTTTATTTCTTTGATAAATATATAATTCCTAATAATGTATTATATGATTACCGAGAGACTGTGTAGTTTACAATACATTAGACTTTAATGTTCAAGTTTGATAGAACTCATCGACCTTTCAATTCAATCCAATGATATACAAAGGAATTCCACTAGGATCACCGATATCCGGATCAATTGCAAAAGTAGTAATGCAGAGACTGGAAACTATCGTTCTACCTATGATTAAACCAAATCTTTTGATTCGGTATGTAGACGATAATTTTGTCATCGACAACATTTTCAGTGACATAAAATTCCAATCGATGTTTTATTCAGTAAGACGAATACCAGAAAACTGGAAACTCCACTGTACAAGAAGCTAACACATACTGACCAAATCCTCAAATACAATAACAACGACTCAACAACACACAAAATCAGTCGCGTGTAGACTCTATTCAAAAGAGCTACAACACACTGAAGTACAACAACTTCACGAAGAAATGATGAAAATTACTCGATGTCCACTCGAAAGAAGAATAGCTGCCCACAAAACTTTATCAGAAGATACCTATCCAATGCATTATCAACTACAACTCTACATCATCCACAGAAATCAGTAAATGTGTCATTCTACCATGCGTAAAGAAATACATCAGAAATCACAACAAGATTACTGAGAGAGACCACTGGGTTGAATTGGTGTGGCACATAAATCAACAAATTCCCTTCTAACCATATTACGCAGACTAAAAGATGCAAAAACCAAAGAAAACAAACCGAATATCGTTTACATAATCAACTGGAATAACTAATTGTAGTCAACAACAGATTGGACAAAGTGGTCACCCACCTTCGCCTTCACCTTCGTCTACATCAACACCTATCGGCTACTAAACGTCAGACAAAACATCTCATCACTCATTTCAATGCATGTAGATAACAACTATAGAGATGAATTTCATTTTCACAATGTAGAAATTTTGAATGGACAGAGAGGAAACACAGTGAATATCAGAGAATTCCTAGAAGCTTGTAATTCAGGTGAGTCAGTCAGTCAGTCAGTCAGCAATCATTACATGTATACACATAGACTCAATCTACCAATCAATAGAAAAAATGGTGAATGACAGAAAGGTCAAAGGTGAAGCAGACAAACAGCCAACAATAAAATCTATACAGTCTATAACACAACAATTGAAGAGAACAGTCAATCACAAAGCAGTTCGTCACGGAGAGCTAGTCAATCACTCATGGAGAGATAGTGACAGCTCACTTCATACTGAAGTTAGTGCTGACGATGTCGTCTACAAAGACGATGAAAGCGTCTCCACGATTAAACAATCCAGCTACCTCACAGAACACAATACAACCAAAACTCCCTAACTCTCTAACTATCACAAATACGAGATCTCATGAAAAATGAGATGCATACAAAAAAAATGAAATGGAACTTACTAAATACAGAGCTGCTTCTTCATAGATCAACCAGTCAGGTGGTTTACCAACATATAATTGATTAGCTAATTGTGTGGCATTGTTCAACTGGCCAGCTGCAGTATTACCACTGGATGATGATAAAATATTTACAGGCAGACCTGATGCACCACTACCACTACCAGTGATCCCTGGGATAGGATATTTCAATGAAGGATAATGTGAACTGTTAGATGTTTGCTGTTAAATAGAAAACAATAAGGAACATATTATGAGGCAAAGTAAACGATAGAGAGAGGGAGAAGAATATCGATTATTTACGTGTTGGTGATAATGGATTTTTCACAGCTTTGAATTCCTGTTTCTTTGCGTCACATCATAGTTACTTCATATTTACTGTTGAATGACTCTCTTATCAAATTCTTAGTCCATATTAATACACTTAGTGACCTATGTGGTTGATTGTGGCCAAAACTATTTAGGAAACTACGGTGTAATCTCTTTCTAGTGGAACAGTAAAGCTCTACCTCTGAAATCCGATGATCGGTGATCAGTATTTTCAGTTTAAATAAGGGGTGGGAGGGGGAGATATAAAGTCGGTTTTGTCCATCAACGTGTAAAGTGAGTTAAAGAAAAACACAGCATAACCATGGACATAACAGTACTGACAGACTAACCCAGAGACTGAAAAACTACAATTAATCAAATTGGAGGTTTGTGAGAATTGATTTATTAATATCAAGTTGGTAATCATCACCGACCGAAATCAGTTAAAGAATCAGTGAACCAGTTTGGGAGCATTGAGACTCCTCAAATGTGCACACACATGGTCGTCACAGAGGTCGAATCTAGGATGATGGGGAGTTCCGAGGTTAGCATGTTACCATTATGTCACTGGTCCAGAACCCAATGATTGAATGCACCTAAGTTTTGAGTGGAACAACAATACATTTTTCGAGGATCTGAATTTTCTGAAAGAACAATCTCGTACATTCAGACATTCTGTTGCGACCTTAAATTTTGGATGGAGAGGGGAAACACAAAGAGTATCATCGAATTCCTAGAAGTTTGGCATCAGGTGAGTCAGTCAGTTAGCCATAAATAATGTATGGACATAGACCCAATCTGTCAACCAATAAGAAAAATGATAAACAATAGAAAGGTCATAAGTCAATCAAAGGAGTTAGTCAATGATACAACAATCAAAGGAAACAACCAATCACAAAGCAGTTCGCCAGGGTTAGCCATGATTATCCACTTAATACACAAATATTCTTCACCATTCTCGTCAAGGATTCAAATTGAATTTTTTTCTCGTCTCCTTCAGTTTGACAATCAGACGTTCATCGTTCTGACAATCCTTTTTCCATGATAAATTTGACTCACACTTGTACATCACTCTTAAGTAATGTTTATTTTCTAATAATTCATTCTACACGCCTAAATTTAACGCCTATCTCTTCATTCCTCCTATTAAAAGTGATTATACATCTAGAAGGGACTGAAGAGGTAGTTGCGTTGACTATTGTCGACTATGGTTGAGATCATTTACTTTTTGCATATGTCATCTGGAAGACTGTACTCCCTAAGATCCTTTTTGGGTGTATGGCATGTTGTTGCGACATGTTTATGTCAATAAGATACTGTTGAATTATTAGTGATCTCCCTATTGTTCATCGACAGAAACAAAAATGTCATTTGTATGTCACCGCAATACAAAATTAATCTAATTTGGACGTTTGCGGGGATTATTTATTTTCAGGTTGGTATTCATTATGGACTGACGTCAGTTGGGAAACTATTGGAAACCTGAGAGCAGTATACAGCTGTTACACCCTAGTATGGCAGTCCTCAACATTGCGCACCCATGATCTCACCATGGAAGTCGTGACCGGGGTAGGGCAGATAAGTCAGACGTGAGAACAGTTACTCATCTGTGGCATTGGATGGAGGTTACGCTGTTTTATGAACTGACAGAAGTAGAGAATGTAAGCCATTGCATTCTGACCCGCTGGCTCAATGAAAACATGCTAAGTGAGGGACTTAATAGTTCTGGGTCGGATCCCTTGCTGGCGGGATGAAGTTGTGAGTGCACACTTCTGAGGAGTTCCATACTGGAATGAAGCATCTGTTTAGTGCTCTCCGGTTTCCGATATTTCTTCGATTGGTGTTAACCGCAAGTCAACAAAATCAATTTTCTGGATTAGTCTACATGCTAGTTGGTTGGAGGCAATCGGCAGGAAGTTCTGGACTTAAGTTTCTTACTTGTTGGCACTCATCAGTAAGGTGTATCTGCAACCTCTATGGAACTGGTGTCTTGTCTGAGATCCGAACCAGCGTCATCCAGGACTTGATAACATGAAGTCGCTTACTCTCCGCTTGAACTAACCAATACAAGAGGCTGAGTGGTAAACTCGCTGAATCTGATGGAGAACATCAGTCCCGTTCGGGTTGCATATACACCTTACTGACGAGTTCCAACAAGGACGAAACCGAGATTCAAGACTTCAACCAACTGACATCTACTAATATGCACCACGATGCTGAGCCTCGCTTTGTACTCAGGACTAGACAACATGCATTTGATAAGGCTTCAAGTAAATTTCTAGCCAATTTTAAATTTTATCATACATATAAACACAAATATATCATTCCTCTGTTTATATCTCTTATTTATAGTATTCATAGTTGGATTTTGAATGGATTATCATCATCTAATTATAAGAATAATACTATTTTACAAAAAGTGAATACTTATCGTTTACTTTCAACATGTGATTTTGATTATCCTATACATCGAATGAGTGTAGAAGCTTGTCTATTACGTGGTATAGCTTGTCGTCTACTTCCATGTGCTGTATTTCATTCATATTCTACAACACATATTAATCGTTATTCATTATTATATGCACGTGTTCAACCAAATGTTGTTAATGGATTATTATCAGGTGTACATACACGAAAATTAACACATCGTTTATTATTACAAAAAATGAAATCAAATGAATTTGATTTATTCAATGATCGTAATTTCTTTATGCCTATTAAACAGGATGGATTATCTTATTCACCAACATCATCAATTGCATCATCATTTTCATGTACAGGACAAGATAATCGATTAGATGAATATGGTAATGAAAGATAAATGAAGAGAATGATGTTTTATTATTTCAAGAACGTGAACCATTAAGTGAATTGCTTGTAAGTGTTTTTAACCTTATTGTACCAAATTTCTCTCTCTCTCTCTCTCTCCCTACTGAGCTTGGATAAAGAGGAAAGGTTGAGCATATAGGGTTAGGAACCTCTTCTCAATCATAGAGAAGTATTCAATGAAGCGTTGTCGAGTAGGTTAAATTACTGTTTCCAATCACTTGCCATACTAAACAGTAACACAAAATGTAATCCAGTATAAACACATTTTATTAGCGGTAAATTGTTTTCTCCAAATGAAAATAAATTCTACATCATTAAAAAGTGGATGCGTAGATTTTTATTTTTAAAAGCCGAAGTACATTACTTATTTAAATTAAGTAGTATACTGAAATTATCTAAAGTTATCTATGGTACAGAACTTATTTAGAGGTAGGATTAACAGTATTGTCATAGACTGCGAAGAATTATTAGTGGTTCTGAATCTTTGAAAATTATTGGTTTGACGATGAGTCCTCCTTTAATGTCAGATCCGATATTACAGAAATTGACTTCAGTATGCTATAAAATTAACCTCACCTAGTTAACTAGTTCACAAGTTACTAGCTGGTCGTAAGCCCTGACAAAGAGGTAAGATTGGCATAGGAGTAGCAACCCTACCCCGTAAAACCAATCCAATCATAGAGGAACTTCAAACGAAAAGAAAATATAAAAAATAAACTTATTGCTCGCTGGGATCGGAGATAGGAAATGACGCCGGTTGGTGAAAGCCTTTGAGAAGCCAATCGGCCGGTGTATCTTCTCTCGATGAAAGCAGAAGTGAGCATAGGGAGATGGAATGTCCGCACAAAGTTTGAAGGTGACTGACAAGGCTATCCAGATTTCAGAAGAGATGAGAAGATATGGCATAGAAGTGCTAGGGATCTGGGAGAGTAGATGGAATGGAAGTGACTCTCCAAACTGTTAACTGATATTGTCACCCAGACGATAACCACGAGCAAATTCAGTTTTAGAGTGGCTATGCTGATGCCTCCTTGAAGAGCGTCGAAGACTGTCTCCCATGCAGTGGGAACCAATGTCATCCAGGATCAGGATGATGACAGCAAGATTCAACTCAAAAAAAGGAGTTAAAATCATACAATGCTACGCACCTACAGTGGATATGGATTGGACATACACTGAGAAGACTTTTTAAGGACATCATACGCCTGGCTCTTGAGTGTAACTGAAATGGGAAACGACGAGTTGAGCGTCGTAGTCGAGGGTGATATGGAGGAGATGGTGTGAAGAAGAAATGAAAGGTTGTGGGCAGTCGTGGAGCCATGTTAAAGAAAAAGACTGTAGAGAAGAGAGTGAAATTGTGACATGTTACTGATGCCCTATGTTTGTATCAGGGAATGTATCAAGCATGAGAAAATGCTCAGTTCAGTATAGTGGTTAAAATGGATATGTCTGTATCACTGATACATCGATTCTTTGCTATACCATTTAGACTCTCCAACCAAGTTTCTTTTGTTATATGGACCTCAAGTGGTTAGTCTGGATTCTCAACATGACTCATATCGACAACCAATGACTTTATGCGATGATTCTATGTTTTAATCTGGCGACATGAGGTTTTATTCCCACTTGAACATACCTAACTCAACATTGCACAACGAAACAGACGGTGACTCGGTATGCATGTTCCAGCCATCTTATTCGACAAATATTCATTACTTCATTAAATGATTTTAATATCTTCCTTATAATTCTGCATCTGACTTCCACATTACTCACCTGACGATTCCACGATATACGGCCTATGCTACGAAGGCAACAGTAGTAGAATATGTTAAACTTTTTCTGGTTCTCATTCTTTAATGGCCATAATCCATATGGTAAAGTACACTCCAATGCCCTCAACCCTTAATAGAGGATTGAATATCATGACGACACCATTTGTGACACAGTGGTGATCATCTGTAGGTAGTATTAACTCCTACACAATGATTATGACTCACTGCCTAGGCTACAGGTGTTTGACCACCGTTGCCTTCGTAGTATAGGCCGTATTCCGTGGTGTCACCATCTGAGTAATGCAGAAGTCAGGTATGGAGTTTTAGGGAGTAGGGTAAGTCGGTTGACGAGGTTATGAACCTTGATCGACTGAGATGGTTGGGACACGTACTACGTTTGCCCAGTCACCGATTGCCTCGTCACACAATGTTGGCTGAAGTGGGTCCAGGGTGGAAAAAGTCCCGAGGTGGCCAAACTAAAACATGTCACCTATGCATGAAGTGTTTGACTGCTGGTTTGAGTCGTAGGGGCGATGCAGACCGGCCGGTTGGGGTTGGTTGGACAAGATTTACCAGTGATTGGAGACTGACTGTAGGTGATATGGCTGATAACGGATGTGAGTGGTGTAGATGTATACACACGTTATCGCTATCTTAACGACGCTATACCGAATCTCACCACTTCTTCATTCTTCGTTTCTCTCTTTTCGTACTTTGTATTTCTTCTGACTGCATTCACTTATCTTCATCTTGCACCTCACTGCCTTTTACTTGATGTAGTGATATGAGGTGTGTGGCAAGTGGTACCATTACGTAGTAATGCCTGGATGGATGACTGCCTAGTGTACAAGCGTACATATGGTTGCGAGTATCTTACTGCTAAAGTTTATAACTTCATTTTATAATGACCCACATTTGAATGATCATAATCAACAAACACGGTGGACTTCCTATAGATTAACTCTTGGTATATTTGTCATCACAGATCATCCTTTTTGTTTTATATTCAAACATTGAAGCTGTTTTAATGAAATCAAGTATATTGTTATTATTATTGACTAATGTATCTTAATAACCTTGTATGGGATTGCTGTCATATCAGTGTAACTTGATGTTGGAAATCCAAGAATTCTGGAATTCTATTGGTCATCATAGAATAAAACTTTTGACAAACACTACTACTCACTTTGATTTTTAACAGCTTATTGGTGCTAATTATTCATTTTGATTGAGATGAAAAGTCTTAACTAGACAGTCAGTGTGAATATAATGAACACATAATAGTAATCTATCATAAATTCATATTGGATTCTGTTATAATCCTTGGTGATTTAAGTGAAATTAATCATCAAGAGTTTTGCCCAACTATCGTATGACATTTTGATGAGTTACTATCCATTCATGAGGTTTTGAACTTTACTTGACTGACATGGCTTAGAGATATGTTTCACATAACCTAGCTCCTATCTATGTAGACGTATCATGCTAGGGGAAGTTGGATCATATTGGAATAGGGTTCATGGTGACCAGACTAAGACCCGAAACTAGTCGACAAAGTCTCTAACTACTGGTCTGCCTCCTGTGGTGAGAGATATAGACTGTTTGGTTGGGGTCAGTGATTGAAGACTCTTGGTTGGCCGGAAATCGCTGACAATGGCACAGATGTATTCACTTTTTGACATCTTCCAAAGCCTAAATATTTGGACTAACCTTTATATTCAGATTGTCGGTCCTCTCATACAACTTCGTTTACTGTGATATGTCACTCTTTTTCTATCCATCTATTTGTTCTTTGTATACTGCTATGAAGTGTGGCAACTTGTGGTGATGCACTCCTGTGTGAAGTTCTACGTCGTTTTTATCAGTCAGTCAGTTGGAAGTGAAATTAAGTCTTGATCAACTAGATAATACTCGTAGTTGTGTTGTAGCGCACTAGTTCGGGAACCTGGAGGTCGCTTGTTCGTTGAATCCTAGTGATAATGTTTGGTTATTACAGTGTACAATGTGCGTTTTGATTTTCTTAAGAAGAATATGATCTCTATGGCAATGTTTACTCATTGGATGCACACTGATATATAACATTTCATTCTGAGTATAGATTGGTGATCTATGACACTAACCTTCTACTTAACAATACGATGAATAATCTGCTAGGTGATGGCTAGCAGTAGATTCCAGGGCGCCTGTTTCGTCCTCAAGCATCTCATCGAATGATGTTATTCCGACTGAGACTTGAGCCCAGTTCCCATCGCTTCTAACACCACTTCTAATCCATCTGACAAGTCCCAAATACTAGTACGAAACGCGTGTCTTGGATTCCGTTGCCAGCCACCACCTAAAAAATCGTGTCATAATCAATAATAAAGGAATATCGAGACATCCAGATGGAGGCCTATGTGCCAACTGAGACCGATCAATCTGCTCCGGAGTAACAGCGTTAAATCACAAACTATCAATAAATAATAAGTTGATGAATAGTTGGGTGCCAGTTACATCGACTTCTTAGAAGTTTCTAGTCAGCCCAGAAGGATCTAGACTAGAGAATGTTGGAAGTCAGGATTTGCAGTCTCTAGCTACTTATTTTGTTAATTAGTGCATTGTGCAGGCTGGTGATATATGTATATATAAGCTTTAGTGTCTTTTTGGTTATCGAGTTCGAAGATCTGTACTAATCATTCTCCATCAGCATATTGCATTATTATTGTTTTTCCTTTGTGTTCCTACTGAAACATAGCGCTTCAGTAGCACGACTCCCTTGCAATCTCTTCTCTGCAGTCTTTTCAACCTGGCACCACGACTGCCCACAACTATTCATCTCTTCCTCACATCATCTCCTCCATGTCACCCCTGGCTAGGACACCCAACTTGTCGTTTCGCCTTTGGATTCCACTCAACACCCTGGCCTGTCGCATCATGTTCCCAGTTGGCCTTCTCAGTGTATGCCCAATCCATCTCACCTTTCTTCTACTGCATATTTGTTGGGTGATAGGTTCTTGCTTCGTTGCCAGCCAGCCAGCCAGCCAGCCAGCCAGTCAGTCAGTCAGTCAGTCAGTCAGTCAGTCAGTCAGTCAGTCAGTCAGTCAGTCAGAGTTTCTTGTTGCTTGTTCTCATTCTTTCTGACCATCTGACCTTCAGTGTCAGTATCAAGTGAGAGTAGGCGAAAGCTGTTCATATCATGAATATCTGTAGTTTGTTGGAAGTGCTTTCCGTGACGCGCCAAGTCTCCGAACCACATAGCAACACTGACTTGACTGGCATTGGTGTTGAAAATCCAGATGTTGTTGACGCTTTATGCTGAGTGCAGTAGATCTCCACAGTGATTATTTCAGATTATTGAAAGCCTGTCTTGCTGTCTTTCTGATCTTGGTTTTGACATCCTTGTCTGTGCCTTGCCTGTAGTTGAAAGGATGCTGCCCTGGCTAGGTAGGTGAAAGAGACTACTTCCTTTAGATTTCTTCCGTTCATGGTGATTAGTGCCTTTTGTTGTTGATGCTGTTATTAGTTGGGTGTCTTCATCACCTCCATCTTCTCTACATTCACTTGAAGTCCCGTCATGCCTGCATTGCCTCTTCTGTCTACTTGTTAGGTTTTGCCTGTAGATCTTCAAGTTTGTGTGACATTAGACACAAGTCATCGGCGAAATCCAAGTCTTATAGGCTCTTTCCCCAGTTCAGCGTATGCCCCTCTTCTCAGTCGTTACAGTTTACTGCATGATCCAGTCGTCCAGAATCTGGAAGATGATCGGTGATGATAGTAGGCTTTAAGCTTGTCTTACTCCTGTTGCCAGTCTTCACTTCAAAGGCACCACTGAGCATCTTTCCATTTTGAATCACTTGCCATGTATTACTTTGATAAACTGAATCAAGTATAGATCTCTTATTTAATTATTAAATCTCTTTTTTATTCTTATTTATTTTATCAAGCTGCATCGTGCATTAGAACTGTTTGAAGATCCAATTGATACACAGATCTGGTGTTATACAAATGCTGAGAAATTAGCTATTGCCAGTGAATTTTTTACCGTAAACAAAGAAACCAATGAATTGTATACAATTACCGATGAAGATGATTTTGAAGATGATATTCTTTATGAATTATCTAGTGAATTAACTACAGATTTTGTACAATTCATAGAAAACAATGAACAATCTATGGAGTTATCTCAGTCTGATCTAATGAAACAATTAGGTTATACTAAATTCATTGGTTGGGAAGTAGCTAATTATGAATTATTGAATCGTGTAACAGATATTGAAAATCAATTATGTGAACCAAATAATGATTGGTTAAGTTATCATTATCCTGTTCATGATAACTTTGTGCTTGACTATAATGAAGGCCAACAATCAGAAGTATTTCCTTCATGTTCACTTTTTTCACAACTTCCAGTAAGTTATGATGTTTTTCCTCTTGAAAATATTTAAACATATCTGGTTTTTAGCTTATTTGAACCTAATACCTTTATGCTAGGCTGCCTTGCTTACTACCTATATAGCCTACTCTTAATATAACCGTTAGGCTATAATAATATCCATAGGTGAAACTTATATGCTGACAAAGGTTCAGTAATGCAATTGTATACAGTTTGCAATGATTTTCATGATCTATTGAAAGCCTATCAAGTATAAAATTGGTTTGAATTTGGTGGTTGCCAGCATCATTTTCAAGGGCCTACAATTAGCCTATAATACTGTGTTTGATAGATTGTGTAAGCGGAATAAGTCAGGTCTGGCTTGTTCATTCTGTGCTTAATTGATTGATGTGATCATTGATCGGAATCATAATAATTATGCTTCCTTATACAAACAAATGATGTGAATGGTTCACCGGAGTGAAAGCATCAGTATGGTTGCGCCACAGGATGAGAATGTTATACTCTTCTAGTTTTAAAAGCTTGGATGTGTGAATAAACTGGTTGAACCTGCCAGAGACTAAGCCATGTATAAGTAAATACCTTAATACGGTAAAACGGTGAATAGCTTATTAAATCAGCTATTGTTCCTTAGATCTTAAACGCTACATGGACAACTGTAGTAATTCTAGAGCTTCTACATGTCATTATACCCTGACTCTCAAGGGGACTGGTGGATTTATTAGAACCGTAATATCATTGACCGATTTTGTTTGTGTAAGCCGTGATTAGCAACTATTGAGAGTTTGAACTGTCATGCAGTATCTATCTGTGATGAGGCTATTGTGTAAACTACTATGAAGCTAGAGCTGTTATTCATAGACTTAGACATTCAACGTTTACACAATTAGTTTGGGTTCATTTACTGAATCACTTACTACATTCCTGTACAACTGCGCAGTATCCATGACTACTCCTGAAACATTAACTTCAACTCATAACATGTCATATAAAAACTAGGTCGCTAAAGTATTTATTGATAACATTAAAAATATACACTTGATAACTGGGTGTAATTCAGCATTTTCAGGAGGATTTCATTATACTATAGTACAGTACTTTTGTAGTTGAAGCAACCGAGTTAGTACTAAGTAGCGACTGTTACTTCACTGAGCCACGGTAATCACAAGACAAAGAACGATCTGTAACCGTAAGGAAGACATTATTCTACAAAAAACACATCATTTATATATAGCTTTCATGAGCCTATGAAACCTCTAGGTCAAAAGTTGAATATTTATTTTGATTGGTCAACTGCTGTAGGGTGAAATTGTCCAATCGGATTTTTTCTGACCAAAATTGAAATATAAAATCGTAGACCTTACGGGTTGATGACTTAAGATGTTGATTTCCATTTAAGCGACTTCCTGTCAGTGGTTTAACCAGATAATCAGGGATTACTTGTCAAATAATCTGAAGAGTGATTATATTCGGTGTCGAATGTCATGCTTACTTTGTTTCATCTTTAGGATACAGTGGACTAGTGGAGAATATTTGTAGCTCAGATGGATGGTCTTGGTTGTATTGTGTTCTCTAAGCTGGGTTGTTCAATCGTGAAGCTTTCATCATCCTTCTAGATGACATTATCACCATCCTAAAGAAGAACGGCTACCCATGAAACTTCATCAGAAGATGCCTTTCCCTTACATCATCATCAACTACAAAGTCATCGACAGAAATCAATAAACGCATCATCCTACCATACATAAAGAATATATCAGAAATTACGACAAGATTGCTGAGATCACTTCGTGGAATCGGTGTGGGGCTCATAAACCAACAAATTCCTTGGAAACACTATTATGCAGACCAAAGGATGCAAAAAGCAAAGAAGACAAACCGAATATCATTTATAAAATCAAGTGGAATAACTAACTGTAGTCAACAGCAGACTGGACAAAGTGGTCGCCCTCTTCGACTTCGTCTACATGAGCACCAATTGGCTATTAAACGTCACAAATGACATTTCATCACTTATTTCAATGCATGTGGATAATAACTATGGACATGTATTCAATTTGGACAATGTAGAAATTTTGGATAGACAGAGAGGAAACACAGTGAATATCAGAGAATTCATAGAAGCTTGTAATTCAGGTGAGTCAGTCAGTCAGTCGGTCAGTCAGCAATCAATGGAGGGATGTATAGACATAGACCCAATCTATCAACCAATGAGAAAAGTGGTGAATGACAGTAAGGTCAGAGGTCGAGCAGAGGAACAGCCAACAGGAAAGTCTATACAATCAGTGACACAACACTCAAAGGAAATAACCAATCACAGACAGCTTCGTCAAGGCAGGCTACTAAATGACTTACGAAGAGATATTTACAGGTCACAATTCCTAGTGAAGTTAGTGCTGATGATGTCGTGTAGAAGAAAGACGATGAAAGCTGCACGATTAAACAACAACACAGCTCACAGAACACAATACAACCAAGATACAGTGCACTAGCTGGTTATACGTTTAACACTTGCTGTGTCGTTTCAAGACCTAATGCCAATCTACGCGGTTTTTAACTGTAGGTTTCAACTGTCTAAGGAATTATAGACTTCCTGGCTGGAGTACTGGAAATATTAACAGTCAGTGATCGTAGACTACTGCTGACATTCTTCAAAATTTTGTTCGTGGTGGTTCTACCTTGAAGACCTAAGGAATACAATATTGTTTTTGGGAAAAGAATTTTCGTAAATTAGCACAGTTTTATTTCTTCTAAAAATCGCAATCAGCAGGAAGTTCTGGAATAGGATTAGATCAACACTTAGGAGTAGATAATATGAAATTCGTTACCCAGTCAATATACACAATCTAGTCTTACAGAAGTTCAATCCTGGTATAAATAGCTCAGTGGTAATGTTTCCGATTGCAGCACTGGGGTATTCGAATCTCAGGTTGGACATCAATTCCGTTGAGGTTGCAGGTGACTCCTCGCTGATGAGTGCTAAAAAAGTGCGAAGTCTAGGTTGAGCCGGTCTTTCTGCTAATTACCTCTATCCAGCTGACATCTATGCCCATTGCATAGCGACGGTAAGTTTCCTAGCAACATTCCAAAGTGATCACGATAGAATTCTGCTAGCACCTCGACTAGACAACTTGACGTTGGTTACCCTTGAGTGACCAATGAGTGTAGTTTATGCTAAGTTAAGCATCTACAAGTCATATATTATTTATAATGTTTACTTTTTAAATATTCTGTAGATCATTTGGTTTGAGCTCTTCATACAATAAACTTGTTTATCAACCAGTTCTCGAATAGAGGGATACTTTGTATACTATCAAAGTATATATACAGCCTCGAGGTATCCACATAGGGGGCCAACCAGCTAACAGAGGTCGAGCAATTCGAATCAGTGTAACAGGAGATGACAAGCACCAGTAAATGACAACTGATACCCGTCGCACGAGTGGTGTATCTCGTATCCCAGTGGCATGTGAAACGGCAGGTGCTGGGTTTGAGTCCCACTGAGAGCAACATTACTTACTGGGTTCAGGGTACATCGCCATAATGAGTCTTAATTAGGAGGGAACATGCGTTCCGGATCCTACTGCTAGCCCTCAAATAGACTACGATTATTATAACATAATATCCGTCCTTTGAATTCCTAGTGGAACATACGGCTTCAGTAGCACATCGGCATTTCTTTCTGTTCACCGCAATGTTTTCAACCTGGCTCCACGACTGCTCATAGCCTTTCGTTTCTTCCTCACACAATCTCCTCCAAGTCACCCTCGGACGCTCAAATCGTCGTCTATCCTTTTGGTGTTCCACTCGAGGGCCTGGCCTAGTGCGTGATGTCCCCAAATGATCTCACTGTATACCCGATCCATCTCCGCTTTCTTCTGCATATTTGTTGAGCGATAGGTTCTTGGTTGGTTTGTTACCAGTTTAGAAATCCTTGCTGCTTATTCTTATTATTCTAGCCATCTGATCTCCATCTTCAGTATCGAGTGGGCGTGGGCTGCAGGTCTTGATGTGATGCATGTCTGCAGTCTGTTGGAAATGCTTTTCGTGACGCGCCAAGTCTCTGAGGCATCACATAGAAGTACTGAGTGATTTGACTGAGATCGGTGTTGGGAACCCAGATGTTGTTGACGCTTTATGCTGAGTCGAGTGGAGTGCAGTAGATCTCCACAGTGATTGGTTTTAGATTAATCAAGACTTGTCTTTGGCATACGGGCTCCAATGCGGAGTATAGAGAGGCTTGTCTTGCTGTCTTTCCGATCGTGGCTTTGAGATCCTCATCTGTGCATGTGCTGCCTGTAGTTGGAACGATGCTGACTAGTAAGTTAGTTATTTAGTTAGTCAGGTAGGTAAGTGAAAGAGGCGACTTCCTTTAGATTCCTCCCATTGATGGTGAATGGTGCTTGTTGTTGTTGATGGTGGGGTATCTTCATTATCTTTGTCTTTTCTACGTTCACCTGAAGTCAGTCTCGTCTTCACTACCTCCTCGCTGACTTTTATGCCAACTTGTTAGTTTTCGCTTGTAGATCCTCGAGTTTGTGCGATATACGACATTAGATAAAAATCATCGTGAGGGAAATGCAAATTTTCTGTGGTGTTTTAATCGGTCGAGCCAGCGCATGCCCCATCTTTTCGCTCCTCACAGTTGTTTGTTGCGCGATCCAGTCTAGTCGAGTCGAGCAGAAGCAGGAAGATGATCGGTGATAGTAGGTGACAACCATGTCTTACTTCTGTTACCTATCTTCACTTCGAAGGCATTACTGAGCATCTTTCCATTGTGAGTTACTTGGTTTGTAGCATCGTCGTATGGCATATAGCTGCTGTTGAATGAGTTTGATAAAGGTTTGTGGCACTAAAACTGTAGTGTTGAAGTGGCAGCTGCCAAATTACTTCTCAGTCAATGGTATCGAATGTCTTTTCAAAATCGATGAAGTTGAGTTGACTGCGATTCTATGCTCTGATCTATGATGAAGCGTAGACTTATTTGCAGTTCCGTAACTCCAGTCATAAATATTCTCTTATCTTCTCGAATAAAAAAAAAGTATGTTTTCATTGTATGACAAAGGTTTGCTTTGTTCCTATCATTTGCATTTCACTAGTGAAAGCTTAAAAACTATAATCAATCGTGATGTTTTACCTGTTATTCCAATTAGTTTTGATTCTTATCAGCTTGAATAGTAAGGAAATCCATGTTCATCACTTCATTCACCGTAATAATGTACTGACTTTATTCTATTGTAAATATTACTTTGAATGAATTAGAAAATGACATTACATTTATTGTCTAGGTTTGGTGCCCATTTGAATCACATCTAAAATATTTAAACACTGAATCTGGTGCTACTGATTTTATTGTACATTCAAAAGATGAATATGAATTACCTTTAACCGGTGAAGATTTAAATGATTGGATATATAATAATCCTGAATATGACTGGGGCTATGAAATTATTCCTATGGCTGAAAGTGAACTACCACCATTAATTATTCCTCCTATTATTCAAAATAATATTGGTAGTAATACTGATGTCAATGATGAACAATCAACGAGAAGATGTCCTATTATTAATAATCATCATACACCGTTATCATCTCGAACAATAAATGATAACACTAGTCATATAACATCTTATCGTAGTGGTTCACGAATGAATACAAAGAATCTGAAACGTAGAGCATTATCAAATACTGCTAATTGTACTCCACGTAAAAATGCTTCCTACTCTAACATGTTAGATGAATCTCCATCGGTTCATGGTACTTTAGACGGTACTGGTAAGATTTTTAATGTTTATTTTTATTCACTTAAGTAATTTAACGCAGTAGTTTGAAATTTGTATGATATCACAATTGTTGACTATCCAATATATACAGTTAGATTTGATATTGTTTAGAGGTAAGTGGATCTGTAACTCACTGGTTTAAGCCATTCAACTTTTAACCAACTAGATCATTGGTTCGATTCGATTTTTTGTTTGATGTAACTTATTTTGTAACAGCTTATTTGACGGGTTCATTTCTGTCACCTCAATACCTCATATTTTCGATTAGAGGTCGAGGCCACTGCGCTACAGTAGTACACTGTGTATAGATGTAAAAAATAATAAATGAAATCAGAAGACATCAGATAGCTACATGTATTCGACCATTGTCTCCTTCGTAGCTGAGGTCGTATGTCGTGTCATCACCATATGATTAACATGGAACACAGGTGTTGAGTTTTACGGAGGTTATTAAAGTCATTTGAGGAGGTTTTGAAAATTCATCAACTAACAGACAGAAGTAGTCTCTTTCACCTACCTAGCCAGGGCAGCATCCTTTCAACTACAGGCACAGGCACAGACGAGGATGTCAAAACCAAGATCGGAAAGACAGCAAGACAGGCTTTCAATAATTTGAAATAATCACTGTGGAGATCTACTGCACTCAACATAAAGCGTCAACAACATCCGGATTTTCAACACCAATGCCAGTCAAGTCAGTGTTGCTATGTGGTTGGGAGACTTGACGCGTCACGGAAAGCACTTCCAACAAACTACAGATATTCACTATATGAACAGCTTTCGCCTACTCTCACTCGATACTGACACTGAAGGTCAGATGGTCAGAAAGAATGAGAACAAGCAACAAGAAACTCTGACTGACTGACTGACTGACTGACTGCTGGCTGGCTGGCTGGTAACGAACCAACTAAGCAAGAACCTATCACCCAACAAATATGCAGTAGAAGAAAGGTGAGATGGATTGGGCATACACTGAAAGGCCAACTGGGAACATGATGCGACAGGCCAGGGTGTTGAGTGGAATCCAAAGGGGAAACGACAAGTTGGGTGTCGTAGCCAAGGGTGACATGGAGGAGATGATGTGAGGAAGAAATGAAAAGTTGTGGGCAGTCGTGGTGCCAGGTTGAAAAGACTGCAGAGAAGAGATTGCAATGGAGTCGTGCTACTGAAGCGCTATGTTCCAGTAGGAACCCAAGGGAAAAGTAATAAGAGAGAATTAACGTAGAACCTCTCTCGAATTACCCCACTTCACCGTAACGTGCAAAGAACGGATGAATAGATAAGAGTGATGTCAAAATTTGTGTGAGAGAATGAACAGTTGGAAGAAGATAATACGTCAAGGAGTGACTGCATCTGCTCCACTGTGACCGATTTACAACCATGCACCAAAAGTGCTAAACAACGGGTTCCTATCGTCTTCAGCCAGTCTACATCTTTCCACACGGTTTGTACCAAGAGTCAGTCTTCTTGGATTGGTGCCACATCTTTGTCTGGCCACCTTAAACCCTCTCCCAACCCAGTCTACTTTGTCGTAGTATGACACGTTGAAGTAGGTGGTGACTTGGAAGGCGCAGTACACGTCCAAGCCATCTCAGACAACGAATGTTCACAATTTCATTGACTAAATTTCTGTAAGATGAGTTACATATGCATCAGTTAGTGTCTGCCTTGTCGTACAATGTTAGCTGAAGTAGGTTCAAACTGGAAAAAAGGTTAGGGGGCAACCACACTAAAAGATTGTAACACTACAAAAAGTCTTTGATTAATTGGTCTTACCTATATCGAGAAGTGTGAACTAGCCGGTTGAGATTGATGTAGCAACAGAAACCCGTATTAAACTTCCTATCACTTCATTCTTCTTAGCTCTCTTGTGATTGCTTTCTCGTTTATTTCTTTCTCTTTCCTTTTTATACATTCTCGTTTGATATGTTGACAGGTGTGGTAACTTGGAGCTTTACGTAGGAATGTCAAGTTTTGTGTTGATTTCGCCTATCTCTCTGTCTGTCTGTCTGTCGTTTCATGAGTTATCGTTTGTTTTGAACATATTTGGGGATACGAAGAAGTTGGATAGTCTGTCACTTATATGAATATCTGATCTGATGACATTAATCCATCCTGTTCCTAATATTGGCAATTTTGTTTTTACTGTTCTTTTAGCAACTATGGAGAATGAAATAAGAAGTAAAGATGGCCGTATCCAGCCACAACAATTGCGAGATTCTACGCCTACAGTAGGAATTATTGCAACACCGACATCTAGTGTTGGTAGTGGTGGTAGTAATACAGTACCCTTAACATCTGGATCATCCAGTACTAGTACTTATTCAAATAATTCAATTGTTCTGTCATTATATCCTCCATGTGGAAATAATACTAGTGGAAATTCATCAACCAGTTTAAAATTACACATTCCTCGAGTATCATATAATAAAGAGGTGACTAATGCTCGTGTACATCGTCTTCGACGAATGAATAATGCGAATACTGGATCAGGTTCAGATGCTGCAGCAGCTATAGCTTTAGCCGCTGGAGCACACTTACTTCAGCAACAACAACAACAACAACAACCTCAGTTAACTTCATCTGGAGCATATCATGAACACAGTCAACACCATTTAGCTAATGTTGTAGTGGCTGCAGCAGCAGCATTTAGTCCATGGAATTCATTTATATCGAATCCAGCTATTCTTGCTCGTTATGGACAGACAGCTTATCATATAGGATCGGGAAATAATAATACATCTAGTCGTCATCTTCCATCAGCACTACAAAATCTTATGGTATGTACACAGAAAGTGTTACAATTAGTTAAGTTATCACTTGTAAATGTTTTTTTTTTGATTGAGCTTATTTATCTTTTGATATACTGTACTGTCTTCTGGGATATCGTAGTTATCTTTCAGTACTTTGTAATGTGATTGATGAGAAATATGTGTTGTGTTAAATCATCGACTACTAAGTTAGAAAAGCTTTTGATGATTACTTATCTCTCAGTGAAACATCTAGAAATATATGATTTCCAGTTTCACAGTGTCTGAACACACCGATGGAATTAAGGTATTGTCTGAGAGATCCCGGTCAGTTAGCTGAAACGAAACATGAAGTACTTCATCGACTGGTGCCTACGTACTGGTCCGGCCGCCCTAAACTAGTCTAAAAGAGAGATATGGCTCGGTATGCGCAACACAACCTTATTACTCGAGATGCCTATCTTGCCCAGTACACCTTGCCTAAACTCAACATTGCTCACACGGTGATTCCATCAGATGCGAGCAATGTTACAATGACACCTATGATTTAAACCCTGTAACTGCTTCAAGCCTTCTACTTTCAACGTATAATAACAGGACAAAACGGACTGCAACGGCGTATACTCATCCTTTAATAGATAGTTGAATATCTTCTCAGTCGGTGGTACAGATGACACAAGATGGTAAATGCCGAACGGAGAATGTTTCCATTGAGTAGAGATTTTGTCCGCAACCAGTTCGTTCGACCTGATACAACTCTCCAAGTAAGTGAAGTGGTCAACATGTTCCACTACCTGACTCTCTACAATTAAAGTTACTAGAAGTAGTTGCGAGACCATTTGACAGATGTGAAACGTATGTCAAACATAATGAGACATTTGCTCAACGCGTTCAGAAAACATTGGATTTCATCAGCATCTTCACCTAGTAGAACATTATCCTGTGCATAGTCGAAGTTAACCAGACAACCATTTCGCATATTCTAAAGTTCTTACCTATCAGCTTAGATATGCTGAGCCAACTTAACCTTAGTTTATCGAAAATCTTCCATCGAATATATATATATATATATATATATATATATATATATATATATATATATATATATATATATATATATATATATATAGGTTGCATCGAATTACTCCCTTTGCAATTCTTTGAATCATTCAGCTGTATCTTCAAGTTGTATTTCATGTAGTCTCGGACATTTTTAAAATGTTATGAATCTAGGGTTTTGCAAGTTGTTTAGCAATAAAATGACGGAATCATATCCTAATATGATGGCAATCGGCTATTAAACGCACAACGTTACATTATATTAGTAGTAGTTAGATTGGATTAAAGGTTTTCATACTGGTTGAGTGAACCCTACGCTCCCCCCCTCGTACTCCCGACCAAATCTACTCACGTTTTTCTTTTCATTTCCCACTTTCAAGCCAGATGATAACCTAACAACACTTGCTCCTTTCTTATTGTTACCTGTAACACTATTATTGGTAATATTGATTTTACAGGAAATAAATTTGTTGGAGTATAATATGCCAAAAATTCTACACCGTATCAATCATATATTATCTGGAATAAAGTGATTATTTTCATCAAACAATATGTTCACTTTTCAACCATTGGGTTGTGTTATAACGGATCGAAGAAAGGGAGATAGAAATCTCAGACAAGTGTTATAAAATAAACAGTTTTCAAATGCTCTCAATTCCCATTGCGATATACTGACGCAAAGTGTTGTAACTTGGGTGGTTAAACTGTAATAATTCGTCGTGTGAACCACCATCGACTGAGGTTACTTGGGTATATGCAAGCCGAACCACCGGGTACCTCGACTTATAATGTTAGGCGATATTGGATTAGGTTGGAAGAAAGCTTAGGTCAGCAAGGCTAAAACCATGGCACCAGTTCATGAAGTCTCTAACTCTGTTGTTTTGGGGCGTATTGACAGGGGAGGAGGGTCAGAAGTTGAGGATTCTTAGTGATTTGACTGAAAATCAGTCGTAATTCTGCAGATGTATTCACTCTTTGATGTCTTCTAAAGCTTAAATGCTTTGACTAACCTTAATTTTTAAATTTCTTTTCTTGACATACACTTTTGCTTATTTGGATATCCACCTTTATCTATCCACTTATTCTCTGTATACTTCTGTGAAGTGTGGCAACTTGAAGGGATGCATTTGTGTTTGAGGTTCTACGTTGATTTTGTCTGTCTACCCGTCTCTCTGTATATATATGTGGTTAATGTGTTTGATGTTGTTAATATGTGGCTGTCTGTTATTCTGTTTGCTAAAAAGAAGTGGTGTACATTGTCTAAAGATATCCACCATTTCAATACATTCAGGTGAAATATTTGTGATGGATAGTGGCTAGCAGTGGAATCCAGCCCGTGTGTTTCGTCCTATTTGAGCGAACGAACGAACGAATTGCATTCAGTAACTTTATGGAAATTCGTGCAGCAGCCAATGAGCCACACGTTTTGTGTAAGGGCTAGTGATACTACCTAGCTGCCCAAACTTTGGTAGGTGGAGCAGGGCTTGAACGTGTGGCTCATTGGTTGGTAGTCATTTCTCTAAATCACTGAGCCACAACTCCACTTCGTTCTATTTGGGGCTAGTTAGCTGAATATACGTGCATTTCAGGAAGCTGTGTTGTTCCAACTAGGACTTGGGAGGCAGATATATCCAGCTGACAAGTCGTAAATAGCGCGAAATGCTCATCCTGGATTCCACTTTTAGCCACTTAATTGTTCGTTCAGAAAGGTTGGTTTTTGATGAAAAACGTCGATATAGGCGTACTTGTGTTTGTCGCCTCGTGGAATTGAATGTCATTTACTTTGTACTTTTCCATGAGGATGTTTAACTTGCTTTGATGTATTTGATCTCCTGTTTTTGAACACGAATGAATTCAGGGGAAAGTAACCTCTTTTTATTCATCTGTACGTTCTTTTCTGTCTTGGATAAACTGCCTACTGTGAATGTTATTGATACTGCGTGGTGATTTAAGGTCGCAACAGAATGTCTGAATGTATGAGATTGTTCTTTCAGAAAATTCAGATCCTCGAAAAATGTATTGTTGTTCCACTCAAAACTTAGGTGCATTCAATCATTGGGTTCTGGACCAGTGACATAATGGTAACATGCTAACCTCGGAACTCCCCATCATCCTAGATTCGACCTCTGTGACGACCATGTGTGTGCACATTTGAGGAGTCTCAATGCTCCCAAACTGGTTCACTGATTCTTTAACTGATTTCGGTCGGTGATGATTACCAACTTGATATTAATAAATCAATTCTCACAAACCTCCAATTTGATTAATTGTAGTTTTTCAGTCTCTGTGTTTTTCTTTAACTCACTTTACACGTTGATGGACAAAACCGACTTTAAATCTCCCCCTCCCACCCCTTAATTAAGCTGAAAATACTGATCACCGATCATCGGATTTCAGAGGGTAGAGCTTTACTGTTCCACTAGAAAGAGATTACACCGTAGTTTCCTAAATAGTTTTGGCCACAATCAACCACATAGGTCACTAAGTGTATTAATATGGACTAAGAATTTGATAAGAGAGTCATTCAACAGTAAATATGAAGTAACTATGATGTGACGCAAAGAAACAGGAATTCAAAGCTGTGAAAAATCCATTATCAACAACACGTAAATAATCGATATTCTTCTCCCTCTCTCTATCGTTTACTTTGCCTCATAATATGTTCCTTATTGTTTTCTATTTAACAGCAAACATCTAACAGTTCACATTATCCTTCATTGAAATATCCTATCCCAGGGATCACTGGTAGTGGTGCATCAGGTCTGCCTGTAAATATTTTATCATCATCCAGTGGTAATACTGCAGCTGGCCAGTTGAACAATGCCACACAATTAGCTAATCAATTATATGTTGGTAAACCACCTGACTGGTTGATCTATGAAGAAGCAGCTCTGTATTTAGTAAGTTCCATTTCATTTTTTGTATGCATCTCATTTTTCATGAGATCTCGTATTTGTGATAGTTAGAGAGTTAGGGAGTTTTGGTTGTATTGTGTTCTCTGAGGTAGCTGGATTGTTTAATCGTGGAGACGCTTTCATCGTCTTTGTAGACGACATCGTCAGCACTAACTTCAGTATGAAGTGAGCTGTCACTATCTCTCCATGAGTGATTGACTAGCTCTCCGTGACGAACTGCTTTGTGATTGACTGTTCTCTTCAATTGTTGTGTTATAGACTGTATAGATTTTATTGTTGGCTGTTTGTCTGCTTCACCTTTGACCTTTCTGTCATTCACCATTTTTTCTATTGATTGGTAGATTGAGTCTATGTGTATACATGTAATGATTGCTGACTGAGCGGACTGACTGACTCACCTGAATTACAAGCTTCTAGGAATTCTCTGATATTCACTGTGTTTCCTCTCTGTCCATTCAAAATTTCTACATTGTGAAAATGAAATTCATCTCCATAGTTGTTATCTACATGCATTGAAATGAGTGATGAGATGTTTTGTCTGACGTTTAGTAGCCGATAGGTGTTGATGTAGACGAAGGTGAAGGCGAAGGTGGGTGACCACTTTGTCCAATCTGTTGTTGACTACAATTAGTTATTCCAGTTGATTATGTAAATGATATTCGGTTTGTTTTCTTTAGTCTGCGTAATATGGTTAGAAGGGAATTTGTTGATTTATGTGCCACACCAATTCAACCCAGTGGTCTCTCTCAGTAATCTTGTTGTGATTTCTGATGTATTTCTTTACGCATGGTAGAATGACACATTTACTGATTTCTGTGGATGATGTAGAGTTGTAGTTGATAATGCATTGGATAGGTATCTTCTGATAAAGTTTTGTGGGCAGCTATTCTTCTTTCGAGTGGACATCGAGTAATTTTCCTCGTTTCTCGTGAAGTTGTTGTACTTCAGTGTGTTGTAGCTCTTTTGAATAGAGTTTGCACGCGACTGATTTTGTGTGTTGTTGAGTCGTTGTTATTGTATTTGAGGATTTGGTCAGTATGTGTTAACTTCTTGTACAGTGGAGTTTCCAGTTTTCTGGCGTTTGTCCTACTGACTAAAACATCCAACAATGGTAATTTTGTTGTCTGACTCCTATTCCTTTGTGAATTTGATGTAATTGAAAAAGTTGTTGATCAAACTGTAAGTGTTTTCTATGTAATCTTTTTAATGTTAACAAAAGTATCGTCTGCATAGCGAATCGAGAATTTCGGTTTGATCACAGGTAGTATGATGGTTTCCAGTCTCTGCATCACTGTTTCTGCAATTAATCCGCATGTCGGTGATCCCATTGGAGTTCCTTTCATCGATTTGTATATCTTACCGTTGAATTGGAAGTATGTTATGAGACATGGGTCGGTGATTCCTGTAAAACTTGAACATATTTAGTTCATAAGGTCTTATGTGATGTAGGGATTAGTGGAACCGAATTAGAACCTTGAATCCATTGGTTGACAGCCTAATACTCAAACTATTGAATGCTGCACTACGACTTGTTAACCGTTGGTGAGTAGTTTAGACTATGAAGGTTAAGTTACACAGTGGTTTTCTTACATACTGTGGTAGCATTATCCATGTCCGTTGCTGCCACACTAAATATGAATCGATTTCACAACATCAGTTATTTTCTAGAACTGAATATTATTTCCCTCGACCATTGAAGTTGATTGCTATTGAGCAGCAAGGGACATAAACGACTTTGTGTTTTTTTGCAAACAGATCTGTATGTTAATGTGAAGTGAATGAGTATCTCATCAAAGAGAGTAACTTTTCTTCGACCAAATATCTTAAAGGTAAGATACTTCTTCGAAAACCTAAAAGTTTTGGGTTCGACCCTCGATGGAGTCATGGCTATACACTGCTGAGAAGTCGCATAGTAGATAGGAGGAAATAGCTGCTCTAGTGCTTCAATGTTTTCAACGATTCACCAACAGATGTAAGTCCGTGATGCATATGATAACTAACAGCGTAAGGCATTACAAGAATTTTTTTTGGCGCAGAAAGAGATGAGGTTGTACATACAAGACAGTTGCTTCCTTTCATTTGCATTCTATTACTCACGATTTAAGCTGACTCTCCATATTTATAAGCTTTTGTTGCTTCAGTGTCCTTAAATATATTAAAGGAGAAGGCTTATAGTTCAACTTAATGGTGTCGAAAAGTTGTAGTTCACACAGCAATCACTTGGATTTCATGCAGTAGGAAATGCACAACATCCAGTGTGTTGTTAAGGCTAATAATGCTACTTGATTGTTCAGGCTGAGATAAATGAAGAGCAATTTAGGCGCATGACTCTCCACCAACTAAGTTAATTTATTTACTCCTTCCTAAGATCCTAGAAGATTTGGATTTCGCCAACGATGACTTTTGTCTAATGTCACACAAACATGAAGATCTACAGGCGAAAACTAACAAGTTGACAGAAGAGGCAGCGAAGACGTGACTTGAGGTGAACGTAGAGAGGACAGGTGATGATAATACCAAACCAACGCCACTACTACCACCACCAAAACGAGCTTCAATCACCATGAACGGGAGAAACCTAAAGGAAGTAGACTCTTTCACCTACCTACCTCGTATCGTTTCAACTACAAGCAGCAGTACAGACGGGGACATCAAAGCCAGCCAGAATCGGAAAGACAGCAAGACAGGCGTTCATTAATCTGAAACCCATGTGGAGATCTTCTGCACTCAGAATAAACAATGACATCCGGATTTTCAACACCAATTCGTCAAGTCAGTGCTTCTATATGATTTAAAAACTTGGAGCGTTACAAAAAGAATTCCCAACAAATTACAGACATGCATCACATCAACAACTGCCTACGCTCAATACACTGAAGATAAGATGGCCAGAATAATGGGAATAAGCAACAACGAACTCTGCCTGGCTGGCTGGCAAGGAACCAATGAAGCAAGAACCTATCACCCAACAAATATGCAGAAGCAAATGGAGATAGATTGGGCATACACTGAGAAGGCCGATTGGGGACATCACGCGATGCCCTTGAGTGTAATCCAAAGGGGAAACGACGAGTTGGGCGTCCCGGCTGCTGAGGGTGACATGGAGGAGATGGTGTGTGGAAGAAGTAGAAAGCTTCAGGGCAGTCATGGTGCCAGGTTGAAAAGACTGCAGAGAAGAGAGTGGAATGGAGACGTGCTACTGAAGCGCTATGTTCCAGTAGGAACCCAAGGGACAAATAATAAATATTAATCATAATAATAATAAGTTTGTGTCATATACATTAATCTCAAACTCTTGAAGAATCCTAGTGGAAATGTTAGAAAAAAGTGATATTTTAATTTATCTAGCCAAAAATATCTCTCTGTAAACATGTCATAGCTTTTTAAAGAAAATGATTAACCGAATATATATTTATTCATTTACTTCTAAAGCAATTGAATACCAAGGAGACATATTGACTCATCACTCCCACCATTTTCACTCCTAATGACGAAAATAATTTCTATTTTTTATCTTTATACTTTAGTGTATTACAAAGATTCAAGAGTTGAACTTTGAAATGAATAATTCTAGTAATAATCCACTGAATTCTACACCGAATTATCGTTTTGCTGAATTCTTTCTGAACAATTATCTTCCTAATCGAAGTTATCGTGGTGCACGACAATGCTTACTAGCTCATTTTAAAATGCAGAATATTATCTCATCTGCAAGTACTGTTGGATCATCAGGATCATCCGGTGGATCTCCATTGAATAATCCTTTTGTATTCAACCCTGAAGATATGTCTTATCCATCTACTGGTAGGTTTTATAGAACCTCATTCTTTGTACTACGTTTTTATAATTAGATGAATATTTCTTCCTTATTTTTAAACCATAAATTCACATTTCAAGCTGAATGGGTCAAGATCGTCTTGAATACGTTACTTTTACTAAATTGGATAACCTTATCTCTTCGTTACTATTCGAATGTATATCTCCATTGACCTGGATTGGTCCTTAGCAGCGCTTCAGTTGCCCAACATCCAGCCTAAATTTGAATGGGACGTAGATGCCGGTCCTTCAACTCTCCTTGACGTTGAGGAAGCTGTTTTGAACCTGAAAAGGTGGAAAGTAGCAGGATCTGACAGTTTGCCACGTGAAGTTTTCAAGCATGGAGGTAGGAAATTTCTGATGACAGTGGTGTAGGTACTGGGTAGTGTATAAGGATCAAAGATAGTTCCGTCAGACTGGTCTAGTTCACTAATCATACCAGTTTATAAGAAGAGCAACAACCATAGGGGAATTAGTTTGACTAATATTGTGTGGAAGATCCTAGGGTCTATAGTTATCCAACGGGTAACTGGAGCTCTAGAACAACAAACTCGAGAAAACTAAGCAGTTTTCAGACCTGATCGAGGATCTATCGGTCAGATTTTCACCCTCCACCAGGTTGTAGAATGCAGGCATACCTGTTGGTGGCTGACACGCTGACTTGAAGGTGCTATTTGACTCTGTCGACTACGAGGTGTTATAGCAGTGTCTAAATGTGAAGGGAATACCAAGGAAGTATAAAAAGCTAATCAATGCTCTCTGCTGAAACTCATACTCGTGTCAAGACTTACGTAGAGTTGTCAAGTGAGTTCATAACTAGTGGTGTCCGCCAGGGATGCCCACTATCACCATTGCTACTCAACTTCACCATAGACTTACTAATGGACATTACCTTCATAGGGATTGACCTACCTCCTGGAGGTGATCTAAGTGACTTGGAGTATGCAGACGATATTACCCTACTAGATGAGGACGTTGACGAGATGCAGTGTCTTCTGAACTCAGTGAACAGGTATTTCTCATTCGTTTCACTGGCACTTGTCAATATAAGATGATGCTCCACGACTGGTGTGCAACGACTCGCAGCTTAATGATATGTCATAAAATGATGAGATATGCCTACCAGTTCACTTACTTGGGGAGTCGCACCAACCCAAACGGACTGGCTGTTGTCGAAATCTCAACTTTGATAGAGTAGGCCTGTTTGGTATTTGCCAACTTGCGTCACCTATGGAGTCAGTGAGATATCAACTATCTATCAAACGATGAGTAATACTGCACTGCAGTCCATTTTCTCCTGTTGTATGACTGTGAGAAATGGATGTTAAAAGTAGGAGAGATGAAACAGTTACCGTTTTTTGACCATAGGCGTCTTTGTAACATTGCTTGCGTTTGGTGGAATCACCATGGGAGCAATGTTGAGGTTAGGCGAAAGGTACTAGGCAATATAGGCAAGTCGATTGACTAGGTTGTAAACGTTAGTCGACTGAGATGGCTTGGATATTTATTGAGCATGCTGAGCCACCGCCTACCTCGAGAAGCCATTCTAGGGGAAGTTGGAATAGGATGGAAGAGAGTTCAGGGTAGTCAGACCAAGGCCTGAGCACCAGTTGATGAAGTCTCCGATTCTTGGTCTTAGCTATGTGGATAGATATATCCACCTGTACTATCAAGTATGATAACTTGAGCCGATGTACTTTTGTGCAAGGTTCTATATTGCTTTTGTCAGTCAGAATTCGACTTACGACCTATGGATCGCTTATTCGAACCCATCTGAGCAACTGTGTGATATCATAAACTTTCACATAACAAGTGTGGCTCATGGCCTACTACATAAATCTGTACTAGGCTGAGTTACGTTATTATTATTAACCAGTAAAGGATATGTTTTGCATACATTTATGATAGATATCATGACATACAAACAAATTTCAAAAGCTGTATGCGGCATTGGAATCCATTACCTCGTCTGGTAAACAGCCATAAATACCATGGTGTATGGTAAAATGTGTTTAACCTAGTCCCCAAGTTACCACCCTAAGAAATCTGTCATTTCACTCAAATATCAAGTTGACAGTCTAGGGAATTTAGTTATCTGTGCATAAAAATGACCTAGACCAAAGTCAGAATAACACAATCTTATTGGCTACATCACAAATGAAATCGACCAATAAGTTTATTATGTCCGCATATAAACATAAATCAGTACACTATACACACTTGGTGACACCACGAATACGGCGTATACTACGAAGGCAATGGTGGTTAACCACCTAAAGCCTTCTCAGGTCTTCCGCCTTCAATGGCCATGTTTCACAGTAATACAGTACACAAGAGAGGACTGCTGTGCAGGTGCAGTACATGTGACCCTTAATAAACAATCGGATATCATGGAGTGGCTACATGTGGCGTGAGTTGGCGAAAGCCAGCCGAGCCTTTTGTATTCGTGCAGAGATTTCACCGGCCACTGAGCCAACCAGCCACCTGGGTTGATCCCACTTCCCAGGTAAGTGAAGTGGTCAACACACTCAACCACTACACTCTCCATTGTTAGCCGTGGTGGGGAACTGTTGAAGACCAATTCTGGAGCAACAATTTGCATTTAGGTGGTGAGAAACACATCCAAACATTCTCAATTTGCCACACCCAAGGTGTTCAGAAGACTCTGCATGTTGTCAGCGTATTCACCTAACAGGACTATGTGATGCGCTTATTGTAGGTCTAAGGACAATAGTTCGGTGATTAGGTCAACCTCTGTGTAATCAGGTGACGATGAGAGGAAGACGGACACGACTCGGTGAGCATAGCTGTCTAGACATCTCACCATGGGCTGTAACACGTCTGCAAGTGTTCGAGTAGAGAGCCTTCAATGAGGTGATGTACTTAATTGGCACGCTTTTGAGTGAGAGACATTGCCATTAGACTTCTGTATGAACGGAGTTGAATGCCGCCTTTAGGTCGAGAAATACAACCATTGTTAGGAGTCGGTAAGCGTGCCTATGTTGATGATGAGATATCTAGCCACATTATATGTTTTCCGCTCACATTCATATTATCTAGCTTAGAAATAAATTCAAAGATATCTTTTACACTATGATTAACTAGTTCTTTGTATAAGGGATCTAAAATCCTAACTAATCACTTAGCAACTGCTTGGTATGGGGAGTTAGATATGTCTAAAACTGAAAGTACTATTGTTCGCTTGTATGTCTATTCTAATTTACATGATGGGAATTGTTAAATCTCTTAAACAGAAAAGAAGTTACTCTCTATTGGTTATTTATTTATGCTTGGATATTAACTTATCTAATGTTCTATCTTTTGTAAGTAAATCCAGTCCCTGGCAATCATCATGGTCCAAGTAGTCGTAAAGTGAAGAATAAAATGAAAAGTGCTGCTGCTGCAGCTGCAGCAGCCGCTGCCGCTGCTGCATCTGCATCTATTATTTCTGGAATGCCTCTATCATCTGGTGGTTCTCCATTTGGCAATGGATCAGGATGTTCACCTGGTGTTAATGGTGGTGGAGGAGGAAATGTTTCTGGGGCAAATACAGCTGCAACAGCTGCTGCTGCTTTGAATCGATGCAGAGGTTATCTCTTCTATCAGGTAAGGTAGTAAGTATTGTTGTTCACAAATGAATTCTTCTTAAAACATCTTTATACGAATGAATAAAATTTCAAGTTCTTTTAAACACTTATTCAGTTTACATAATTGTTGTTGTTATTATCGACTTTATCTTTCATTTCCAAAGTAAGGTAGATTGGATTTTAGACACCAGTATAAAGAAAGTACAAAGAATGTCTGAGGGTGTTTAGAAGCTTGGCATTCAGATCAGTCACTGATCAAAGGACATATTGACCATGACTCAGTCAACCAATAAAAAGGTCATAGTTCTCAACCAATCACAGTCAAGGTCATTAGAACAAGCTGCTGAGCCACTTGTGGAGAGAATTCCATAGTTCGCTTTTCCCCCCATTAAGTTAGTACTGATGATGTTGTCTACAGTGACAATGAAAACTTCACGATCTAACCATCCAGCTCATGGTTAATCTGATTGTTAGGTAGTGTTGCCAAGTAGAAAAGCAGTTTTGCAGTAGTAGTAAAAAATTTTAAAGGTCCTTGTTATTTCATAGAATAATATTTTTCAAGCTGGTTTCATCGGCTTGAGGAGTTATACTATGGAACTGTGGCTCATTGGTCTAGTTACTCAATTTTCAACCAGAGGGTCATGTATTGGTATCCTGTTCCATTTACCGATATCCGAGAAACCAAACAGTATGATTAGATTTCATGTATAGGGAGTGGTGGTTGTGTATTGTCTACTGCATGGATATGCTCTTGGTCATTGAGTACAATTTTAAAGAATCAGTGCTCACACCGAAAACACAGTCAGTTAGAAAGTCGTTTCTTTAATTTATAGGATCTAGGTTCCCGTAAGACATCGTGATCATTTCTTATTATCATTATGATAACTATTTGAAAGCAAGAGGTTGGAAGTCATATGGTGGATGCTCACGAGTGAGCTTGGAAATGTCTAAAATGATGCTTATTGAAAAGTAGGACTAGTTAGTCTCCTTAACTGCAATGTTGACATCACTAGACACCACGATCTATTCCTCATTGATTTTCTCCCTTCTTTCGTTATGTATTTTTATAATGGAAAAAGGCCCCAGGTGGCCACACTAAAACATGTCACCAAAATATGAAGTCTCTGATTGTTGGTTTAAGCCATATGGGGCGATGTAGACTAGGTGGTTGGGGTCCACGGGACAAGTGGAACCAGTGGTTAGAGACTGACTGTAGATGATATGGCTGAAAATCGATGTGAGTGGCGTAGATTTGTACACACATTATCGTCATCTTAACGACGCTATACCGAATCTCACCACTTTTTCATTCCTTCTTTCTTTCTTTTACTACTTGATATTTCTTTTGACTGCATTCTCTTATCTTCATCTTGCACCTCACTACCTTTCTACTTAATTAACTGTACTGAGCTGTGGCAAATGGGACCGTTACGCAGTAATGTGTGATCCTATGTTGATATTGATTGATTGATAATATGTACACTTTGTGCAAGGTTTTACGTTGATTTGTTCATCTGCCTTAACACTTCTTAGTTTAGGTGCACTTGACAAATCCTACCTTCTTATTAAGCTTTGAATGACCAGATGATTTCATAATCCATCACATGATATTTGTAGTCTACACGCCTAGTATACCTCAACTTCTATTAGGTGTCTAATTCGCACTATTATTGTTTTTTTTTTAATTATTTTATCTTTCTTACCGTTTATTCATTTGTTTGTTTTTACTTCATAGCATTTACATACTTGGCTTAATATGATATCACCAAACTCGAATGATAGTAATCAAGGGAATGGGACGACTGATACCAATCCGGCTGTACCACCACATTTATCTCCAGTCGTTCATGCTATCAAACTTACAGAAGATAATCAAGCATCACTTTTACGCAAAGCTATACGGGATACATTGTCTGCACCTTCTGTACAAATTCCTTCTGTTTATCGTCCCACTGGGTCACGCAGAACATGTGTAGGTGGTGGTGGTAGTGGTGTCAGTGGTGGAAGTAGTACTTCAGCAGCAGCTTCATCAGCCTTAGGTTATCATCCAAATGCACATTCTAGTGCAACTGGTACATCTGTTGTACACTATACTCATCATAGTTCTGGACAACTTTCTCATAGTCATTCTGGATCTGTTGCACCAGCTTTACTAACACATCATCGTCATCGTCATCATTCAACTTATGATCATAGTCAAAGTCAAAATGTGAACAATCCAACTAGTGATACTAATGCAACAGGATCATCTGGGAGTGTTAGTTCAACTTCAGTGGCTAGTGCAACTATTGTTCATAGTGCTCCAATAATTCAAAGAATCCTACACATATTGCTGCACTTCAAGTAAGCATATAAGTCAATTCCATACTTTCCTAACATGTTCATTCAATTATTTTTTTAAAAATTATGAATCTGAGTATTTGATGAATATTGAAACTTTGTGGTTCATTTTTGTATGATTCATTATGAAGAAACTTGAGATTTTAGACAGGGAGTGTCCTGAAGTTGCTGATTGTTCATTGCCTTCAGTAGTATACTAGACACCATTTGTGCAAATCCTCTAAGTTACACAATTACTTACAAGCATTTAAAATGTTTTTCTTTTATTCCCCATGAAGGACTGGAAAAGGTTGACCTCGAAATTAGTACACTCTTCTCTGTTCTGCAGGATAGCACTGCCGGTGGTATGAGTTTTTCTTGTGTCCAATCTTGACACAATCAAATTTGAATCCAAAATACTTACGAAGGTCATATGTAGTTAGTAGACTTCAAGAATAGGTCCCATTAACTCTGAGGTCATGTAAAACTAAACCATTTAACCTTTCAAGATACCTTGCAGAAACTTCTAAAGTATGAGAAACCAGAAAGTACCAGCCGGAGACCACTCGACGTACGTAACTCATCCGATATCTTACCATAGGCTCTAACAGACCCACAAACATTCGAGTAAATTAGCGTTTATTAAGGTGAAGTACCTACTCGGTACCCGTTTCAATGAGACACTGTCATAGGACTTCTCGATCAACGGAGTCGAATGCCACCTTCATGTTGAGAAATACAGCTGCTGTGAAGGTGTCGGTAAACGTGCTTGTTTTCCGGAACCTGATGGAGCGTGAATAATTGGTCGATACACCTAGGGCCAGGTCTGAAGCCTGCCTAATTTTTTCGAGCTTGCTATTCCGGAGCTCGGCAGACGACTACAAATTATTGTATTCGTTTAAAGGAGACCTATTTGGTGGATGAAGTCATGTGAAGACTGTGGATGATTTATCACCGCTTTCTTAGTTTCATTTTTAGTGTGATTGAATAGTCTGGTCACTGTTTAGGTATAGTGTTGAATAATCGTTAAGAAGGGATAAATTGGTTGGTCGGAAGTGAAAGAGTGAATAATAATGCTAAGAAAATATGCCGTGAGACACTTGAACTGGATTCGAATGTCGACTATTTACCCTCAAAACTTCATTGAACCGCGAAAATCAGAAGACAAAGGTCGACCTGTGACTCCAAGGAAGACAACCTTAGTTGACAAAAAAGCACATTATTTGTGTAGAGTTTTCGCTCAGAAAACAAAGCCACTAGGTCAGAAGTTGGGTACTTGTTTTCATTGGTCAGCTGAAGGGCACAGTTTTCCATTGAGGTTTTACCTGTCCACATAGTAACTGTGGATTTTTATCATTATTTCTCCCCTATGCTCCTAGTGAAACATACGGCTTCAGTAGCACGTCACCATTTCACTCTCTTCTCTGCAGTCTTTTAAACCTGGCTCTACGACTGCCCATAAGCTTTCATTCCTTCCTCACACCATCTCCTCGATGTCACCACCGACTTGGACGCCCAACTTGTCATTTCCTCTTTGAGTTCTTCTCGAGGGCCTCACCTAACGCATGATGTCCCCGAACAGTTTTCCCAGTGTATGTCCAATCCAATCCATCTCCACTTTCTTCTACTGCATATTTGTTGGACGACGGGTTCTTCGTTGGTTCATTGTCAGAGTTCCTTGTTGCTTATTCTTATTATTCTGACCATCTGATCTTCAATGTCAGTATCGAGTAAGCGAACGTGGGCGGCAGCTGTCGAGGTATGTCTGCAGTTTGTTGGAAATGCTCTTCGTAAGGCGCCAAGTCTCTCAATCACCGCATAGAAGCACTGCATTTCTTGACTGACATTACTGTTGAAAATCTGGATGTTGTTCACGCTTTATGCTGAGTGGAGTGGAGTTGAGTAGATGTCCATACTGATTGCTTTCAGATTGCTGCGGGATGGCCTGTTTTGGTGTCTTTCCGATCCTGGCTGCTTTGACACCCTTCTCCTGATCTGTACCTGTGCCGCCTGTGGTTGAAACGATGGGGCCTAGGTATATGTAAGTAGAGAGAGGTAGATGAAAGAAACAACTTCCTTTAGGTTTCTCCTGTTGATGGTGATCGATGCTTGTTGTTGTATGGCTATCTTCAACTTAGGTAATAATGTACATTTTGGTCCAATAGCTACTATCTTATTACTATATAATGATAATAAATTTTTCTTTAATGCACTATCAAGGAACATAATATCAATCCGGATACCTTAATCACTCCTGCTATGGTAATCAAGAATAAAGAAGAAAGAGAAGCTCGCCAACGCGCTGAAGCCGCTGCGCCGCCGCCGCCGCCGCAGCAGCAGCGAATCAGGCTAATTCGTCTGCAACACCAACAAGTTCTGCAACTTCTGGTTCTTCTACTCCAAATTTTTCTCAAGGAGATTCGTCAACAGATCTTTCAAATTTACAGTCTACAGAAAGCGGTGGTATATACTCGCATAGCTCTCATCCATCATCAGATCATGTATATAAAACATCTACCCATCATACTAATTCTTCTTCGAATGAGTTTACAACATCGCATAATCTTTCAGTGAACTCTACTACTGGTTCTTTTTCCACAGGTTCATTTTCTAATGCTCGTACAAATGCACAATTGTCATTTGCACATAATTTATCACAACGAGCGAATAGTGTTATGGTAAGTTTATCATCTGATAAATTAGCGTTTCATAATGATATTTTTCTATATTATTTGTCAAATGTTGTATCACCATTATTATTATTATTATTATTATTATTATTATTATTATTATTATTATTATTATTATCAACTTAGGACCAGGCATTACTGCGTAACGATCCGAGTTGCCACACCTCACGTCAGTTCATCAAATAGAAAGGTAGTGAGGTGCATGATGAAGATAAGTGAATGCAGTCAAAAGAAATATGAAGTACGAGAAGAAGGGAAAGAGGAGTGACAAAATTGTGAGATTCGGTATAGCGTTGTTAAGATGAGGATAATGTGTGTATACATCTGCGCCACTGACTTCGGTTCTGAGCCATATCACCTAGAGTCAGTCTCTAACCACTGGTTCCTCTTGTCCCGTGGACCCCAACCATCTAGTCTGCATCGTCCTGCATGGCTTAAACCAACAGTCAGAGACTTCATACATTGGTGACATGTTTTAGTCTGGCCACCTCGGGCCTTTTTCCAGCCTGGACCCACCTCAGCCAACATTGTGTGACGAGGCAATCGGTGACTAGGCATACGTAGTAGGTGTCCCAACCATCTCAGTCGATGAAGGTTCACAACCTCGTCAACTGACTTACCTCTTCTCCCCAAAACTCTACACCTAACTTCTGCATTACTCATGTGGTGACCCCACGGAATACGTCCTATACTACGAAGGCAACGATGGTCAAACACCTGAAGCCTTTTTATATCTTCCACTTTGAATGGCCATGTTTCACAGCCATACAGTAGAACAGAGCGGACTGCTGTGCAGTACACGCGACCCTTAATAGACAAATGAATATCACGGCGGCGCCATAGGTGGCGGAAATTGGCAAAAGCCAATCGAGCCTTTTGTATCCGTGCAGAAATCTCATCGGCAACTAACCCACCAGGGTTGATCCTACTTCCCAGGTAAGTGAAGTGGTCAACACACTCAACCATTACACTCTCTATTGTTAGCCGCGGTACCGCTGAAGACCAGTTCTGGAGCAAAAATTTGCATTTGGGTGGTGAAAATCGCATCCCAAACATTCTCAAATTCTCACTCAAAGTGTTCAGAAGACTCTGCATGTTGTCAGCGTATTCACCTAACAGGACTATGTCATCTACATGTTGTATACAGTTCGGTAGTGTTATCTACTAATTATTCTGTACTATCTACTACAGTTACTCCATTGAGAGGTGTATTCTATGTTGACCTTTGAATATGAACTATTTACTCTCATTTTTCAACCTCCACGTTCATCATTTCACTAGATGAAGTCGTATCTGCCTCCTTTATGTAGATGACAGACCCAATAACATGTTGTATTGGATCTTGTGAACATGTTGAGCAGAAGTTGTAGTTTGTATAGCATACGTTTCGCACCTGTCAAATGTAAGGTGACACTCCAGAGCTGGACTGTTGCAAGTACTCCAGTGTAATGATAGGGAGGACTTGCATCAGCCTGAATGGGCTAGTTGGTGACGAAATCTCAGTTTGGATACAGAAGGCCACTTCGGTATTTGCCAACCTGCATCATCTATGCCATTGACTGGTGAGATAATCCGACTACCTGTTAAAGGTTTTCGTAGCAGTGCTCACATTTGGTGGAATCACAGTATGAGGTCAAGCTAGTGGTATTAGCCATGATAAGCAAGTCAATTGATGATAGGGGGGAGTTGAATAAAGTTGGATGAGAGTTTGGGATGATCACAGCAGTCGAAGTTTGATTGTTGATCTATGTCATATGGGAAGATTTAGACTGCCGTGCTAAAGTCTTCGAGACAAGGACTGTTGATGACATAGCTAAAAATCAGTCAGAATTGCCCAGACGTATTCGCTTTTAACATCTTCTGCAGTTTGCGTATTCTCATTGACTATCATTTTAAGATTGTTTATTGTCTCATACAACTTTCTCTACTTTGGTGTGACTCATTTTCTGTCCATCTGTTCTCTGCAAAGTGTGGCAAGTTGAACTGATGTACTTGTGTACTAGGTTCAGCGTTGATTTTATCAGCCAAGTTGATCTGTCAGCTGTACTTGATTTCATACGATTAGGTTCGCTTACTTTCTTTTTTTGAAAACCCATTGTGTTCCTAAGTGTTAATAACCTTATCTTTAAAAAATTTTTTATTTACAACATCTTAAGTTGCCAATTCGTTCCGGTTTCGGTGGTAATCCTAGCAGTCCATCTGGTTCCATTTTATCTTTCACTGGTCAACAATCCAACAACGTATACATAGTGCACAGAACACTTCATCTTCTTCATCAATAGTTGGTCATTATCAATTTCAACCACGACAAACTTTATTACATTCATCAGTTGGTCGTTTAACTCATTTAACACCTGGTGCACCGATTACCAATACATCACATTTGTCTAGTGGTCATCATATGATATCATCTGTTGCAGTAAGTTCATCAACATCTGATGATAATAATCCTCGAAATGTAGACTTGACGTCTGGTAATATTTTAATTCCTGGTAACTGGCGTACAGCTTCCAACTCACGACCACTTAATGTTCAAGTAAGTGAATGTTATTTCAATGTGGTTAACTTTACTTTGCATTAAATGTTCTCCGCATTCTAAGTTGTGTTGCTTGTATTATCCTGTCGTTGATTAGACCGCATTGATAGATGTCTTGATAAATGGGCTCCTGTGTAGATGTCTTGAAATTGCGTGTGTTTGAATTACATAAATATAATGAAATCCAGGATGCATATTTCGTTCTACATGGGATTCATCAGCTGGATTTACCTGTCTCTCAGTGAGCTATGTTGTTCCCACTAAAACTCGAATCTACAAATGTGGCTGTCATGACTCTTTGGCCTAGTGGATAACGCCCTTGTATTCGAAGCGCTCATCCTAGATTCCACTGCCAACCCCTATCCATTATTAATCTAAAATCTCCGCATTCCTTGTAGTACTTACTTGTGTAAACTTTATCTTATTTTTTTTGCATTGTTCAGTGTGTTGAAGAAATGATGATTTTGCTTAATTTATTGAGGAAATGTAGATCTTTCCCTAGTCAAAGAATTGGTTATCCCATCAGTTTCACGGTTGATTTGTATATTTTGACGATTACAGCTAAGTACGCTTGAGTTGCTTCATATTCAGCCGGTACCTGAATAGAACTTAGATACTGGTCCACCAAATCTCGTTGAGATTGAGTAGGCTATATTGACCTGAAATGATGCAAAGCAGCAGCACCTGAGAATTTGCCACCCCGAAGTTTTTAAGGATAAAGGTAGGAAATTGCTGCCGTAAGTGATGGATGCACTAGGTAGTGTATAGGAATCAGAGGTAGTGCCATCAGTGTGATCTACTTCACTGATCATTCCACTGTATAAGAAGAGTGAGTGATATTGTTGTGTCAACCATTGGGGAATTATTTTGACTCTAGAACAGTAAACTCGAGAAAACTAAGGAGGTTTCAGGCAGTTGGACGAGGGTGCATCGATCAGATTTTGGCCCTCCGACAGACTATGAAACACTGGCATACTTAACGGTTGCTAACGGACACTTGGTATATTTGCCGACCTGAAAGCGCTGTTTGACTCTGTCTACCGTAAGGTGTTGTGACAGTGGGCATCTGACTGTAAAAAGAGTACTGAGGGAGTATACAGAGCTAATCAAATCTCTCTACTGATGCTCCGTCAGCCATGTTAGGGCTTACGAAGAGTTGTCATGTGAGTTGAGCCTAACTATTGGTGTCGATCAGGCATACCCACTGTCACCATTAGTTTTCAATTTCTCTACACATGTACTAATGGACATTACCTTATGTACGTCTGACTTCACAGGGATTCGTCAGTCCCCAGTAGGGTCTTCTGAACGCTTTGGTACCTGTCAAATGAATGAGGATGCTCCGGGACTGGTCTGCAACTAATCTCTGTCAGTTTATGGATAGACAATGAATTTATGGAATATGTCGACCATTTCACTTGCTTAGAGAGTTGCATGAGCCTCTTTCTGACGAAATATCAGCTGGGATACAGAACGCTTGTTTAGCATTTATCAACTTAGGTCATGTGGCGCTGACTAATGAGATATCCTACTACCTGTTATAGGACGAGTATACTGCGTTGCATTCCGTTCTGTGCTGTTATTTGACTGAGTTATCGTTGTTGAAAGGAGAAGACATGAAGCGCTCACAGGTTTTTTTCATCATAGATTCCTTCGTAACACTACACTGTATGAGCAGTGTAGGCTAAAGGATATTAGTCAAAACAGACAAGTCAGTCAACGGAAATTGGCTAAGATGACCTGGACATGTACCACGCATGGCGAGTCACTGCCTAAGTAGACGTGCCATGCTGGGGCAGGCTAGGTAACGTTGGGAGACGGTTCAAGATCTCTAGACCAACACGTGACACGAGTCGATGAAGTCTCCTACTACTTGTTCCAGTTGTATTGGGCCCTGTAGACTACCTGATTGTGGTCCACGAGATGATAGAAATCAATGATTGAGGACTTTTGCTGAGGTAGTTGAAAATCTATGACAATGGCGGAGATATATTCACTCTTTAACCTCTTCTTAAGATTGAGTGTTTGTACTAACCTGTATCTTGCAACAGTTTATTTTCTCTTCTACTGTATGGCTGTGAAACATGGCCATTGAACGTGTTTGACCACCGTTACCTTCATAGTATAGACCATATTCCTTGGTGTCACCACTTGAGTAATGCAGAAGTCAGATGTAGAGTTTCAAGGAGAAGTGGTAAGTCAGTTGACACGGTTGTGAACCTACATCGACTGAGATGGGACATGTGTTACATATGCCTAGTCACCGTCTGCCTCATTATAAAATATTGGCCGACGTAGGTTCAGGTTGGAGAAAGTCTCTAGGTGTCCGGACTAAAACATGACATCAATGTATGAAGTCCTTGACTATTGGTTTGAGCCATGTGCGGCGATGTAGATTAGCTGGTTGGGGTCGACGGGACAAGAAAAACCAGTGGTTAGAGACTGACTCTAGGTGATACGGCTGAGAACCGATGTGAGTGGCGTAGATGTATACACACATTATCCTCATCTTAACGACGCTATACCGAATCTCACCACCTTTTCATTCCTTCTTTATTTCTTTTCTTCATCTTCCACTTGACTACCTTTTTACTTGATGTAGTGATACGAGGTGTGGGAAGTGGGACTGTTACGCAGTAATGCCTGGTCCTATGTTGATTTGGGTGGATGGATATGGGTTGATGTTGATATTATGAAAAACACTTGTAACATACAGTTTCTTGAGTAGCGTAGATAAATTGGATAACCTACCTGTTTATGAATGTTTGAATGATTGACCCCCCAACTCCCTAATTTAAGTATTTAAGCTAAATTGAAAGTGTTTAGTATCAGGTAAAATAGGAAATCTCTTCACTTATCTCAAAGAAATCAATACTGAGGTTCTGCAAGTAAAAAAAATGATACTTTATTCTTTCTGTATGATTTGATTACTTGAATAATGTGTTTAACTTTGTTAAAAACGTGTTTGTTACTGAATTTATCAACTAGACAATTGTTTCATCAACACCTACTGTTCTCCGACGTTCGACTACATTCACTGGTATTAGTTTAGCTGGTCAATCGAATAGTGGACTACAAACTTGTCGTTTGAATCCTGCAACTTCTAGTATTCCTCAAAGTTCATCAACTACCTCATATATGAGTACACAAGTTGGAAAAATTCCAAATCCTTCATCTTCACCAGTACAGTCTAACTTTTATGTTCATCAACGTCCACAATATTTATCTGGTATTCAAACATCTGGATCTTCATCTACACGTGGTGTTTTTACACCACCATCAAATATGTCTGTATCAAGTAATTATTCTGCACCGGTTACACATCTACCTCAAATTCTTCGTCCTAGAAGTGCGGTAAGTATTGATTTTGATTAATTCTCCTAGTATTATTATTATTATTATTTTACTATTTGTCCCTTGGGTTCCTAATGGAACATAGGGCTTCAGTAGCAGGTCTCCAATGCTCTCTGTCCTCTGAAATCTTTTGAAACTGTCTCCACGACAGCCCAGTAACTCTCATTTCTACCTCGCACGATCTCCTCCATGTCACCCTCAGCTGGGAGGCCCATCTCGTCGCTTCCCATCTGAGTTGCATTCGAGTACCTGGCCTGTCGCGTGATGTTTCCAGTCGGCCTTCTCAGTGTCTGCTCAATCCATCTCCACTTTCCTTAACTACCTATTTCTTAGGTGATGAGTTCCTAGTTGGTTCATTGCTAGGTGAGAGTTCCTTGTTGCTTATTATTTCCGGGTATCTGAGCTTCAGTAACTAGCCAGTGTAGGCAGTTGTTGATGAATGTGTGTAGTTTGTTGGAAATGCCTTTCGTAACCCGCCAAATCTCTGAACCGTACAAGAACACTGACTTGACTGATATTGGTGTTGAAAATCTGGATTTTGTTCCACATGCTGAATGCAGAAGATCTCTACACTGCTTTCAGGTTGATGAACGCCTGTCTTACTGTCTCTTCCGATCATGGCTGGCTTTGACGTCCTCGTCTGTGCCTGTGCTGCCTGTAGTTGAAACGATGCTGCCCAGTCGGGTACGTGAAAGAGACTACTTCGTTTAAGTTCCTCCCGTTGATGGTGATTGGAGCTTGTTGCTGTTGTTGTTGGTGGTGGTGGCGTTGGTTGGGTATCTTCATCACCTCTGTCTTCTCTACATTGACTTGAAGTCCCATCTTCACTGCCTCTTCTGTCAACTTGTTAGTTTTCGCCTGTAGATCTAGTTCACTAGTTACCAGCCGTCCTAAGCTCGGGTAAAGACGGAAGGTTGCGCGTAGGGCTAGCAAACCTACCTCGTAAAACCAATCCAACCGCTAAACGAACTTCAAAGCACAAACAATATATAAAAATTCTCCTAGTGAACACATTTATTTCCTTCGAACATATGAGGTATCTATTCAAGGTTTCATAATTATTGTCCTATTTTTATATTATTTATGTTATGTAGGCTACTGTATTTAGTTGAGTCACATTTAATCCTTATATAACACCTTCTGGTTGTTCAAACGGAAATGAAGGATACATAGACATGAACATGAGGGTCAACGTAGAACCTTCCGTAGAAGTGTAAGTCACATCACAGGTTATTACACTTCATAACGGTATATAACAATGAAGCTGCTGAGAATGATAATTAGAAAATGACAAAATATGTTATGAAAGGATAAGGAATACAGAAATGAAAGCTGATGACTGTTCAGATTTCTGATCAATAAAATGAGTACACCATCATCATCCGAAGTAAAGTTTTGAGTTATGTTCTAATTATGTCTCAATAGAGACTGATCAAATTCGGTCTAATCAACAACTGGATTATACAAGTAGCAACACTAAAAGTATACTCGTCGTACAAGAAATGGATATCGTAACTTGGTGGCTCTGGTATTTGAAGCCATCTGTCACGAGTTCGTGTCGTAGTGGGTACAACATCACTTATTGGGAAGTAGGTGCATGCATGTGACGAGTCCCAAATAGGATGAAATGCACGTCCTAGATTGTGTCACTAATATTTCTGGTATAACTGTGAACAGACCACTGATAGTGTTTACTATGGAAATGGAAATGGCTCAGAGACTGGAAGTTGTGTACATTGACTGGACACCGGAATTTGGCGACCACCAAGATAGGCAGCTTAACATCGCGGTGCATATTGATAGATGTTAGTTAATTGGAGGCAATCATGATTTTGTCAGTCATTAGGACTCAAGACTAGAGAACATAATAGTGGCCAATCAATGTATACAACTTTCCAGTCCTACAGAAGGTCAATCACCGGATGAGAATAGCTCACTGGTAAGGTCGTTGACTGCAACACACTGGGTGTTGCACATTCCAATCTCAGATGAGACATCAATTCCCTCGACTTTTCAGATACATCTTACTGACGATTACCAAGAAATCACGAAAGGTCGGTGAAACAAGGGTTCCTGCGGATTACTTGCAATCAACTAGAAGTAGGAAGTTGTATCGCTTAACGAGTGTACTTACCTCTTGTTTTATTGCCGGAAGGTGTTGATAGTTCTCTAATCATAAATACCAACTGTTAGACTATCAAAGACTGAAGAGCTTTTAATGATTTCTTTATTTCTTTCTCTCCCTTTCTATATTTCCAGCTTCGTGGTTCAGTTGTTCAACCAACTTTTGTACGTACTATTTCTGCTACTGGTTCAAGTGGTTCAATGGTTCCAGTTTCATCAACACAACTTGGATCTCGTCTATCACCTAGTGGTGGAGCATCACCATCAAATATGCTTCATGGACGTGTTACTACACTAACTGTCTCATCAAATAATCCATCTATTTCTAATATTCATAATTCACGTACTGGAACACAGCATAGTATGCCATCTACTGTCTTTCAATCGTTAAGAACATGTATTTCAGGCAGTGTTACAAATCCTAATGGAAATGAACCACCTCATCAATCATCACATACTACTAATAATGGTAGTAAATAAGTCTTAAAGCTAACCTTCAATACGTGAAGTAGAGGGAGTGGGGTAGGAGCAGATCATAGATCAATCAATAATTATCATATCTTGCCATCCTATTCATATATGGAGTATTTGTTTTATTCATCATTTTATTGAATAAACATGATCAGGAATGTTTTTATTACCGGATCGGTTAACATATATTTATCCGCTTAACAGCATTTTTATTTTCAGCCTATCCTATGTTTATTATAATACTCTATTTACCGTATACTTTTTATATTGTGTGTAGTTTTGTTGCTATATCATTCTCTTCATATGTATATTTCATCGTTTTACTCTCCTAATACAAATGTTCCCTTTTCTTTCATCGTTTCTCTTTTCTTCTCTCTTGTTTATTCGTTTTTTTTTTGAAAATCTATTTTGTGTATTGTGTACATTTTTATCTGTCTAGTTGATATACTCCTTGTGTTTTTGCGATGCTTGCTTCTGTTATCTTCCTATTCTTTGAAATATATATACATACAATATATCTCATGCTTAATCTGTATATACTTTAATTGTTGTTTTTTGAATGTTGTTGTGTATGCATGGTTGTGTTAATGTTATGTTAAATTTCATTGTATACTTTGTTTCAATTCACTTGACTGTTAGAGGATAAGATATGGTTTCCTTTCAATACGTTTAGATGCTATCAGGCTTCATTAGTTAAGAGGAAATTGAAGCAAGTACATCACTTGTAGACGTGTTAGAGCCTATGGTGAGATGTCTAGACAGCTATGCTCACCGAGTCGTGTCCGTCTTCCTCTCGTCGTTACCTGATTACACAGAGGTTGACCTAATCACCGAACAATTGTCGTTAGACCTACAATATGCACATCACATAGTCCTGTTAGGTGAATACGCTGACAAGATGCAGAGTCTTCTGAACACCTTGGGTGTGGCAAATTGAGAATGTTTCGGATGTGTTTCTCACCACCCAAATGCAAATTGTTGCTCCAGGATTCGTCTTCAACAGTTCCCCACCACAGCTAACAATGAGAGTGTAGTGGTTGAGTGTGTTAACCACTTCACTTACCTGGGAAGTGGATCAACCCAGGTGGCTGGTTGGCTCAGTGGCCGGTGAAATCTCTGCACGAATACAAAAGGCTCGGCTGGCTTTCGCCAACTCACGCCACATGTAGCCACTCCATGATATCCGATTGTTTATTAAGGGTCACATGTACTGCACCTGCACAGCAGTCCTCTCTGTTGTACTGTGTTGCTGTGGAACATGGCCATTGAACGCGGAAGATGAGAAGGCTTTAGGTGGTTAACTACCAATGCCTTCGAAGTATACGCCGTATTTGTTGTTCACCATGTGAGTAACGCAGAAGTCAGATGTAGAGTTTTCAAGAGTAGAGGTAAATCAGTCGACGAGGTTATGAACCTTCATCGATTGAGATGGCTTGCTGGGACTCGCATTACATATGCTTAGTCACCGATTACCTCGTCATACAATATTGGTCGAAGTAGGTTCACATTGGAAAAAGGTTCGAAGCGACCAGACTAAAACATGGCATTAATGTTTGAAGTGTTTGACTATGGGGTGGGGGGTCGGTGGGCGATGCAGACTAGCCAGTTGGGGTCCACAGGAGAAGTGAAGACAGTGATTGGAGACTGACTCTAGGTGACATGGCTCAGAACCGATGTGAGTGGTTCAGATGTATACACACGTTATCCTCATCTTAACGACGCTATACCGAATCTCACCACTTTTTCATTCTTCCTTTCTTTCTTTGACTACTTGATATTTCTTTTGACTGAATTTTCTTTTCTTCATCTTCCACCTGACTGCCTTTTTACTTGATGTAGTGATACGAGGTGTGGGAAGTGGGACCGTTATGTAGTAATGCCTGGCCCAAAGTTGATCTGGATGTACGCAAAGTAGCTTTGATGATAAAAAGATAGGTGACTAAGGAAGTAAAAAACATGAAATAGTATCTAAATTGGACTGTATTTGTATACTGTTGTTAGTCGACCCTTCCAAATTGTAAAAATCAAGAAAGTTAGTATATCGTTGAAGTATTTCACAGATAGGATTGATTTATGTTGTACACGTGAAGAACGGTTTCTGCTACTCCGTAGCATTCCGGTGAACTGGGTTCGCAATCCGATTCGAAACTAACAACTTAAAATCGGAGACGTGGAAAAGATCGTAGGTGATTGGTCTCAATCAGATATCTCCTGAGTTCAATAAACTTGAATAAATCGTCTTATTTCTATCTGCTGTCTTGTTTTCACCTCTTGATAAAAATATTAAATCTATTTAACATTTTAAAGTTCGAACTGTATGTCAAATCGCGAAGGAGACATTGCTCACTAGAACTCCAGAGTCTCGAGCCATAAGTATATGCTATGTTTCTGAGACATATATACATAAGCTGAGTGTGATTATTCAGTTGACCTCACCTGACCATTTTAGTGAATCTTCGAAATTCACCTCATGAGTATTCGATGACTAGCTCTCGTGGACTTCCTGGTGTGGGCATAGCATTAAATTGCAGAGAAGAAAATGTACTTCTTGACAGGATACCGACTAACAGCTGCCTGTGTTAGTGTCCAGTTCAATGGATTTACAAGACTTGGGAAGAATCGTAGGACTGATGACTTTAAAGGTTACCCTGGCAACTGGTGAGGCAACCAATTACGTTCCTTTGTTTTATGATAAACTACTCTCCCATCCAGAATATCGAAACCTGATTGGTTATTTGAGCAGTTGCTGGAGTGTATACTGTAGTCACTCGTAAAACTAGTTAATGCCCATTCACAATCTTCACCTACACGTCTACCGATTGCAGTTTAGATGATGCAATGGATGAATTATATTATATATATTATATTACATAAAGTAAAATATTTGACTACGGTCATAATAGCAGGCAACTTTAAGGCTCAAGTAGGCAAGCTGAGCCAATCATAAACGTGGCTTGAGATATTTACCGAATCCCATACCAATGGACCGACAGCAGTGATTGTCTGTTACAGCTGTGTTCTGATAATCTCTTATTTTGACCAACACTAACACTTAGCATAAAGAGATACACCATCTCATATGGTGTCTGCTGACATCAAACCAATCATGGAACACAGATAGATCATATTGATATAAACATCAATGGGAAAGATCGGTGAAGAATTCCCATTCCTTTTGGAGTACCAGTTTGAACTCCGATCACGCGTTAGTATGGGCTTGTGTATATTTGCACCTTACTTGTGATAAAAAAATAGACGACAGTAACACCTGTGTGTGCTCGATTGGAAGAAGAGACCGTCATGTACATATTCAGGGAGATAGCTAAACATTCATCTGAAAGTGACAACAGTCTTCATCTTGAGAAAACCTGGCGTGGTATTAAGTCTGTTGTAGAAACAGTGGTGAGAGGTAAACAAGCGTCACTGGATTTCCGTAAATTTACACAGACTGGTAGATACCAGGAAAGTAATTCCAACTGTCTCTGAACACAATGAAGAGTAAAAGGGAATTATAAGTAAGTTGACAAAGAGTCTTCACCTTGGTTTCGAGCAGTGGTGGGGTGGCTGAAGTGAGAAAGATGGAGAAGCCATCAAGATCAGGTATCACCCAACAGTTATCAACGATACCGGTGAGAAGAAGGCAACGGTGAGTGAGACTGTCACCAAGAAGCAAGGGGTGATGATAACCTCCCAGGACAAACAGCTAGAAATTTGGTAGGAACACTTTGAAACCCAGTTTAACTTGTCCAGTACTCTGCCTAAACCTGAATAGGGTGTAGATGGTTGGTCTTCCAACTTCTCGCGAAGCTGAGAAAGATATTCTAAATTTGTGAAGATGCAAGGCAGCAGCACCTGACAGTTTGCTATACCGAAGTTTTCAAGGGTGAAGGTAGGAAATTGCTGCCTAAAGTGATGGATGTACTAGGTAGTATATAGGAATCAGAGGTAGTGCCATCAGTCTGATCTACTCCACTGATCATTCGTGTATAAGAAGAGAGAGAAATCTTGCTGCAGGGGAATTATTTCGACTAATATTGTGCTGAAGATCCTAGGTTTCATAGTTACCTGATGGGTGACTGGAGTTCTAGAACAACAAAGTCGAGAAAACCAGACAGTTGGACGAGGGCGCATCGACCATACTTTCATTCTACGACAGGTTGTGGAATACAGGCATATCTACCGACCAATGGCCAACACTTATCATGTTTCTTGACCTGAAGGCGGCACTTAACTCTGTCAGCTATGAAGTGTTGTAGCATTGTACATAGTATCGAGGAGCAAAATATTATGCCGCATCATACTGCAGAGATTAAAAGGTGCCCTGGATTCAAAGTTACAACCGGAACAGGCTGGCTAACTTCAGGAAAAACAAATCATTTAACAGCTATATGAAAACGCCACATGTCAAGTAATTCATAATGGAAAGCTCAATGACGCCTCTAAGCGAAGACAGGAAGGAGTGAGACAAGGTTGCGCCGGCTATCACCTATGATCTTCCTGACCGTAGTGGACTGGATCATGCTGCAACAGTGAGGAGCGAGAGGAGGGGCATGCTCTGTTTGACCGATGAAAAGACCCCAGAAGAAGATTTGGATTTCGCCGATGATGATTTATGTCTAATGTCTTGTAGCACAAACTCGAAAATCTACACACGAAACCAACAAGGTGACAGAAGAGCAGAGGTAGCGAAGACGGGACCTCAGGTGGACGTTAAGAAGACAGAGGTGACGAAGATATCCAACCAGCAACAACATGCACTAATCATCATTTACGAGAGAAACCTAAAAGAAGTAGCCTCTTTCATCTGCCTAGGCAGAGCAGCAACATTTCAACTACAGGTGGCACAGGCACAGATGAGGACATCAAAGCCAGCCCGGACCGGAAAGACACCAAGACCGGCTTTCCTGCATTGATCTGAAACGAATCAGTGTGGAGATCTACTGCACTCAACTCAGTATAAAGAGTGAAGAAGATCCAGGTTTTCAACACTAATATCAGTCAAGTAAGCC